TGGTTTCATGGGTCTCGAATCAAGACAAGCCTCGACCTGACATACCAACGTACCTAGCTCCGCTAATGCAAGCCTTGTTTCTCCCATAACACGTTTGAAATGATGCTTAGCGCTCTTCACTGCTGCTTCCCATAATCCACCAAAATGGGGACCTGCAGGCGGATTGAATCGCCACTCAATTCCTTCACGTGCCATTTCCGGACCACCCTTGGTTATGAATGCATTGAATTCGCTTTGAGCACCCACGAAATTTTTCCCATTATCGCTGTAGATTACCGAGCAATGTCCCCTTCGCGCCATAAATCTTCTTAGGCAGGCTAAAAAGGCGCTGCTCGTCATGTCTTCTACGACCTCTAAGTGCACAGCTCTTGTTGAAAGACAAACGAAAACTGATAACCATGCTTTTTTCCCGACCACACGGCGAACACCACTTCAAACAATGAAAGGACCGGCAAAATCTACTCCAGTGACCGCGAAGGGCCGTGAATATTGTACCCGATGTTTAGGAAGAGGCGCCATGAGTGGACATTCAAAACTTGGTTTCGCGCGTATGCATCTCACACACTTTCGAACTACTGCCCGGGCCATCACCCGACCGATCAAAGGCCAATAGCGTCATCTTATCTGTGCCAATAATGCTTGCGGCCCGCAGTGAAGCATTTCCCGGTGGCAGTTCTCAAAAATGAGGCGAGTCAATCTGTGACCCCAAGGAAGGACAATCGGGTGCTTTATTTGCTCATCCATCACTGATCCATCATTTGCTACCACGTGGCACCTCCTTCCCCTTTTGCAACGCCATGAACTCCTTATGGAAACATTCCGTTTGCACCCGCTTCAGAAGAACCGTTTCAGCTGCTCTTAAGAATGTAGATGTGAGATACTTGGGGGCTTGAAAACCTTGTTTTTTCCTAAGGTAATTAACAAACAGCATCAACCAAGCCGTTGAGCGCAACAGGCGACTCCAATCGGAGATCACATTTATCAAGTCGATTCCTGAGTCCGTGGATACCAACACTAATTTGATTTCCCTTTGCTCTGGCAAGCCTTCTCTGATGCCATAAGTGGACGTTGGTTGCCAATCGCATTCCCTTTCTAACCAACTTGGGCCCTTCCACCATTTATCTGAACCTACTAGCTCACGGGCGCATAGACCCCTTGAAGCCAGGTCTGCTGGATTGTCAACTGTTGACACGTGGCGTCATTGTGCAGCCTGAGTGAGATCTAGAATCTGGCTTACACGATTGGCAACGTAAGTCTTAAGACGGCTGCCTTCACAATTTATCCATCCCAGCACCATCATGGAATCCGTCCAACACCAAAACGTCGTTGCATCCAACGACCAAGAGTCTGCTACCCTGGCAGATAGCTCAGCTAGCAATAGCGCTCCACTCAGCTCCAGGCGCGGAATGGTAAGGCTCTTTAGTGGAGCTACCCTGGTCTTTGAACATAGGAGTCTTGCATGCCTTCTACCACCCTTGCTTCTGGATTGTACGTAAATGCAAGCCCCATAAACCTCTTGAGAAGCGTCACTAAAACCATGTATCTGTATCTCCTCACCTGCTTCTGGGAGCGCCTTCCTTGGAACGAGTACATTTTGTAGCAGCTCCAAATCCTGAACAAATGACCTCCATCGCTCTTGGATGTCCTTAGATAGAAGACTATCCCAATCCGTCTTCATAGCCCATATGTGCTGTAAGAATATTTTTTCTTTTAAGAGAACCGGAGAAACAAGGCCCAATGGATCAAACACCTTGTTGAGATCGGATAGCAGTGCTCTTTTGGTCAGCCTTGAACTAACCGGCATGGGCGTGACATTAAACGTAAACTCGTCAAGCACCGGCTTCCAGCACAACCCGAGAGACTTGACCATCTCTTCGTCCCCTATTTCTAATATGAACAGCGGGTCCCTCACATCCTTACCAATATGCTCCAACACCAAGGCCGAATTCGAACACCACTTACGTAAAGGCAATCTCGATGAATTTAAAATCTCCGTTATTTCATGATAGAGATGAATACATTCTTCTTGAGTCTCACCACCTGTCATCAGATCATCCATGTAGAAGTCCCTGGCAATAGCATTTGATGCACAGGGAAACTCGTCTGAAGACTGTCGTGCCAATGCCACCAAACATCGCGTCGACATGAACGAAGCTGGTGTAGTTCCATACGTCACAGTGACCAGTTGATATGTACGAAGAATCTCACTAGCATTCTCACGCCAGAGTATTCACTGCAAATCCCAATCCTGCTCAGCCATTGCCACTTGCCGGAACATCTTCTCAATATTTGACGTAATCACGTACTGATGCTTCCGAAACCTTGTTAAAATTGAAACTATATCCTCCTGGTTTTTTGGTCCACGCATCAATACTTCATTAAGTGAGAGACCTGACGAGGTCTTTGCTGATGCGTCAAAGACGATGCAAACCTTTGTCGTTAAACTTGACTTCTTGAACACTGCGTGATGTGGTAAATAGCATGAACGCTTAGGTATAATTATTTCCTGCTGAACCTCTCTCATGTGACCCATCTGTAAGTATTCATCCATGAACTTCTTGTATTCCTCTCTTAAGGTTGCATCCTGCTGTAATTTTCTCTCAACGGCCAGAAACCTAGATGAAGCCACATTGATGCTATGGCCTAACTCAGCTATGCAAGGCTTAATAGGCAACTGTAACACAAATCGACCATCCTCCTGTCGGCTCACCGTAGCTTCAAAATGCTCAAGAGCTTGCCTCCCTTCCGCGGAACTTACGTTTACCTTGGATGACTTGCTGTACGTGGTATCGTCGTTGCTGAGACTCGTCTTCCAATCTTCTTCCATTGTTTCACCGATACTCAACAAACAGATGTTGCTCATCTCGCCTGTGACTAACCATGTGAAAGCTTGCTATCTTGAAGATATAATGTTCGCACAACCAGCTGCACACGCTCTGGCTGCAAAATATCAAAGAATGCACCACCACCAATCAGCAAGTCAATTTGTTTAGACTCGTGGAAGCGAGGGTCTGCCAAACGTGGCAGCAGTTCGTTTGGAATGGTCCAGCCCACATCCGGGGTACGCACTGGAGGTAATTGCGACATAATAGCTGGCAGAATAACACAAGTCGCATCAAACACAAATTGCCCAACCCTGGATTCGACATGCACATCAACAGTCGTACTGGTACGAACTGTATTAGCTCCAATACCACTCACCGGCATCGATGCTTTCACTGTTGGTAATTGCAATTGCCTTGCTAAATTCTTAGACAAAAACGTTTAGCTGTGACCCACTGTCCAAAATAGCGTGACACTGTCTTCGAACTCCTCGCTTGTCCTTCACCCAAACCAACGCTGTTGACAGAAAAACATGTCCATGTCCATGATGAACCAACAACGATGTTTTTGAGCTACGCTTTTCCGCTGTTTCCGCAGCATCTTCTCCGGACTTATCCTTAGAGACTGATGATTCATCTTGTCTCTCATAATGAAGCAAGGTATTGTGCCTGCTCTTGCAGACGTAACAGTTGAACTTCGATTTGCAACGCATGAAGACAGTTGAAACATAACCTTGCTCTTCGTACAAGAGCTATCCGATCTCCCACTGACAGATCCTTGAACTTAGTACAGGAATACAGCTTGTGCATATTCGAACAGCAGGCACAATTTTCAATCACCTCGGAAGCCACTACGAGGGCACCCTCTCAATGGAGCCCTGAGCGAGAACTTCTTTCCAATCGCCTCTTTTCCAACGTTGACATCTTTAACTTGATCTTCTCTAGATGCGAGTGCTTCAGCCCCTTCTAATGCGATACTGTATCTTGATACAAACTCCATAAACTGTATGTACTTAGTTAATTTAGTACCTGTCCGACGCAGCTGCCACTCTTGACTCGTTGATTTATCTAATCGCTCAATTATGATTGTAGACAGCAATGCATCCCAATGCTCTGTAGGTAAGCCTAGCACTTCTAGCGCAGCGACATGCGAGGATACATGAGAGTGAAGTTCTAATAACTCTTGAGCCGATGGTGACATGATTTTTGGACTATTAAGGATCTCTCGGATGTGCGACTGTACCACTAGATCCCTGTTGTCATATCGTGCTTGAAGTTTCTTGATAGCAATTTCATAATTCGCATCAGACATCGGTAAGGACTTAACCAGATCCAACGTCTGACCACCCAGCGTAGAACGGAGATAATAAAACTTCTGAGCTGTGGAGTAGTAATCTTCATGATGAACCATGACATTAAAGCGATCAAAAAATGCTTCCCAATCCTGCATGTTACCGTTAAACTTAGGCAAATAAATCGGCGCCAGTCGCGCGCGGGCAGGTGCACGTGATGAAAGCGGAGAAGTATCCAAACCCGATGATTCCGAGCGCTTCCTATCGTTGACGATTTCCTGTATTTGTGACCGTACAGCAAAATACATCCTTTCGAAGTCACCCCTTTCGCGTTCCGCATCTTCCAGTTCATCAACGCACAGCAACTCTATCTCCGCTTGTATATCATCGAATTTTTTATTGATCCGAGGCAGCTCCTCCTGCCTGAATTTTAATAACGAAATCGCCTGCACCGATGGATCGAACTTATCCACGAAGGTTCGCGTACGTGTGAGAGCGGTCTTCACCACACCGCGCTTGCGCTTGAGATCTGATAACACCTTCTGTGTACCGGAGTCTAGAGACATTATGCTACTCTAACTACGAATTTATCCACCAAGTAAACGTATAAATATCACCGATTGCGACGATTCACAACACCAATCTTAATTATCACCTTGACCTCCAGCCGGCTCGGACTATTTTAATCTGTTGCTAATATATATATATATATATATATATAGATCACGTCGAGGTATGGTCACCAAAATGTTGGAGCCGGGAGCGAACAATAATAGGTCGCGTGTCCGGTACCTAAATAGCCATATACCGACCGACCAGCTTTGTGAAGGTGTGTGTAGCACTCAACAGGGAGTGGACAGGTTCGCCGAGCAAACCCTGCGAGGCTAGTGTGTGACGATGTGCGAACGTGTTTATGTTTTGTGTGTGTTTGTGTGGGAAGTTAAAATTATTAAAAATGGTAACAACATTGAAAAGGGGTAACTAAGACAAATAAATAATAATAAATAGGGTAACTATGGTTGCTGTGTACTTCAAACAATATCAATATGATTAATGCGGCCCTTCTGGCCCAATAATGTAATAATAAATTTAACGAATATAATAATAACAATAAAAATAATAATAATAATAACAATAGTAATAAATAATATGGAAAATCACAGCAACACGGAAAAAAAATAGGGTAAACACCAATAATAATAATAACAAATTATAAAACTCACCGTTACGCGGAGAGTAACTGGCCAGCTGCTCCGCCACCTAAACCTAAATATAAAAAACAATAACCTAAATACAAATATCGGCTCTTAGACCACAAAAAAAAAACTGAATATAAATCAAAACACCCAATATTAGCGGCGATTAGCGCGCGCTGCTCAATATTCCGTGGCGATTCGCGCCACGCGAAATAAGGAATAAGGCGAATTAAAATATATAAACAAAAAGTAACGAAATATGGTAAAACCAGAAAACGTACCCACAACGGTATTGTGTTAGCACGGCGGACGATAACGGAGAGCGAGAGAGGCGGACGGCCGTACGTCTACCGCTCGGTCAGACGGCGGCCGGCGATAAGGCGACGTTGCATAAGATCATGCAAATAAGCTAAATAAAAACAGTTATTAATTTTTAACGACAAAATGTGTGCGTGCGTGTGTGAACCGGTCGGTGGCGGCGTCATTCTCCGGCGCCAACAATAATAGTTATTCATAGTGCTCAGATTTGAATAATATCCTGTAATGTGCTGAATGTAGGAGAACAGAGTATAGGTACATACATTAATTAGAATCGACTCTGAATATTAATTAATATTTCGTAACGAAAAAACACCAGTCCAATAATTTTTGTTGACACAAATATTACAAGTCCAAAAATATTCTTATAACAACATGTGTAGTTTGATAATGATTCGGGCGACGTTATACATGATTGTGTGCTCTCGCAACCCGTTGTTCATAATTGCATTACGATCTAATATTCTTCCGTTCGTAGTGGTGTTTTATCATATTTCCTGGAATTAATTATCTACGTACTGGTCACCGACTAATGAGCATTATTGTCGAATAGAATAATCAACGACAAATATTGTATTAATTTTATAAATCATTATTTTACACTCGAGCCCCCGAGTACATATTTCATAGGGTAGATTAAGCGGTCCGTTACTTTATTATTATTGTTTTGTGTGTGGGCACGTGATAATAAAAAAATTTGGTTTTTCATACTTAACTTCCGAATTAAATTGAACCCCAGGAACCGAGTATGGTCCTTTGGTTTGTTGAATTTGATATCATATATCGGATACTCCTATTCGGATCAGGGATTGGAACCTTAAAAGACCGAAACTTTTTAAAAATCACAAGACCGGAACTCTTGAAATCGTAAAGGTTCCAGTCCCTGATTCGGATCTTTCGGGTCCGTACGCGAGGTTGTCTTGACAATTATTATGGACTCACCCGTGTTTATCTACGGAAGCATGGGGGCACGTAACAATCCTAAAAAAATTAATTTAAGACCTAAAAAATATTAATTAATTAATTAATTCATATTGTATTGTTTTAATAACAATGAAATAAAAGCTAATATCCAATATGGTGATATATATCTTGAACTGAAAATGACCTCATGTCAACTAAGGCCAAGAAGTTAAATCTGAGACTTATTTTTTTGAAAACCTAATAGAATGACTTTATTTTTGTATAATACCTACTGCATTAAATTTTTCTTAAAAAAAAAAATCAATTGGCAAAAACTTTACTGAATAAAAACTTTAATAGTAAGAACATTGTGCGTAACGTTTCGAAAATCGTCTCACGTAAAGTAGACGATGTCTACTATTAAGATTCAAACGGTACACGCCAAATCTAACGGTTGGCCCACCACTCCTCACCGCAATCACGCAACAGTATACGCACGAAACGTGTCACACCATGTGCTGCAAACCTTTGCAACGGGTGACCGGGGGGTTGGTTGGCCAATCAAATCTCAATAAATGATCACCGTCGTCGCAGCGAGCCACCAGCTCGAGCTGTCGTCGATCGGTCGTTCTCGTCTCCTCCGTCATCCGGACGAGTCAGCTTTTTTTTTGTTTTTTACGTGCGCGTCAACGCCACCAACATGAGCAGTTGAAATCACATCGGTCCCGTAATGGCGGATAGCCACGGACGACGCTCCGCGCTGAGTAACGTATACTTTTTTATAAATAATTGGTCGACAAACTCCGTTAAGTCCCCGTTAATTAATTAGTTTCCCTTTTTAGTTAGTAAATAAATTATTAGTTGTAAGTTGTTGCATTTTCATACCTACGTTGTCATGTATTTGACATAGAACACCATTTTCTCCCCCCCTCCCCCCCGTGTATTTGTTTCTTTATTTTCCTTCCCCGCCAATTAGTTATGTTAAAAACTCTATTATATAGTATTTAATAATAATAATATACTTCCCTGTAAAATGTTTCCTCTAACGTTTTGTTGTTTCGGCAACTTTTTTTTTTTATTTTGCATACTACGTATGCGATTCGTATATATCACGTGGCTGGAACCAGATTGAGCACGATTGATCTTTTTCACAACCATTCAGCATGGTTGCAATTAAACAATAAAAACCTAAAAGAACAACACGATTGAGCACGAAAATTGGTGCGACCTTGCCACTTTGTACCGTAGAATATTATTATTAAAAAAATAAAATATATTTGAACGTAAATATTTATAAACAAAAATCTTTTATTGGTTTTAATGACATATTATTTCATATTAAGATAGCGTTTGCTGGGTCAGTTAGTTTAGTATATATTACAATTAGAATTTGTTCTCCTAAATACCAAATATATTTGAAAAAAAAAAAATAAATAAAAAAGGTTACTATATAATCACTTGTTATACATCGCCATTTCAACCATTCGCCTATTTTTCTCAACCCAATAAACCTGTGCTTGAAAGCTCAAACATTTGCCAATTTTCTCTCGGATAAAATAATTTGTATTTCATTATTTTCCATTATAAGATTTGCAAAATACATACTATTTTTGAAAGAACACGAGCATTAGACAACAGAACAGACTGACTGTGACCAAGTCTTATTTACAGCGTAGGTACACACAATAACAGCTAATCACAATTTAGTGCAATCGTTATAGATAAAATTCTGGTTTCCTATCTATTCCAGTTATTTTCAACTTTCTGGGTACCCATCGATTGATAGCCTAATATGTAAATTGATTTTTGACTAATATGTTAGTTACCTATTAATAATCTACACAACATACGTACTAGTGAAAATCTGACAACGTTGTACACAATATTTATTTATTTTTTCTTGCTCAATCGGGTATCGCCGTGTCATGGTGTCCTCGAGGCCAATTAATATAAATGTATTTCTCTAAATGTTTACGCGTACGACGATCCATGATCCCTTTATTCACAACTCCGCAAGTGACCAGTAGGGCCACGGACTTAAACATGGAACAACCCCCGTACCCTGAGTCGTAATACATGTGTGTGGCAAGCATATGTTCCTGCGAAAGTCTCCCGATTAAAAACTAAATATATCTTGATGAACACGAGTTCCACGTGTGTCCGCTAAAAAAGAACGATTTCTCTCCGAGTCGAATACCTATAAACGTTAAAAAACCTCATCCATAGTGCCATTTAGGTAGATATTCGTAAGCGCGTCCGTCGACACAAAACTTTCCGATTAATCCACGTTTCTTTCCCGTTTGATTAAATTGATATATTATGTATTATGTTGTTGAAAAATGTATTAAAGATACGATGTTGTTGTTAAATAAGTATACCCATGTACCTATTCTTATATATAATGTTTTATTGTGTCTCCCTTTCTCGCTCTGTTGAAGTTGTTATGCATATTATTTTTCTTCATATAACTTAGTTTTTTTTATTGTTATGATAATGTGTTACGTACAGTGTATATTATAACCTATTTTTCTAAATATTTTAAATCAGCATTATAATACGAGTAATATTATAATATATCATGTTGATTCAGACCATAGGTACACGCGCGGCTTACGTAAGACATCATCCATTGGCGTGATCAAAAAGCTCATCCTCAATCAGCCAATAACAGCGCCACTTTCGACATCACGCCACTACGCGAGTCTAGAAAAATAGCATATAAAAGGAGACCTGGAACACCATGTAATAGGGAAATACACAAAATCCTATATGCTCCGGCCCCGGGGACTTGGCTATAGGTTGGCGACCTTGAAACTTATATTTTTGTTAAAATACCTACTTGGGTAGGTCGTCACACGGCGCTTACTCCACGAGGTGAAACATTGCATATGTATTTGATCACTTGTGTAGAGCAGTCATTAAATAATAAAAGTTACAAATGTATTTAAATCTGAGGTCTAGATTTCAAGTAATATTCATAAAATTTAATCATACAAATTATTATTTTAGTTTGAACTGTTCATTTAATTTTTTAGTGGCAAAATGTTTGTTTAAAATATTCTATGGTGTATGTAACTGGAACAAACTGATAGACATCATTAATAGTAAAAGTTCAATTTTATTAGACACTAGAGGAATGTTAATGGTTAAAAATTTCACGAATTAGATATTTTTTGGTTAACATTTTTGTTAGCAATATATAATGCAAACAAACTAGAAGTTCTGTAATTATATAGATGTCCAATCAGTATAGTTTATAATGTCATGAATTCCTTACCATCAACTAGAAGTACTTGTACTACCTCAATAAATTAATACTAATAATATGATATTGTTATACTTTACAAATATAAATAATGGTTTTATTTTATTATCTCTCAAAAATCCTTGTTTAACAGAAGATGGCCAAAGTGTAAATTAATGTATACTCTTTAACATAAAATATGGGAGAAAAATGATAAAACTAAGATAAAACTAGAATAAAATGTCTAACTGGAAGGTGCTCAAAGAATCACAATATTTAAGAATTGCTAATTGTTTTCAATTAAATTAGTTCTTTTAAAAATATATACATTTTCATATTGCTATTTAAATAATTATAATTGCATTACGTTAAAAAAAATAAAAATAAAATACAATTAATTTAGTTGGTTTCAAATAATAATCTTATAATTAGTTTTGTATAGTAAGGAAAATTAACAAATGCTTATCAAAAGCGAAATTATTACTTACACTAGAAAAGACACTATAAATTAAAATAAGACATGCAAAATAATGTGACTACAAATTGATTATAATAATAATAATAAAAATAAATAAATAAATAAATAAATAAATAAATGAAACAAGACAGCTTGTTATAAAACAGGTTATAGATTATATTTTATTATTGGTATTCTTTTCAGCTTTTGTAATAGTTAAACTATTACTAAGGTGTTGAAATTGTTGTTCAAAACTAAAATTATTTGATGTTGAAGTATTTTGAATTTGGTGAGATAATGAGGGCTCAATTGTCTTGTGTTGCATATTATGATCATTTGAACTTAGGATTGGTGTTATACTCAAACCAGGGCAAGTGGAAAGCAACATTGCTGGATTCAATGAAACGGGAATAGTAACTTTGTTTTCTGGACTTTTATTCTGGAAAACTTTAGATTTCAAACGTGCCTGTTCAGCCGCAGAATCTAGGTCAATGTACACTGATTTTGTATTATGTGCCATATTCATCTTTTTCATCATAATAGGTTTTGTGCTATTAGTATTACCATTGCCCAATACTTTGATTGCTGACGTTTTTGATTTATCAGAGTACTTTTTTAAAGGCTTAGAATTTTGTACTGTAGAAAAGATTTCATTGAATTTATTACTTAAGTTTTTAGGTAACTTCTTATTTTCTACGGCTGAATTTAAATTATTATTCAATTTTAATTCATTTAAATTATTTAATGAATTTTGTAAGAATGTATTGTGTTCCAATTGATTATTTTTTACTTGTTTAGTTGCATTAATTGTAGACACTGCAGACTTTTGACTTTTAATTTTCAATTCCTTGTTGTTACCTAGATTAGTGAATTTGTTATTTGAAATAGATTTTTTTGTTTTGAAAGTTACAGATCGAATAGGGTCCACCTTATCAATTTTATTACTTGTTGGCCGTTTTAATTCTGTCTTTTGTTTATTATTACTTCCTTTTAACTTTTGTTTTGTTGCTTGTAACTTTTGCTGTAATGTGTAAGCATAACTACATGTTTCTAGTGGCAATGGATATATTAATGGAGATTGTGAATAAGGGGCTAGCATTGACATTATTTGATTAGATATTTCTTGTTTGTTCGTGGGTAATGCATGGGGGACTTGTGACGAACATTTTTTCGGTGTTTCAAATGATATAGGAGTTGATATGTTAGGTGTATCTGATTTATTTGTATTCTGAATTGGTGGAAATGTGTCCTGAAATGTATTTAAATGCAATCAATATTAAACATGAAAAGCATGACAAACAAATAATAACTGTTATTATATTTAAATATTGTTAAAAACACCCAGAATAAGTTTCTAAAAAAAAAAAATCTATTCATGATTATAACTAGCCCACATTTTCAAGTATTCTTTTTATGTAATTTGTTTAATATATTTTATATATAATTATGAATAAATTATAATTGCATTTAATTATTAAGGAAATATTAGGAGAAAATCAATTTTTAAATAATATTTTAGTAAAATTTTATAATGTTATATTTATATCTCATTTTCAAATCATTACAATTTATATTATTTTTCGAAGTAGGCATGATGAGATATAATTAATAATAATAAATATAATTAGACGGTATTTTGATAAAAGGGTGTCTATCAAATTTCAATTTTTTTTTCAGGAAACAAAAAAACAGCAAAACCGTTTTTAATGATGTTTATCATGGAAAACAATAAAATTACTCGATTTTCAACCTCATACACACAAAATATATATGCATTGAATGTGGTATATGTCTTTTAACAAATCATTGTTGATTTAATCATATTTTAAAAGGACGCCTGGATATCTTTTAGTGCACATTACCAACTTGATTTTCTGTATTTAAATATGTCACTTTCACCAATTTATGCTACAAATTTTTCTAATTTTTGATTTTTAGTAATTGGTGATAAATAATCTTTTAAGAAACTCCCATCAAATTATTATTAATATAATATTTGAGATATTATATTAATTTGAATTTCACATATAATTAAGGTGAAGTTAAGTTAATATAATAACTTAGATTTGTTTATATACTTATTTTCAGGATTCATTTAACACAATGAGTAGGTAATTAGGTAATAAGAACATTTTTTTATTCAAAATGAAAAAAATAAAATCAATCATTAAATAATTTAGAAAATATATCAAACAAGTTATATAAAAGAAAAAACACGAAAATGTGGGCCAATTACAATCAGAAATGGATTTTTTGGTAGAGAGTAGTTATCTACTGATTTCAGTGGTTTCATAAAATATTATAATATAGATTCTTATTTGGTGCCCTCACTGAATACTCCTTGAATGCTGTGAGAAATCTAAGTATTTGAAAATTCCAAAAATCCAAATTTGAATATATTATATGTAATTTAACCATAAGAATGGGTTGAATACTATATTTAATGGATCTCCTCATATTCTCTACAGTCATGACTTTTGACACAATAAATAATAAAAGAAATAATTTTTAAATGACTAAAAATAAGTATAGATGGCATAGTCATGCTGAAACTTGTTTCAGTTTTAATTAATAAGTACAAAAACATATGAATTGCTCTAAACAAAAACAAACATTTTTGGTGATTAATAAGTTTAAATGCTCAAATAATGCTTAATCAAATATGCTTAGTTATCAAAAGTGTAATTTTAAAACAAATTTTTCATTATTAAAAATTTGTATAATTATAAAAAAACAAAGAATTTCATTGGTGACTGTATTAAAATATATTATATTTAGGCATAAATTATTATTATATCTCATGCATATATCAAATATGCACAATATGCAATATGCAGAAGTAAATACAATATAAAATAAAGATAAGTATAAACTATCCTGGCAATATTTTAAGAAATAATTTTTCTAAGTATCAGTGTAAAACTTACGTCTTTGATAATTTCAAAACTGCTTTTATTTTCAATTCCGCTTTCAATGCCATCACTGTTTTTATTTTCAATACTGATTTTATTTTCAATTTCTTTTTCTCTAAGTTTAAGTTTTTGGCAATATTTTATAACTACTTCAATAGAAACGTCATCCTGAAAAAAATTCAATTAACTATATATTCCACACTAAAATAAAATCAAGTGTCATACAATTTGTTTCCTTACATTTTGATGTATAAAAGCTTAAAAGTTAAAATAATCAAATACTTAATAATCCAAAATATTTTACTATACAATTTAATTTATGTAGAGTAGAATCTATCATATTCTAGGTTTTAAAAATGCATTCCAAAATTCGAGATACAATCGGAGTATCTAAGTATTTAGTTAAAATAATCTTGTATAATATGAATATCCTTGTCAATTTGATTGATACATAAATAGAGAATTTAGTAAACAATATATTATAATGTTTACAGTTTTTATAGGTCAATTGAAAACTCTCAATAACCTTGTACAATTTTTGTTTTTTTTAATCAGTTGTTATAATAACTTGAATATTTGTTACTATTTATGTTATTTAACATTTTAAATTTATTACCATTAAGATAAAAATTTCTTAATGGCATCATATCTAAACACATTGAATACATTTAATTTCTACACTTTATTTTCATAAAAAAAAAAAAATAAATAATGTTTAATGGAATGACTTTAAGCAAGGTTATTGAATGGTTTTAATAAGATTGCATGCTGTATAAACAGAGTATTTATTTATTTTATTTAATGATTTTCTCAGAGGATTTTAAGTAGATTTTTTTAATATTTATGAGTTGTTTAAATTTTATTTTTACTCTATTTTCAAATCTTTACCCTTACACTTTATACCTTAAACAATATGATTAACATTTTGTATACCAATAAATTAACTTACTTTTGTATCCACGACATTTTGATAAGCATTCAACAATAATTTCGATAAATTATTGTCTTTTTGCCAACACTTATATACACGTTTGAACACTTTACAAACTTGTATAAGAAAAAGTTCTTTTTTACTATGGTTGTTAGTTTTAGCAGTTTCTAATTCTAATTTTCTCAATATTTGAATACTAAGAAACAATGCTTCCTTCGCAATGCCTTCTCTTTCATTGTCACGTAAATACTTTCTGTAAACCACAATAATTGTTATTGTTAAATTATAATTATTGTATATTTAAATATTAATGTTAATTGTTTGGAGAAAATTTGAATATTAACATTTATAACATACTTATCTCGATCAGGTATAACCCTTAACTGTATAGCTAAATTAAGGAGCATTTCATAATTTTCAGTATCCTTGAGGAAATCTAATAATAAATGTACACACCGACTCATATGATATGCAAAAGAACCAGGACGATCTATTTCACTTGATGGAATTCTCCAAATGCCCTATAAAATGCCATAAATTATAGTATTTTATTAAAATTTAGAAATTTATTACAAATAAAAATTATTAACTTACATGGAAAAAGTTACAAGGTCTTTGGCCAACAAATAATCCCCGCTCACCAAACATTAAATCATGGAATTTCTTATTGTCTTTATGAGATGGAGACCGGAAATAAAAATGAGACAACCGATAGTATGATTTGTAATGCTGAGGAAATCGTTTAATACAATCTTCCAAACCAGCTAAGCATCTTTGAATTAATGACCATTGCACTAAAAAAATATTTCAATTTATGATTTGGAAACAATTAATATAAATAACATAAACTTACTGTTATTTAAATCTTGAATAGTGGAATTATTTGTCAATTTTATTTTCTTTACTGATAAATCCTTAGAATATATTTTTAAATAAGTTTTTGATTAAATGTAGAGATGTTTGCATGCACTATAAAAGTTTGTTATTATTTATACACAATATATTACCTTAGTCTGAATAAATCTGCTTTCATTATTTGTGATGTTAACATTATCAAAACATGGCCGTTTTCTATTTGAGTCAAGTTTAAAATTATCTACTTCTTTATCATACTTCATTGCATCATTAATGACCTCACATAAAGTTTGGTTTACCACTAAGTCTATATCCTCCTGTAATAGTAAATAAATATTTTAGACAACTGAATCAAATATTATTAGTTTCTTACTTAAATTTTATATATTTAAGTTAATATTTTTAATAAAAATAAAAAACTAAAGAATGCCCATATTATGAACAAAAAGGTCATAAGCCAATTATTATTTCAATAATAAGAACCAAATGATTTTTCATTGTTGTATACATACCTTTTTAACTTTATCCAAATAATTTACATCCAAGCTGGGAGTGTTACTTGTTATTCTATTAATATTCAACAAACAAGATTTATAAATTAATACAATTTATTATTATAATATGTTACCTACTTATTTTTATCAACTATGGGAGACATATTAGATATTTGATCCAGTGTTTGTTTAATTTTTAAGTATATTTCTTCGTTAGATGAGTGGTTATCAAACTTTTCTAATAGCTTCAATGCTCCAGCATGGATTCTATAATAAATCTGAAATGAAAGTTATTCATTAATAAAATGTATTTAAAAGAAAACCATAATGGCTGATAAGCTATTTAAATAGGTACTTAAATATCTGGATCTTTAATACTAATTGAATAATTTTTATTCATATTAATAATATTGTTATTTATTATTTTCAAACCTCAAGCATTTCAATTGCATAATGTTCTGGTTGTGTATATATAAACTGTTCTGGAAATTTAGCTCCATAAGAATCTAAACATTGAGCAGCTTTTAAATAATGATCCATAAATAGGCCAGAGTTGTCATCATTTTTTTCACAAATTTTTCCGAGTATATAATGATGCACCCACCGTTCATCTTGCATCCAACTTGAACGTTCTTCATAGTCATCACAATTAATGGAGTCCCAAACCTGATAATAAATAATAACATAGTTTTCATTTTATAATAGTACATAAATATTATTCATCAATTATAATAATGTACATGATTAGCAGCTTCAAAACATTTTCTAGCAATTTTAATCATTTTTTCTTTTTCTTCTTCAAGCTCTCCAAACATTTGTAAGCTCATATTAGAAGTTTCCTAAACATACAAAAATTAAATTAATCCAAATAAAAAGTTAATAACATTAATAATTTATAATTCATATTTTTTTTAGGGACAAAGTAAATAATTATATTAAGTTAAAATTATACAGGTGATCTACTTATCATTATTATTCTTGTAGGAAAAAGTAAAAAAATTCACATTCATTTTTGGATCATCAATTTATAACCTACTACTCCAGTTCACACTTTTAATTATTATAACTCATAACCAGTAAATCAGATATTAGTATTATACCTATCAAAATTGGTAAACAAATATCATTTATTTGTCTTTCTATCTTTATCTGCTGTCAAAATGGAATTTCGCTATTTTAAAATACAATATATAATCATATCAATATAAAAAATAGACTATAAAGAACTTAATACTAAGGACAAGTAAGGTCACTATTGTAGGATGGTAGTAGGGAATGTGGAATACATAAAGTTATTTAATTGATACTTGTAACTAAGCCACCAAGGATAAACCATTGCTAAACAATATATAACAAAATTGAGGAAGAATAAATAATAAAAAATTGACCTCCCAAAAGTACCTTTCCAGTCTGATTTCCTTCAGAAAGTGCTACACGTAAAAATTGGAGCAAGATTTCTGGGGTATCTATAGGTATGCTCAAAATGCATTTGTTTTTTCCTTGTTTAAATAAGAGGGGAAAAAATGCAAAACATGTGTTTCAAATTTAAGTTTGGAAGAATAAATGAAAAAAATAAGAGTAAATTACGAAAACAAAAAAGTGTTTGTGTCCTATATCTATCCACAAATAGGTGTTTCAAAATATCGAAGATATCATTTCGATTTTCAAGTATAAGTTGAACAAAGTTAAAATGTCATCATTAACAGATTATTCGTAAATATTATATTTGAACATACTATAACTTTACCAAATTTTGTAATTAAAAAAAAAAAAATGTATATAAAAATGGTTTTAAATAAAATATTATATCTGAATTTGTAGAAAAATTATGATGCCATTTAAAAAAAAATAAATTGTATTGCGCATGCACATACCACAAGGGTCAAAAATTTGAAATTTGTCTGAAAATGTGTATTTGGGTACTCCCTATACTACAAAAAAAAAACATGTACATTACAAATTTGTTTCCCTCACATTCAGCCAAACTTTTTAACTATTTGGGGTTGATCAGTAAAATAAAAACTATTATAAATTGTTACTATCAATACACACCTGTTTTAATAATCGTGAACAAAAAGAATGGATGCTATAGGTGAATGTTCCATATTCAATGAGCAAAGTAGTATTTTCAGGATTAATTTTTAGAGAGTGCTTATAACACCGACTAGTCATATGAGCTCTTCTTATTATGTCTCCTTCATTTTTTATTGATTCACACTAAAATAAAATATATTTTGATTAATTTTCTTTCTTTATTCATGAATAAATAAATGTAAAATTATTATGTAGCAAATTATTAGGACTACCTGCCTTTTAGTAGAACACCTATTCTCTAATCTATATTAGAGAATATACTGCTGTTTGTCCTCATCCTAAATAACTCTATACATTAAATCATACTATGTATCATAATGGGTTCTAGCAAAAGAGTATATTCAGTTAATATACATAGTATTCCTAGTATTTACACCAGTTAGCTCTTGTATGCAAAAGTAGTTCCCTAAATTTAATTCAAAATTGCATGACAGATCACCAAGGTATCATTAAAACTATAGATAACAATGGAACTATGGACAACAGGTTGTAGGGACAAGGCGCAAGCATATAAAACACTATTTGAATCAACATAAAAACCATAAACAATTACCTTGCATAACTCTGTATACAAATTTAGTTATGAGACTATATTATAATTGTTATTTATTTTTATGTATTTAATATTTTGACTTGTAATATTTGTTTGTGTTTTATTTTATTTGGACTTGTATAAAATATTAGAGTTGACTGAATAAAAATCAGAATTGAGTTTAATTATTTCATATTTCTTCAACTTCAACACTTATACACACTAGTGACATTTGCCCCATTATTTTTTATTACAGAGATGTTTTTAATGAATAATGATTAACAATTTTATAATACTGTACTACTACCAAGCAAATGGTGAAATATTAGTATCAACATCCCTATAGATATACAAAATTTTATCCACCTAGTGTTATTAAAAGTATGTAGAGGTAGCTAAAGCTAAAAACAATTTAACAAAAAAACATGATTTATGCCATAAACCGATTTTACAAATTGAAATTTTTATTATAATGAGTGACCTCATCACTAATATTTATTTTTATTGTTTGTCTTCTATTAATAATATAACAACAGACTCGTCATAGATTCGTAGGCTCATAGGCTCAAATCTTATCCTAAGATAAGACACAAAACATTTTTACAAAAAAAAAACAATATTTTAAATATGATTTTATGAATTTATGTATTTGAAGAAGTATAATTACAATTTATAGGAAAAATATACAAAAAAAATTATAGTGTGATATAATATTTGAATATGCATTTATTTTTATTTTTAACTTTAACATATTTTAATTATTAATTAATATCTTATTTGGTGCATGTTCATTTTTTTTTTTATGTCTTTTTTGTAGTCATGATTATATATTTTTAGAACAGTCCTTAATAATTTCGTTAAATGATCATCCATTAAAATTGAACAATGTTTAGATTTTATTATTTGCATTGTCGAGTATAGACTCGCAAGAATATGTTGTTCCCAAAATTCTACACATTTTATTACATATTTTGATATTTTAGATTATTTACGATAATCATATATACATATACATATAAATACAATAGAAGCTACTTATTAGAAATACTTTGGGACCAAGGTGAAACATGTAAATTAACCAATTGTTTCTAATAAACAATTGGTTTTAATATACAATTGTTTCAATTGCATGAGTATATTAATTATCTTTGTTCCTAATAAGCGGCTTCTACTGTTACTGTATATTAATATGACCATTTTTTTCATTTCTTCTCTTCCATATTTATTAAACATTGGGTGGCTTGTGAGTCTCTTCTCACTGGCCACCCCAGCTATATAACATGGGAGACAGGCAGAAACACAATGATTTTATTTAAATAAAAATGTAAAAACCTTTAATTTAAAATGTATTAATTTTAGCAAAACTGTTATAAATTTAAATATTCTTTAAAAAAAATAAACTATTTATTTTGACTCACTGAATTTAACTTCATTTCTATTTGACTTCCTCTAGCTAATGCCATAGCTGCCCAAGAATCAAATCGATCTGAATTATTGCAAAGATCCAGTATATAAAATGTAATAGCTTTATTCTAAAATAAGTTTAAAATATGTATAAAACATTATTTCATTGATAGGTTTAAATTATAATTACCCAAGTTTTATTTTTGAAATTATAATCAGCTATTAAATAAAACATATTTTTTACATCATTGGGCAATGGGTTATCATTAACAGGAAGTTGGTCAGTTTCACCTTTTATATATTTCATCAAATTTTCTGTTAGTCGTCCTAAAATATTTAATATAAATCTAATAATATTTCATTCCAATACCGATTTCAATTATTTTACCAGGATGAATTTCACTAGGTATAAGAGGTATAATTTTTTTAAGCATGGCTTCTATATCAGAATTTATGGTGTAAGTTTTTGTTAGTCCATCATAACTAGGTAATTCTTGTGGTTGATAAAAATAAACTAATTGTCTTGCTCGAGGCCATGTTAGTGCTAATCCCATTGAATGATGATCCTAGATAAATAACAATATTACAATAAATATAAATATATAACACTACAAAGATAAAATAGTTTGTATTGTTTGTTCTATTTTGAATACCACTTGTATTACCTGAACATTACGTGGTTTATTTCGTTTGATTAGATGGGTATATAAACAATAAAATATTTGATCAACTTGCTGTACAAGTGATATAGTATAAAAATCCAAATCGATAAAGGGTTCTATTTCAGATAATGTTAAAAATAGTAATATTCCATCTTCAAAACAACACCATGATCTCCTAAAAAAGGTTTTATATTGATATCAATAATTTTATTAATTTTATTATACAAAAAAAACAAAATGAAAAGCTTACTTTCCTAAATATTCATGTCCAAGAAATAATAATGCTAATGATTGAGGTATGTTAGAAGTTTGAGAAGAGAATGATGGTTCCTCAGTTTTAGATTCTTCACTAAAAATATAACAGAATATTAAAATTAACACCTCAAAGAAAAAGTTTTACAACAGTCAGAATACTAGATATTAATAATCCCTCAGTTAAACAGAAAAAAAAAATATATTCTAAAATATTTAACTTTTTTGAAAAATATTAAGAAATTAATACATGCTTATTTATAATAGTATTTCAGAAATTATAATTGATATATTTTAAATCTAAATAATATATGCAAATCTAAAATTAATATTAAGTTTAATTTTAGGCAAATTTAATCTTAATCAGTAATATAAGTTAATTTTCAGCCTATATGATTTTTTGGATTTAGAGTATACCAATGTATAGGTTTTTACTATAATGTAGGTATGCAATTTTTTTTTTTCTATTTGCGAATCATTTATCTACCAGAAATTTTACTCTTATCTAGACCTTTTTTTTTTACACTTTGGATTTAGTTGGTGCATAGGGAGATAATTTTTTTAATTTTCTAATTGGTTTTCATAATAATTGTGAAAACCTTGAAGGAAAATTATTGATAAAGTGGCAAATATTTACAGAGCACCATTAGTAGTCGAAAACTAGATTAAAAATACAAAATAATGGTCTCTAGTTGTTTTTCTATTGGAGTAATATTTTTGGTAGAAAACACAAAGTGTACACATTTTAAATTATTCAACTATCATGAATTCTTTTTCTGGGTTTTCCCAATTATTATAAAAACTACTTCGGTGTTTTTATTATTTTTACACAATGTTTTCTACTAGAAATATTGCTCCAATAAAAAAAAAAAACAAAACCAAAAGATGAGTTTTGTAGAATTTCTAATCTAGTTGGTGACCAAAAAACATTGTTTTTGATTATCTTTGTAGATTTTTTAATAACCGAGTAAAAGTGAAAAATACTAGAAAGAACAGGAAAATTTACAAAAATTTTTATTTTATTAATTTTAATTTTGTTTTTTTAATTTAGCTTAAAATATTTGTTGATTTTAAATGTTGACAGAGAACTTATATTTACTTTTTTTAGCTGTGGTAAAACTTTTAGAATATTTCACCAATTTTTGAGCTATTTATACACATTTTAATTTTGTGAGTTTTTGTTTACGTAATTTTTATTTGATAGGTAGTCTGTAGATAAAATATTAAACTTATCAAAAATGCTTGAAAATTTTATTTTTCAGGTTCATTATAAGTTGTACTTTGTGTTAAAAAAAAATAGTTTTAAAATCAAATTTGAGGACAATTTAATTTATTGTAAATATTACAGCTTTTCATGGTACATGGTAGAATTTTAGGACAGTCAGGAAATCTACTCCTTTCTCTTGTTTATTAGATTTTGTACCACTATAAAATATTGTTAAATTTTCTTCTTCAATATTTAATCAATCGCTAAATTCCATAATATTTAATTAAAGATGATATGCAAAATAAAACTGTGTAGACTACCTAGTGTGCATGTGCCTATTTCACTCAGTTAAAAATGTTATCACTAGTCACTAAGTATTTACTCTATTTAGGAAATGTTAAAATTCAGTAATTTTAACATTAATAACTATAATTTACAAGAGATCAATTTTCAGTAACACACTTAAAATATAAAAATTTTCTTTTTATAATATATATGATGAACAGTTCTAAAATGTAATAATTTGTTTGAAACCGAAAAAGTACATATTTTAATTAATCCCAAGTGTTATTATTAATGTATATATATAATATAAGCATACAGAACTTACTATTTTAACAAATTATAAATTAATAACCATGGAGATACAGCATCAATTTCTGGATTGCCATCTGGAGTTTCTATTAGATATGACAGTAGATTTATTACTGATTGTATAAGTCTGGATTTATAGCCTTGACATAAATAATCAACTAAAAATAAAAAAGTAATTAACCATAAGAAATATATTTAAATTTTTTTAATATAAAATTATTATTATAATTATTACTTACAAATTTTTAATCCTTCTATTTTAATAGATTTTAACATAGCATAAAATATATTGTTAATAAAATCAGCTTGATTAGCTTTCTGATTTACATCAGAGTCCTCTATTAGACTTTTACGATGTTGCAAAATAGCTTCATACAAACATGGCTCACACCATTTAAATAATTCCTTTAAACATTATACATTATAAACTCATGACTTAAAATAAGAATAATATGCATACCTGATAATTTTCTAACTCCAAAAATGAATTTAACATGAATATATATTGGTTATATCGTGACATAGTTTGATAACTAGGTATTTCTATAAAATTACGACTCTGAGGTTTCAAGGTTTCTTTTAAAATATTGACAACATTTAAATATTCTTTAGACTCATACAGATTTTTGACAGTGCTTAATAAATTATTTCTAAAAATATAAAATTATGTAAATATATATATAATAAAATATATAAGTGCCTTAAAAATATATAAACCTTTTAAGTGTGAAGATAAGTTTTTCTACTATTCTTTTATTTATTCGGTAAAAATATTCTAAATTTGGTAAAATAATTTCATAATCATCCAGACTGCCAATAAAATTCAACAACTAAAAAATATAATGCACATTTAATTATTTTACTTTAAAACTAGTTTTTTTTTACTAGTGTACCTTAAATGAACCACCTTCTATGTTTATTTAAACAGAGAAGTTAATTTAAAATTCTTTATTTATGAAGAATACTATAGGGTAATTTAATTTGATAATTTAATGAATTTAAAATTAATAATTTAATGAATTTAAAATTAATAATTTAAAAAAAAAAAACAATTTCTCAATTATTCTAGATAATCAACCTTGTTATGTTCTGATTATTAATTAGTTATCTATAAAATGCTATTCATTATGGAAGATTGAACTAAAAGTATATTATAATTTAAAGTACTTATTATAAAAATAAAAACTTAGATTACCATATCTAGCACATCACATGTTAGTCCAGTTTCTTTATCTTGCACATGAAATATTGCTTTTAACCAAAGAAACCGAATATTAATTGCTACGTAATCATCCTTGAAATCTAATGAAGAGAGTGCATCAGTAATGCTACCAATCCACAGAGAACAAAAATCTCCTCCAATAATACTATAAAATAAAGTCAGATTAGAATATTTAACAATAAGTTACATATTTACCATACAAATAAGTGTTTACCTTCCTTCTAATGGCTTTTGGTTAGTTTTCAATTGAAAATAAAGATCACATAGTAATTCACCATAAGTGAGAATGGATATAATTTCATTTTTTATTGTTGTGCATTGCTCATCATTTAAAGTATCACAATTTGAGTCAGGAATATAAGATAAATTTTGTTTTTCTGTATGAATCCTAAATAAATATATATTATAAATTAAAATACATAATATGTGTATTAACTATAAGTTACGTACCATACTCTTTTAAAAATATCAATATATATTTGCACCATATTAGAAGGCCAAACATTAGGCCATTTGTTTGCAATTATAATTAAAAAAATTTCCAGTAAATTAGAAATTGATTTCTTGTCATTTTCTTTAATGAAATTACTTAAATGGTTTATTTCAATATCTGACCCAAAATAATTGTCATCCTTCATTTGTCTGTTAACAATTTATAAAATTAATTAATTTGAATACATATGATGAAGTATTTATTTATTATGCATACTTAATTCGATCTTCATCATTAATATTATTTTTTAGTAAATTTTCAGTATGTGCATCACTCAATAAGTCTGAAAATTCATATAACCTATACAGATCCATTGTATCCATAGATTCATCTGACCATTTGATAGAATTGATATTAAATTTATCATTACCATCTGTATTTAGCCTTAAATCAGAGTAAATAGAATATGCAATTCAATACAATAAAAAAAAAAACCTCGAGATTTTCAAAATTAATACTTAAAAATATGACGATATAATAAATACGAAAACAAGTATAAAGTATAAAAAAAATAAACACTTTAGTTTATACTGAGTTTTGATTTTTTTTATACATATATTCCATATACACAGTGATTCACAAAGCATAATCATCTCATTTTTAGCTTAAATTCTACATATATTCAAGTTCTGATTTTTGAAATTTTTAATTATAGATAAAGCAGATATTTTTGAGTACATACATTTTTCACAGCATTTTACTAATATCCTGTTACCAATTTTGGTGTTTATGAGAATGTATATTAAAAAATACATAAATAAATGTAGTATTACTTTAAATAAATTTGAGTGCTGACATTTTTAATTTCCATCAATCTGTTAATGAGAAATTCCACTTTTAAATTTAGGAGGAGAATAGTGGAGTATCATTTGTGTGCTATTTTATTAGTGCTTCATTACTCTCCCCCTACCTAAACTTAAAAGTATATCTGGTCAAAGGGATGACAGAAATCAAAAATGTCAACACCTAAATTTATTTAAACTAATATTCTATCTATTAATGAAACTTTAAATTTTAGTTTTCATTTGAAAAACCAAAATTGATATCACCACAGGATTCTACTTAAATGTTATGAAAAATTTAAGTAAGCATTTGAAAATATCTTAAACTACACTTAAAAATAAAAATTCCAAAAATCAGAATTTGAATATATACAAAATTTAACCAAAAAAATAAGGTTAACATACTTAATAAATCATTCTGTATATATATTATATTTATTTTATTGTCAATACAATTATGAAAAAATTAAATAAATATATATAAATAAAACTGTACAATAAATGTTGAGGCATGATATCCCATACTGATTTTACTAATGTTGATTCATTAACTTTAGAACTTGCTTTATTTCGAGCTGATCTTCGACTTAATTTCAAATGATCAGCAAGTGATGGAGAACTTTTTCTTCGTCTCGTAGAAACTATTAAATATAGATTATTTTGAAAGTTATACAAAAATTTATTTTTAAGAATATTTACCATCAAGTTTAAATAAAGGCTTTTCAGAATCCTTTTCATTGTATTTTTCATCAACGAGAATGTAGACATCTGTTGTGTCCAGTTTTGATGGGTTAAAATTAAATTCTATAGGTTCATAAAGAAGCTGAAAAATAATAGTGGAGTAATATATTTAAAAGTAAACTATACAAATTATTAGTTAAGATTAACATACAATTTGTTTTTATTTTAGATTATACATTTTAATTTTTCATAAAAAGTTTTAAAATACTCTTTTTCTTGAATAGCTAATTATCCTAACTTAATAATTTAACCAATAAAAATTGTAAGTAAAAAAATTAATTTATAAAGAAATTAACATATTTGTATTACTTCTTGTTTCTAATTTAAATTACAAATATAACTAGCCTAAAGAGTAATATATTACATTGATTTTTTTTATTTAATAAAAATTAACTAATAGTAACAAAAAAATTAAAAATATTTTTACTTTCATTCAAAATCTGAATTATGTATATATTTTATTTTATTTTATAATTAATTTAAAAAATAATATAAAATCCCTATAAAATAGTGTCATTAATTTTTGGACCTTATTTTTCAGATAAAATCCCCTTAATTAATTTACATAAAATATATACAAAGTATATATAATTTAACCATGAATAATTTTTGTTTAGTTGGGCAAGGTTAACCTAATAAAAATTTGAAATTTGAGCAGATTAATAAACTTGTTTTCCATTTTTGTAAATATTTCATGAAAAACCAAATTATTTTGTTTTGTTTTGAAGAAAATTGTATTTTTAAAATATTGTTCTAATATAATATTTTTTCATAATTTAAAATATATATCAACTTAAATATATGCAAATAATGTTTGTTACAATTTGTTCCAAATAAGATAATAAATATAAAGATATTAAAAGATAAAATATAGAAGATAATAAAAAGAATAAGATAATTATTATAAATAATATTGCCCATTCCACTGATCAAGAAATCTAAAGGTCAAGACAACAGATCTACTTTATTTACTCTGTTTTATATGAGCTTGTTTTAAAATGTTTAATTTTAAATGAATTTAAATACATAGCTCAACATTTTCAGAATGTTTTGATATTTTCCATATGCCTAAAATAAGCTAATATATGTATTTTATACAAATTGTTGATCCAAACAAATATTTTCAACTGGATTATAAAAAAAAATTATTAATGAAACTGCTATTGCTTTAAATTTCACTGTGTCTTTCCCAACTAATTAGATTACTCAATGCATACATAGATAAAATTTATGTTAAGAAAAGATGGTAAACTTAAAAATGATATCAAAATTTCTGGTGAACAAGTGAAATAATTATAACACATGTGTGTGTGTAATAACCACTTGTTGTGTAACATAGTATTTGAAGTATAACTATTTTAAGTGCAATAAATCCCAAACCCTAATAATCATGTAGAGGCACAATATATTGTAAATGCATAACAAAACATATTAATAGTTGTAAATTTATAATACATTTTAAGATTTTGATTGGTTTTTATAGATATTACTACTCTTTTTTTTTTTTTTTTTACTAGTAAAGTAATTTTATGTCATCTATCAAAATGGGATCTTACAGGTTACACAATTTATAATTACCGAGTGTTCAAAATTTTCAAACAAATTATCGTAAATATTCAATAACCATTTTCCCAAATGACCCCAACTCTTGAACTCTAAGGGGTTTGCATATAATACTGATTTACATGACTTCTTGATAGCTTTATATTTTTGTAACATTGGATCATTTTTCTTAATACTTTCAATTTCATTCAATATTTTCTGTTGTACATCATTATTTATCATTTCAGTGCATTCAATGTCTAAACCACTGCAAGTGTAATGCAATACATGCAAATTTAGTTTAACTGTGTATTATTCAAAATAATTTATAAAAATATATGTTGTTAACACGAAAAAACCTCCAATGGGCAAAATTTTTGATTTTTGAGGTTTTTGGTATTTCTGGATTCAGAAAAAATAGGTCATCATTATGATAAAATCTGATATTTGTTATCTTCATTGAAGAATTAATAAAAATAATAAATAAATCTTTTTATGTATTACCTACCACAAATCGTTTATGAAATACCTCCTATTTGATTACATATTTGGTTAAAATTACATTGAAGATATTGGCAAACAAAATATGTGTAGTGTTGTTTATGAAATATGCACATGGGAGATTTCACCAAGTTTATAAATGATTATATTAACAATAATTAATAATATTATATTAAAAATAACATAAAAAATAAATACACTGTTTAAATTTTATAAATATAAAGTTTAAAGATGTTTGTTTTATTATGTTAAAGATGTTATACAATTATAATTTTTAAAAAAATCATTTTAAATTCATCCTCAAATGTGGCACTAACTATTATTCAAAAAACCTCCAATGTAAGTTTGATAAAAAACATAAAATAATAAAACCTCCGATGTAGTAAACAAATTACATTTTATGCAATAATTGGACAAATATTGAATTTTTTTTTCAAAACAACATTAGTGTAATTTTACAATTCAAAAATTGATCAAGATAAAGATCATAAGCAATAAGGTTTTTTTTAAAAACATTTTTTATCTCATGAAAAATCATGTTTTTACACACTGGAATTTTTCTCGTGTCAGACTATTTAAACACTAATTAAAAACACTCACTATCCTTGCACAGACCTTTGCAATTTGAATTGTTTTTTAGTTAGTTATTATACCTTCTTAGGTAATACACATTTTCAGGCAAACATTTTATCAAATATTCATGATATAACTTTTTATAACCCCTTTTTTAATTACTATTTTTTTTTTCATAATATTTGTATGAATTTAATTGGTCAAACAACTTATCTAAAAAAAAATTGCGTGAGATAGACAATTAAAATAAATTTAATTAATTAAACTAAATCATTATGTTCTTTGAGCCTATTTAATAATTATTTTCTTAATACTTACTTAACATAAACAACTTAGGTTTCATTATTCTCTACCATTTATCATACTTCATAAAGCATTTAAAACTTACTGGCATTGAGATTAAATTAACAATCTCCTAAAATCTCTAAAATCTATATCAAATACATTTTAATTGCCATATCTCAGCTAATTTTGTACTTAGAAAAGTGTTTTAATCATAAAATTCATAAAAAAATAACTAAATAGTAAAAAAAATAGGGTTGATATTTAAGAAATAAATTGTATCACATATACCCATATTCAATCAACAGTAAAAAATTCTGAGTGCATTAAAATATGTATTACTAAATATAACTATGTATTGCTAACTATAAAAATAAAATGTAAATTGCATGGTTCTGTACTCTACTATCTCTACTCCAAGGATATTGAGTCTTCAATTAGTTTTGATATACATTGTATAATAATTATATTGTTTACCCTTCTGAGCAATAACTTTTAAAATAGGATATTAATGATGGAAATTGTTTAAAAATGTTTTCTTTGATAAAATGCCCTTTAATATAGCCAGAATCTAAATTAAGTGAAATGTTTATATAATATAAACAACAGACATATTCATTGCTTGCATATAATAAAGTAATCAATTTATCCAGAGTAGGCCAATGATTAGGATTACATTTAATACCCTGAAAAATAAAAAGTAATTATATAACAATTAATATTAAAATTTATTTATTTAAATGTGTATTTATTAGTTGAATACTTAAATATAAGTAAATATACAATACACATTTTTCAAATGTGTATAATTCATATACTTAAATTTAAATTTTGAAATCATATAATAACTATTCATTAAAACAAAAATTTGTTTTTTAAATAATGTATACAATAATTAATGTAAATAATTTTTTGGAATATGAAAAAAATTAATTATTATAGAATTCAGTTTGATTTATAGAGCATAAAAATGTATAAATTACAAGGATAATTATCATTTGTTTTTGCTAAAGAGTATACAAACAAGCCAACAAATAAGTAGTAGTAAATATAGCAGTGAATACTACAGATATTAGGTATTTTTCAAAACCCATATTTTTGGAGATATTTTAGATATTAATTCAAGGCGATAAATACAGATTAAAGAAAAATAATGGCTCACTAGTGTAAATAAGCTATACGGGTATCAGAAATTATAGAGAACAATGGAAGTATCGGATGAAAATAAGGATCAATGCGCAATAAAATGGATAATAAAATTAATATTAGGTTAGTTTTAACATTATTTCCATTAATAAATATAATTAATCACCTCTAAAAATGCTGATATTGCTTGATCAGTTTGATATAATTTGGTATGAGTTAGTCCTAGTCGATACCACAAATTTAAATCTGTACTATCCATTTTTAAAGCCTAAAAATAATTAGATTTAATTACTGTTTTCATAGGTAGTTAAATAGTTGATAAATTTACCTCTTGATAATGCATTAAGGCTTCACTGTAGTTAGATTTTTTAAATAGAAGGTTACCTAAATTAGTAAGGCAACAATATTTCAAATGAGCTAATAAGGATTCAGATTTATTTTTTTCTGCTAATGTAGTATTAATCTAAAATAATAATTGTATAAAAACTTATTATTATAAATCCAAAAAATAAAATGTAATGTGTGCTTTAGTTTATATTTCTAGTACTTACAGAACAAATGATTTCACTCTGTAAAAGTTCAGACAATTGTTCCTCTGCTTCATTTAATTGATCTCTAGCTAAATATTGTAGAGCTTGACTATATTGTAGTTCTGCTTTTGTTTCCTGAAATAAATGATTTATTAAACTACAATCAAATTTAAACTTATAAATCATTAGTAGTTAAGTAAAAAAAATATAAATTTTTAAATTTAATATTGCTTACATATTTACAAGTTAAGTAACTCAATTAAATATCTACCCAAATCCCAATATTCTATTAAACATAAAAAGGAATGAATCAAATTATTATAAGTATAGTTTTAGAGATTATCACCTCCAGAACATGGTATTTTATTCAACATCATAAGTAATATATGTATCAAGCTTGTTTAAAATTTATTCATATATTAAGGTGCAAAATTTTAAAAATCAAAGTTATTAATATTTCATTAAGAACTGTTAATTCTTAATTATCAGATGCAGAGCCAGTTTAAGGTATAAGTGGCCTAAAATCAAGTTTATGATAGCATCACTGCCAACTTTGATATAATATTGTAAAATAATATTGAGTTCAAATTATTTTATTAGTATAAACACTTATACAATTAATAATCAGGTACCTAATGGAACTATTCTCTTATCATTAATATAGCACTAAGAATTTTACTAACAAAGAAACTTTTCAAGTTGTTACTGCTCACAGGTAGACCACTGTAGTACTAAGGAAGATAATATATACCAAATTTGATAAATAATGGCAAATAAAAAATGATTCAAAGTAGAATAGTGAAGTAGTAATACATTTCTTGTAGCTAAAGTAACCCAAAAATCAACAAAATAATCAACAATGTATCTATCAACATTTGTTATTAGTTTTTTAAATTATAGATAATTTGTGGTTTTCAAACAAACTAAAATTGTTTTTCAAAAAAAAAAAAAAAACCAAAGAAAGGACCTAGAGTTGAAACTGTTGAAATTTCAATAAATATTACAAATAAAATAAAGACTTTACTGTCTACTTAATAGATACCATCTTCAACAATTTTGTATCTTATAAAGTTTTAAAAAAAAAAACATAAAAAGTGATTTATTAGAAAAATGTTTATAATAAAGTATCAATCAAAATATTTGCTTCTTCAAAAATATGAAAAAAAAAAATTAACTTAGTAAAACTAAATAAGTTAGTAAATCATAGTAAAACTCTGAATAAAAAAATATTAACATATGTACAACCACAAATGTTCACACCTTAAGACCATTTAATAAAGGGCATTTTGTGAGCTGGGCTATTCTTACCAGAGTATAGACTGCCATACAATTTTATATTATTAATTGAAATATTTTTGGATAACCAAAAATGAATAATATGGTGGGAAATGATTGTATAATATGTGACTGACTAACGACTTTATTATAATTATTAATATACATAATATATAATATTGATTATTTTGAATTTAATTATAAATGTATTAGATTATTTTTAAATTTATTGTAATTGGAAATAGCTATGCAGCGATTGTAATTGATATATTGAGAAATAACTATGAAATAACATGTGATTAATTAATTAAACATTTTTGATTTAAATATTATTATTATATTAATTATCTATATTTTGAAATACCTAACATCTAAAAAATTAATGTTGGAATATTGAATATGGTACCTTAAGGGTGAAATTAGAAAGAGATAGTTGGATATAGTGAAAGAAGATATCAAGGAAGTAGGAATACAGGAGTCGAAGATTGTGGTAGTAATAAAAAATTTAGTATTAAATGTCAGCAGAAAAATAATTACATAGGTACCTAAAATATATTCAAAAATATACCTATATACCTAAGTAAATGGGTAAAAGGAAAATAACTTACCAACGCTTCTTTGGTGATTTTAACTGGAGCATCATCATTATCACTACTTTCATCAGTGGAACAATCATTCAATGCTCTAAGTTTTGATGGTAACATAATACAAAGTCATCCGAACAATTCATTTACCTATTTATAAAGAAATATAAAACTATACAAACAAGTAATTTTTTTGGTATTTATTTAAGTCAGTCCATCAGTTTACCTATTGTTCTAACAGAAGTTTACAATTGCAAGTAAATATTATACATTAATAAATTGGTAGATAGGTAACGAGTTGTGGTTACAAATTTTCGGATAATTATTTAAAAATTCACATTTGCAATAGGTATAAAAAAAATTAAACGTCTACACTGATTTGATAACATCCAATGTTTCTGTGAATCAATTCTCTTGTCTTATATTATCACACTATACAAATTTGTAATTATAATCACGAACATCCAAGTCGTATCCACGGCTTAAACGGGAGCGCATAAAAATGCAAAACATAAATCAGTGAAAAATGAATTGGGAGATAATTTTTGCCAAACAATAATTAAGACGAAACATATTTTAGCCGAACAGTATACTTTAAGTCGAACGTAGTTATTCTAAAATTCATTTTGACGATATTACAGCCAACCGTAAGATTCCCAAATAAATGTGTGATAATTAAAGTTTACCATCATAAATAATCAATGGTTAAAACTATAGATAACAATAGATAACAATACTAAAGCGGTCACTGACCAGCTGTAGCTGTCAAGTCTTATGTTTCTTTATAAAAATATGTAGGTATGTTAAATAAAAAAAAATATCAGCAGTCTTCCAAACAATAATCAGAAGTGTCAGCTGATTTACTGTCGGCGGAATTATTTTTCTGCTCAGATATTTTCCGATGAATTAATTGTCGGCTTAACCACAGTCAATTGAAATATTTTCGGATTTCTTTTTAGCCTTCAACTTCTTTTAACGGCTCAAACTAAAATATGATAATGTAAATGACTGCTCGATTTATAACGTTTTGCTGTTGTCAAATTTAAGAAAAAATGAAATGTGTACAAAAACTAACCTTGCTGCGCCGTTGTAAGATAGCAAATAATAATTTTTAAAAAAAAAAGCAAATAATCTGACAATCGTCTCGGTGACAAACTTGGGCATCCAATCGAAATGTATGAAAAATAGTTGGAAATAGTATAGTTTTTTTTTCACCACACATAAAAACAATTAAATTCTGACATTGACTCGCGAATAGAAGTATTCATTATCCAAAGGCTCGGTCTTGCGTAGGACACTATCGTAGTGTCGTCAGTCGTCACTATCCTACTTCCACTACTTGCAGAAGTAGTATCGGGTTCAGCTTCGAATTTAGGTAAGGATTCATGAATAATATATTATCTACACAAATACTATAAGCCCATTGGTCCAAGATAGTAAAGGGGGAAACAGACAATTCGTCCCCGGACAATCTGTTTCCACGAAAAAACTTCGTATCCATGCGGACAATCAGTTCTCGTCATAATTTTATATAGGATCATTCGTCTACAGTATTTTTTTTTTTTAGCACGTTTTTAAATAATTTATAACTAAAAGATTTTGAAACGTATAAGTGATACAGAAAAATAAAGTTATATCTATGTTTAATGTTTTTAGTATCAACTTTTTAAAAGATGAACTATTAAATATCTATTCATTTGAATAAAATGCACTTTACCACGCCCCTCACGAATTTCAATTTTTCTTTTTTATTAAATACGTGTATTTAAACACTGATTTTTAAACTGTTTGCATTTTTCGCCATTATTAAAGAAGACAAAACAATTTCAAAAACTTTGAATTTTTAAAAAATACATTTTTTCTTAATAGATGGTTTTTTGGGCGTTGATTTGGAAATGTTTAAATATTTTGCTAGAGCCATTTTTAAAGAAGTCTTGGCAAAAAACTTCGAAGACTTCGACATTTTAATTAAGTTTATTTATCATGCGATTATTCGTCGTAATAGTGATATCTCGACGTAGAGATAGCATCGTAAATAATATAAGAATGGATAGGCCAGTCAAATTTATCTCAGAGGAATGAACATTTATATAACTTGAGATTACAAGGGGTTTTATCAATAAAGTTGTTAACACAATTAAAGATATCTTATTTTATCTATGACTAGTATCTCCTGCACCCGCTCCAGATTGGTTACCTCTTGTGATAAATTCATAGATAATACATAATTTATGGATAATCGAAATGTAATTGACAATTTTTTTTAAATAATATTATGCTGATTGTCAATCTATTCACCTGTGTAATTTGTATAGCTTTTTTATTATAATTAAATCAAAATAATTGTAATTAAACTAACATCCGTACCATTTTGTGTTATGAATATTAATCGTTTCAAATATTTTGTCAATTAAATTGGTTAACAATACAAGTTATTGGTAAGTTCTTCAAGTTTCTCGTACATCATTGCCTATTAATACATAGCGATAATAGCATGTTATAAAATTAATTATTGAATCAGTTAGTCAAAAAGTTTAAAATTTTGAATTTGGCCATTTCATACAAAGTTTAACTAGGTATAACATATTTTAACATAGTGAAGTAATTTTATTTAGAATTTTACATAGATAACGTGTTTAATTAAATATTTAGTTCATATATTTCGCTGGCCTAAGCCCAATAACAATTTTTAATAGAATATTTTATATGGACAAAAACATTGGTTGAATTAAATGTAACAAGAAAACAAAATATGTGAGTAAATAGCAATAATATAAATATAAAAACATTCAACAAAGTATAAATTAAATAAATGAACTTTAGCATAAGCTAATTTTCAGATTCTATTAATAGGTGATTCTATAAGATAATTTGTTTTATGGAATGTGATACAAAAATATTTTGTAGATCTAGTTTGACACTTTGGAATACACAAATTAAACCATCTGAGTTACACAATTGGAGAGTCAATACCTATAACCATTGACTATTTTATTTAAGAACTTCAATCATTAATGTTTCTCTAGGCACTTAGATAGGTTACATTTAATTTATCCAATAATGACTTATAATGTTAATGCGGTTTACATGTAGTACCAATTTTGTATGATACAAAAAAACAAAATGTTTCTAGATAGCTGCAAGTCTTTATTATTATGTTATATTCTAGATTTCTGAAGTAGAACGCAATAGTGAAAAACACCATGTTTTAAGCAGTTTTTATAGATTCTTGTATAGATAATTTTTTTGAAATATATTATTAATATTTCTTATTTCTTTAAAAAAATAATAGGCCCCACTGAACAGGTTTGTGTGGAGTCCCAAATATAATTACAATATGTTATAAAATTATATCTTTATCTATGTATGTATTTTTTTTATAGAGACACAAAAATACAATGGGATTTCAAAGAAAATATCTACTCAAATACCTTTCAATTTTAAGTTATGTACTGAAAGTGTGTTTTAACAAATCCAATTCGATAATTGTATTGAAAAATGTACTTCATGATCTTAAAGTTAGAATTATTTTTGGCTCAGAAACACCTTATAAATGTTTACCAGACAATATATTAGAAAAGCTTTTAACTAAATCATATGACAGTAAAACAATCTTAAAGCACTCTTTACAAATTCACAAATGCTTATTTGTTAGTCAAGATACATTAACTAAATTAAAGTTGAACAACATGCAATGGATATTGGTTAATGTTATAACAACCAACGCTTCGAGCCGTAATATTCCTATGTTATACTATAATAGAATAATAGTTTTAAATTCATTTAAAGAATCTGAGTGCCTTTTGACATCAAGTAATTTATTTAATCTATGTAATTACAGTTACTCTTGTAAAGTTCTAATGTTACGAATTATTAAACCTGTAATGGATTATGAACCAAAAATGTCACAAAAAGCATTAATTTGTTTGATGAAACCATTAGTTTTCAATGAGGCTACACAAGTATTATTGGATAAAGTACTTTACAGTTATTTCTCCCTACAGAAGTTTGTATCAGTAGGAGATGTACTACCAATAGAATTAAATAAATGCTCTCCAGAAGCTCAATACTTATTGAAACCTATGAATAATTCAGTTTTATATATTAAAATAATTGAATTGGAAGGAAAAAATAACAAACTAAGTGTATACAACTGTAAAAGCCATTTTTATATCTCTAGTTTACATACTAAATTAAATGAAGATAAAAGTTTTATCAGTACATATTTGCCTATGGAAAAAGTTTACGGAATAAATAATTTGAAGAATCTAAATATAAACAATTACAATGATTATATACTGAACACCATTCCTGATGGAATGAATAACGAAGGAAAATTATTAGTATCTTGGATCAAACCTTTTATTCGTCAGAAAAATTTTGGTACATAATTTTAATTCAATTTTTTTTTTTTTTTTTTTTCATGCATTTAATTAATTTTAACAATAAATCAGGAAATTATAATATATATTATATACAAGTTGATTCAAAGTTTATGTTACAATCATGATATCATGTATATATTTATAATATGCAAAAATTGTTTAATACAAAAATTTGTATAAAGATCTAAAATAATTTTTGGTGTCAACTTTTGAAATTCAAATGAGAACATATATTTAAAATTACATAAATAGATGAAGTGTTAGTGTAAATAAATTTCGTTAACATTTTTAATTTCTAACAACTAATTTATGAGATATTCTACTATAACACTATGCACTTGTGTGGTGGCATGACATATACAGGGTGATTTTTTTTTTACTATGAATTAGCAATGATCTCAGAATTTTAAGTGAATTGGATTTCTGTTTTTTCTATTCATTATGAAATCGTTTAAGCTTTATTTTAAAACCATTTTTAATTTTTTATCCCTACTCCATGTACCTTAATTAAGTGCATACTTTTGATTTTCAAATAAGACCTTCCCCCTTTTAAACATAGATTTGAATAGAGAATATTTTTTTAGAAATTTTAATATGAATCACACTTATATCAGATTTACCGTTTATAAGTTATAACAGTTTAAATTTAAGACTGGATGAGTAGGGAGGTAGTAGAGAAGGGTCATAGATAAGCAATTTGTTACCTAATTTATTAATAGTTTTAAAATAAAACTTAAATGATTCCATAATGATTAGAAAAAACTGAAATCCCATTCACTTATAAATCTCTGAGATAATTGCTGGTTCATGATAAAAAAATCACCCTGTATAAATCATGCCACGACACAAGTGTATAGTGTTATAGTAGAATATCTCATCAATTATTTGACGGAAATCAAAAATAACAACACCGAAATATATTTAAACTAACATTCCATCTATTTATGGAATTTAAAATATAGGTTCTCATTTGAATTTCAAATTCGACTACTAAAAAAGATAGTAAAAAAAAATTATTTTATATGTTTATAAATTAAAAAACTTTTTTATTATCCTGTATATTGAGGAAATTATATTAATTTTATTTCTTAGATTTTAATTATTTTTGTTAAAATCATTTCAGATTTTTCATTATTAAAACCAGTTTTTCTAGTTTATGGAATAAATGGATGTGGCAAAGAATTGTTGATTAAATCCGTATCTCGATATCTTGGTTTAAGATACATACCTCAATGTTGCTATGACTGGCCTACAAACAATATTTCACAATTTAAAAAAAAAATTGAATATTTTTTTGATAATTTGATAAAAATGACACCTTGTTTATTACATTTAGAAAACATTGAAGTATGTGTTACTGTGTTTAAAAATATACTACTATATCATACATTAAATTGTTTATTATTTTAAAAAATGTATTTTCTATTTTTAATTTAGGCTTTATGTTTATCTTCTTCTAATGACTCGGAGCAAGAACTTTTGGATATATTTATGAGCCAAATATATATCAAAACCTTCAAACCAATCATAATTATTGCTTCTACTAATTCCAAAGAAGAAATCAGTCCTATTTTTCTACGAATATTTCTGCAATGTCAAAAAATTGGAGACTTAAATAAAATTAATCGTGAACAATTATTCAAATGGATATTGAAACGAGATTCCATTATACTTGATAGTACTATGATTAAAAAAATTATAGATCATACTTCTAGTTTTCATTATATCAATTATATGACTTTACTACTGTTATCTGCAAAGTAAATTTGAAAAAAAATTAATACATACAATAAACTTATTTATGTTATTAATATTGTTTAACAATTTTTTAAAGACATCACATGAGCACAAATAATAAAAAATCAACTTCAATTATATTGGATGAGTCTGATATAATGACTTCAATAGGTTTGTAAATACTCATTTCCAAATATTTATTAATTCTTGAATTATTAATGGTTAGTTAATAATATTAAAAACAAGTTAAACTATTTAACTAAACTAATATGATTGATTTTGTTTAAAATTGATAAAAGTATATTTGTATTATTTAATTTTCTATGTTATCATTTTAGAGAAAATAAATAAAATGTTTACAAAGTCAATTGGAGCACCAACAATACAGACTGTAAAATGGGATGATGTTGGTGGCTTAATAAACGTAAAAGAGGAAATTATGTCTGCATTAAAACCTTCAAAGCGTAACATGAGAAGATCTGGTAATATTATATTAATTTTAAAAATACTATGCAAGTTTGTTTAAGTTCATATTTAAAGATTAATAATAAATGTTTCATAATATTATATCATGAAATCAGTATTATTTAGGTATTTGTATTATTATTATTTTTTTTTTTTTTTTTTAAAGTAATGTTTTATAATTATTTTTTAATTTTGCTTGGTTGTAAAATGATTGAATAATTTAATTGTTCTAAATATTGTACTTAGGAATATTATTATATGGCCCACCTGGAACTGGAAAAACACTGTTAGCAAAAGCTGTGGCAACTGAATATAAATATAACTTTTTATCTATAAAAGGTCCTGAACTGCTTAATATGTATATTGGACAAAGTGAAGCAAATGTCCGGGAGGGTAAATAATAAATATTTTTCAAATTAATATTGATTTTACGAATCCATAATGACTAACAACTATAATTGTTTATTATTTATTACACATAACTTACAATTTATAAACTTATATTATGATTGGTTTTTTTCAGTTTTTAATAAGGCTCGTACAGCTGCACCATGTATTTTATTTTTTGATGAACTTGATTCATTGGCACCGAAACGTGGTCAAAATGGAGATTCTGGAGGAGTGGGAGATAGGTTAGATTATTAATTGTTCATGATTATTGATTAATTAATTTAATATACATATTATTGCATATTTATTTATATATATATATATATATATATATAGAGTTGTATCACAGTTATTAACTGAAATGGATGGAATGACATCAGGAAATCAACAAATATTTGTTCTGGGTGCTACAAACCGACTAGACCTTATTGATTCTGCACTTCTACGGCCCGGAAGGTATATGATTATTCATTAACTATAATTTTATTTTAAATTTTTAACTTTTTTGTAAAAACTTTTCATATATAATTTTTTAGGCTTGATAAAAGTGTATATGTCAGTGGCTGTAATGATACTGAATCCAAACTTCATGTTTTAAAAGCATTAACAAAGAAGTATGCATAATTTTCTATATATATATAATAAATAATACTTTAATTTAATTCATTGATTTATTGTTTAACACCATGTTTTATCTAACTATATTAGTTTATATTACTTAGATATATATATATATATATATTTTTACCATGTAGATTCTACTTATTTGATTTGTTTAGACTTCTAACCTTGAGTGATTATATTTTAGATTCTTCGTAGAGAAGCTTGTGGTTTTACAATTATGTTTATTTTTTTTTTCCTGTGAACAACTTTTCTACGAACAATTTTACTCTTATTTACAATGATAGCACTTTTTTTTAAAAAGAAATTTTACTGGGGTGGTAATTAAGAGAGGTCATTTATTTATTTTCCCAGGAGTTTTCCCAATAAATAGAGAAAACATAAGAAAATAGTCACAATATTAAACAAATATTATTTAATAAAATTACCATAATATGAGATGTACATTGTTGAAAAATCAACACTATTGACTAAACTCCACTCAGAATAGGTTTTTCATAAGCAATGGTTTATCGTTGCTGACAGATATACATTAAATTCCCATTTGTATCCTACCGTCCCAACATCTCACCCCTACAGCAGTGGCTGCACCCACCCCCATCATCATAGAACAGCTTTTTTTATTATAATTATTATTTTTGATTTGTACAGATTTCATTTGTATTCAAATGTTAACCTTGGGCATCTAATAGATAATTTACCTGAACAAGTAACAGGAGCTGAATTGTATGGAATGTGTCACAATGCTTGGCTGAACTGTGCCAGACGAGTTATTCAACAACGAAATAAACAAATTAATGGTGAATATTGGTGATCTATAGTCTATCCCAGGAGAGAAAGGTCCGCTTCTGCGCATGTTTTCCCCCTCCACATAGCCTATTGTCATTTTTTCAGTGTCGGTTTATGACTATACACCGCTAGGATATTTTGTAGAAATTAAATTGTTATTATTATCAGACATCGCGCATCGCACGTTTATTTACCTTTGCTGTTTTATAACCTCTTGATAATTTTTCAAATCATAAACTATCATATATACAAGCACCTTCTATNACAGTAGGTATAACAAAGTAGGTATAATACAGAGATATATATTTAATAAATAATAAATAATTATATTAAAACATTTCATTTTTTATTCGTTAAAATTACAATTTATCATTTTTGTCATATTGGCGATAAACAGTGGACTATTGACAGACAACAGTGCATTATTTGAAACGCAGTGTACAAAACCTGTCGATAGATCCAGGAGGGACTAAATGGATAGTGTTGGGGGGATGCGCAGTAGCTCTTCGATTTGGTCGGAGAGCGGACCGTTCTCTCCTGGGACAGACTATAGGGAGGTCTATAGAGGGCCATTTTTTTTAGTTTATTTAATAATTAGTAGTCTAAATTTTATTTTAAGTATTTAAAACAAATTATAGTAAAGCTTGAGTGAGAGAAAAAATTATAATTCATCCCAAAGAATAAAATTTGAAGTACTCATCGAATTGTTTAATTAAAAAAAAAAGGATCCCTCTAATACATTGTAGTGTCAGATATATGTTGAAATAAATATATATGTATATATTTTTTGTTTTTATTATGGACAAATGTTTATATATTTTTATCAGTTAAATATATATTACTTTTGCATATTGTACCAGTACTTTATGTAAGTAATAATTTATTTAGATTTATTTATTTATTTATTTATTTATTTCAGATAATCAATGTGTAGCTGATGAAAATTTAATGGTCACTGAAGATGATTTTATGAAAGCATTGAATGAAAGTTTTCCCCAAAATTAATTATTTACTTTAAGTGTAATAATAAATAGACTGACTTTGTTTTAAATTTGTATATGAATAAGGTGTATGTATCATATAATTATTTTTTTTTTTTATTTTTATAAACTCCAAGATAAATAGTTTCAAAAAATATGCTTTATAGTATTATAATTTATTTTTAAAAAGAAATAATAATTAAACTACATAAATATATTTAAGTTTATTTAAATTTTATTTGTGACAAGGGATATTGATTAACATACTATTAATTTGGTTGTTTATAATTACACATCAAAATATTGTTAAAATACAATTTTTTTTTTTTTTAAATAAATGTGAGATTTTTAATATAAATTTAATAAATATAATTTTCTTGATTTCAAAAATATAAAAAAATAATTATTTTAAAATATCATTCTTGAGTTACCCTGATTTTTTTTTTTTTCAAATTTTATTAAAACACATTAAAGTGAAAATATTAACCATAAAAACTCTAGTTTGGTACCAAAACATGAAAAGTTTTACTAAAATAAATCTTGAACCGATTTTATGAAAATGTTCATATTTAGTTTGTGAAGCCAAACAAAAAATTGATTGGGTGTCCTGTTGTATGTTTTTCCGTCCCTTAACAAGTAATTAACTAGAAATCTTGTCTCTAGTCATGGAAATCAGGGGTGGATTTTAATCAGTTGGTGTAATGGTTAGGTTCATCATAATTTGTACTTATAGATATAGGTAAAGATAAAAAAAATTCAAAAGTTAACGCAATATCAAAAGTGTATTTTTAACATTTAATTTTAATTTATTTTTTAGTTACAATCTAATACAATTTTCAATTTAAATTTATTCAAACATGTTCAATTTTAATTCATTCAAATTCTTTAATCATTTGCAATGATTTATCAGACATAAACTATATTAGCCTCTATATCCTACCCCTGCAGCATGAAGTAAGTCAGGACTTATATTCAAGATAATTAAATAATACGTACCTAGTTGAAATATTTAACAAACATTATTCTATTTTTGCCCATTTCTATAGAAAAATAAAATACTATAGTATACAATTAATTTTAATACAATTATAAAGTAAAAACATAATTATTAAAATAGTTAATACTCATAAATAAATATGGAAATAAAAAAAAAAAATGATTATTTAAAATGAGTTATTATTAGACATATATTTATATAAGATATTTTTTTTAAAATCGGTTTGTGCATTTAAAATATTATTAAAATTATTTTTCTTTATTTCATTGTACATATTAATTCTTTTAAGACTGAATTATTGTAAATGTTATTTTGGTTATTTAATATCCCTAAGTCTGTTTAATATGGAAGATTATAATATATGGTTATTTTCTAAAACATGTTTAGCAAAATTTGAATTAGAGACAGTCGTTTTTTTAATTTTATTTCAGAAATGTATTTTTCATATATTTTTTAAAAATTTCTTTTTGTCTTACCTATATACAATTTATAACAGTTATATTTACGTTTATGTATACCAGCATTTTCAAAAGAAAATTGTGTAAAGCTTTTAGTTTTATTGTTTATATGTTTGATTAAATCATTAGTCTCAAAAGTGATTTTTACATTATTTGTATTATTGTTCAGAACTTTAGCGAATTTGTTAGACATATTATTTCGATATTTTATATTATACAGTAGTTAACATTATTTGTTAAATTTAATATACATTTTTTCTTTAATATGTTTATGAATTTTTTTAATAGTATTTAAATTAAAATTACGGATCCACATAAAAACTTGAAATGTAAAAACTTAAACAGTACAAATCTGGAATTTAAATTTTAGAAATACTTAAAAATGTGTACACTACAAAACTAGAATACAAAATTTTTAATACCGTAAAAATTTGGATTTAAATTTTTAAAAAAAGTGCCGATATTTGAAAAATTGTCGCAAACGAAAAATACGATTTAAAGTTTAGTTTGGTAAGACATATCTTAAAATGACACAATTTTTATGGTTTCCGACAAACTTTGTTTTTTTAATGTTTACAAAAACAAAAAACTATTTTTTCGGTCCAATTTTGTACCATCCAGATTTGCACTGTCCAGATTTTTGCGGATTTCAAAATTTTATATTCCAAATTTGTACCATCCAAGTTTTTACACTACTGAAATTATTTCTGTGGGCTATATCTATTGTATCAACAAAGCCTTTTTGGTACAATTCGAATTCCTAACTATTTATAACTCCGACAATAATATATAATAATAATAATATACGTAGCCTCACTGTTTCTCCCACTCTAGTTTGGTCACCACGGATTGAATATTGCTGGTCACTGCTGCCGCCGGCGTCGTTTGCCGTCGGGCTCGCCCACAGTTCAACTTGTCATTTCCCCCATTATTATACAAGTCCCTCCGACCGATGATTGCTCTCCCCCGCCAAAACAACCTAACGGCCAGGAACACCGTACAATAACGGACTATCTTTTTTCAACGACAGTTAACTCGCTCTCGTTGCAACTTCACTTTTTTGGCGACCGTTGCAGCTCTAGTAGCGCTATGGTTTTTCAACAACCGTCTACTAGTTTACTAGTTGGGTCCATTACTTTTTAAACACAGGATCAACTCATTAAAGTGGACCACATTCGACACCAGCCATAATGAGCTAGAACCTTCTAGCGAACCCGTGAAGAGGAAAGGCTACAACAAGATCGTAACTGCGTAACGTATACCTGTTCCTCCCCGTACCCCCAAAACTTATAAAAACCATATAGATTTTGGTTTCATTAATTTAACATACCTGTCATTGGCCAATGTGCCCAGTTTTCCTGTCAAATATAGCCTCGTGATTATTTATAAGTTCTCTTTTTTTTAATTATTCTAATATCATCTATCTCTCTGCTCCTCAACCGGTTCCTTCGTCCAAAATCATTTTCTGGAACCCTGCAATTAATAAAATGAGTTCTACCGAGATGTTCCGAGGGATATCACATGGTTCGGCTCATAGGTCACTAGACAAGTGCTCCCCTCGCCTAGTGGGTATGCATCGGACTCATTAAAAAACCCGAGACCTCACACTTTATGCGAATAAAAGAAAGTCGGGTTAGTTACACCATTTATAACATTTATATCAAGAACGGCTGGACCTATTTTAATGATCTCCGATTTGTTGGATTCGTCTCCACCCCGAATAGCAGAATAACTAATAAAATATCGGAAAGATTCAAAAAAAAAAAAATTATAGTGGCTTTTAAGTACATTTGGTACAAATATCTAATAGTTGTTTTTCTTTATTATTTATCTTATATTATGTCACTTATTTACGTGTATAGTTATCCAATAGCGGCAATAGCTAAGGAAATTGTATCTATGGAAAGAAAATGAAGTGGATAGAGAATCCAAAAAAGCATATGACAAATAAACGAATGAGATGAAATATGTACATCTGTACATTTGGCTATTAACTTTGAAACAAATTTAAAAGTAAACATTTGTTAGTTAGTTAATAAATATGTTTTTATTTTAGAAATGGATTATACCTTACACCTACCTACTTTAAATTATAACTAATTAGTTATTACCTACTCATAACTAATAAACTTGAAATGTAAATACCACAAAAAAAAAATTAAGCAAATAAAATCATAACTTTATTAGGTGGTAGGTATATAATTATATTTATTATTTTTTTTATATATATATAAAATTTAGACAAAGTTGAATGACTGAAATATCTAATCTCTTTTGATTATGTACTAGGTGTATTCATAATGTAATTAAAACCAAAATCATTGGTGAATTCTATTTTTGTGTCAATATATTTAATTATTTTTGAGCTGTATGAATTTTATTTGTGGACAAAGCTTTACTTAAAAATGAGATATGTGTTTAATTGAGTTTACTTTAATTAATCATATTGTTATTTTATTACCAAATAATTTTTTGGCAAATAAAAAACCCTCTGAATTCAATACAATAGTTAATAACATCTACCTACTTAGTATATATTTTTATTGTTTACAGTATGTAAAAAAAACTCAATATTCTTGTAGCAATGCAATTTAAATTTTATTTTTTAGTTAACTAATTGTAATATACCTTAGTACTATACATTTTCAAATACCTACTCAGTATTTTTTACTGTGAGTATATAATTTTTCTTTTCTTAACTTACAACATCCCTTTTTAACCAATGGTTTAACTAATGGTATTCTTTTTCATCAATTTCAATGGTCAAGCCACTTCAAGTCCAAAATTAGCCGAGTATGACAATTTACACTTATTTGATATTTTTAGATAGGTATGAAGCCATTAACTAATATTTATCTTAATACCAGTAGGTTTTAAAAGCACAATAAAATGGTAGAGAATAATGAAATTTACTTATAGAACATATTGAATTAATTTAAATGATTTATCTAAGCTAATTTTGAACTTAGAAAAGTGGTTGCCCATTAAAATTCAAGAAAGAAAAAAGCCAAAACAGAGAGTTGTCATTCAAGAAAAAAAAATGTTGTATTGCACATGCACATATCAAATCAATAGTAAAACATTTTGAGTTCTTTCAAATGTGTATTACTAAATATAACAACTAAGTAACTAAAAAGCAAAATTTAATTCCATGGCTCTATACAAGGATATTGAGTGTTTTCGATTGGCGTTTTGTACACTGTATATGATTATGGAATTTTGTATAAAGTTGATAGGTATGTTATGGTAATACCTAATTGAATTAGACAGTTACGTATCTTTTTCTTTTTATAATTATAGATAGGTATTCAATTTATTTTATAAATGTTAAAAATTCTAACATTTATGTTTGATTTTTATATAGTTAGGTGTAGGTACTAACATAATTTTGTGGAACAGTTTTTAGTAATTTTCATTTATTAGATAAGTACTTATAAATTGTTATTTTACTCTCTAAATATTTTACAAGTTAATACTTTAATAGCCTATCTTAAAATAATAATATAAAGTATGTTTGCATGCCTGTATTTATATAGATTCATATAGACAAGTGTCTAGTGAAAATAATTTAAACACTAGAATAGTCTAGAACAAGTAAAACACTGTAATATATCATTTCCATTTTCAATGTTTTTGTATTTCACCGATTCACTAATACACCTATATTTACAGCTTAAGGACTAATATTTTAATTTAAAAAATGTATATTTTTTGTGTTATAAAATTTGTTCTTTTAATTACAAACAAAAAAACATTATAAAATTATTATAGGTCATAAATAATCATTATATTTTAGCTATTAGTACAGCTATTATTGAAATTTGGTTCAACATTATTTTTTATCTAATAAGCACCTATTTATAATATTGATTATTTATAAACTTATAATAGAAAATATACTGTTCACTGCTGTAACCAATGTGTATGCTATAGTATGTTCATAATATTGGCACTCTAATTAACTAATTATAAACACACATAAAATATTAACACTCAGTAGTGTAGGTAGGTAATGTGAAAACTATATTCTAAAAAAATAAATGTTAAAATGCAATAATTTGAATTAAATTTAAAGATATTTAGGTGTCTCTCTATACAGAAAACTATTAAATATCTAGACATTAAATAATATTTTAAAAATGACTACAGTAGGTAATTAAGAAAACAGTGTGATATAAGACTATACATTTTTAAAAATTTGGTTTGTCCGATTTGGAGGCTTCACCACCTGTTGATATTTTTGAAGTTTCAGTTTTAGTGCATCTCTTTTCTGAAAAATCACATTAACACATTAATAATACAATCCACCACAATATCCACTAGGTATTGTTTAAATGAATGAATAGGTAATCATTATTTAATTGAAAGGTTTAAAAATTGATATACAATAGAAGTCACTTATTAGAAACATGGATAATTAATATAATCGTGTTATTGAAACAATTATATATTAAAACCAATCGTTTATTAGAAACAATTGGTTAATTGACACGTTTCACCTCGGCCCCAAAATGTTCCTGATAAGTGGCTTCTACTGTATAAATAAAATTTAAATTGTTTGAGAACCAAATAATAAATAATAGATTATTATAATATTAATTTATATAATTTCAAAATATATTAGGTAAAATTAGCAGAATTACAAAATATGATAAAAGTATTATTAATGTTTAAACACTGAGCAGGTACTTTTATAAAATAAATTAACTATAAAGTGTGTTTACATTGTTCTACATAAATTAAAATTGTGTATAAAATCTCGAGGCAATTAATCTAATCTCAACAAATTACTTATAATAAACATTTTAATTTATTATAATATTGAACATCTAAGGATGCTTGTCATTTGCTATGTTATAATTAATTAGATATTAAATATAGGTATAATTTAATATTTTACATTAGTCAATTTGTTGTATTGAACTTTGAGTTGTTTTAAATGTTTCACTCTTTGCCCAACACCTTGTAACTCAGATTGATCCATTAGTTTACCAGGTGATCGTTTCACATTAATCAAATCATCAGCCAGAACATTTTTTCTAATTTCTAAGTCTTCATACTGACTTTTATACATTTCCAATTGACTTTTGATACTATCTCTTTCTATCAAAAGTTTCTGCTTTTTATTTTTCTTTCTGTAAAATAAATTAGTTATGAATCACTTTGTTTTAAGAGGACATTATCCGCATCTACTGTCTCAACTACTGGGTAACATGCAAATAGTTTCATTGAACATATTCAATTTATAGTATTTTTTTTATTCAATTTAAATCCTTAGAATACAATTACTATTTTGAAGCTAAACAATTTACCTAATAGTAAAATATACTAATAGCTCGATATTAAATAAAAATCTAATATATTTAATGAAACTATTTGCATGTTAGTTGGACTGAAACATTAGATGGGGGTATAATGTCATCTTAATTACCTATGAACATATTTAATATATTATGAATAAATAAATATGATTTGTTGATTTAAGTATCAAAACATTTAATAAATAACATAAAAGTTAAATAAAATTAATTTAATTTACTTTACAGGTTTGAGTTATTGTTAGTATGCTAATGAAGACTTTTGTGTGTCGTCATCATTAGTATATTAATAATAAAGAAAAAATAACTTTTTACTTATTCACTTAGAAAATTTTCAAAATAGCCATTTTGTAAAAATATTATTCTTAAAATTTTAATCTACCATACATTCATATCTGATTAATAACTTCTTAATTATAGCCGGTTTAATTTCTAGAAAATAGGCGTGAAAACAATAAATATTCAACAGAAGAAGGTAAATTACTGTGCTGATTGCGATTCCTTATCGCATTTTACCTTATTTTATTGAATATTTATTGTTTTTATGTCTATTTTCTAAAAATTAAAATAATTGAAAAAAAATCAAACAAATTTAATATTAACAGCCCTAGAAAAATTATAGTGGGATACATTTTATATGTATTGTAATTTATTTATGATCTAACTAAGATACCTACCTAGGTTCAATACAAGTAGTAATAAAATATATAATTTATACCTGGAAATTTTAGCTCTTAACTGTTCGATTTTGGTCAATTCCTTGGACATTTGTCTATCATCAGCTGCAAGTATTCGACTGAATTCTAAATTTCTTATTTGTTGCGCTGTAATTTCTTCAGTTACTACACAAAAATCATCCAAAACAACAGATTTGCATTTTTTTTCAGATTTACTTGCACTTAATGCCATGTACTCGGTGGTCACATCTGACAAATTCATTTGCAGTGTTTCCATCTGATTGTCTAATACATCAGCAGTGTTTTCCAATATGAGATTATTCTCATACATTGACTTAATTGTGTACCACAGTTCTAAAAAATTGTTATTGGTCTGAGCGCAATCGGTTTCCAAGTAATTGGAAATGGTTACTAGTTCATCAAGACTCATACGAGCTGATTTTTCGACACAAATATCTTCTAACTGCCGTGTTACTGTGGTGATGATTTCCGTTTTGGATTGTCCAGCACAATCCAAAATATCTAACAGTTCAATTTCTGCCGTCAATGAGTGAATATTGAAACACAATGTTTCCACCACCATTTTAATTGTATCTTCACTTTCAACATTCTGTAACACAATTTCTAATGACTTATCACAAAGCGATTTAAACTTCCCTATAGTTTCCAATAAGACAGAAGGTCCAAACTCTTCTAAATAGAATTTGTAAAAATATTGTTTCTGAGTCTCATATATACTATTCACGATTTCAATGTCTGTTCGCAATGATTCAATGACACGTTCTTCTTCAGATAGGAATGATTCTAGATTTTTAATGTGAGCTTCCTTGGCATGGTCAAGATGATTAAGTTCATTTAAATATTTAGTTAAATTTATGATGTATTCTTGTCGATTTGACCGATCATGAACAATGATATTTTGTAATACGTTTATACTAACATGTAACAAACCTTTTATATCTTTGGTTTGGTTACAATCCAATTTACTGTTTTCGCATTTGATAGGATCAAGAAAACTAAAAAAAAAATATTTGATTTTGTAAGCATACTTTCCTAATACCTAAATATTATCAATTAATTAAACAAAAAGAAAATTTGGTATTAGGAACTAAGAAAATGTTTTTGAAGAAAAAATTGTTAAAATTATTATTATTATTATCATTATTTATTTATTGAATTAAAAATGTTTAGATAATTAACATTCTAAGTAAGTAAATATATTAAAAATACATAAAATAGAAAAAGATAAATAGTGAATCTTTGCAGATAAACATTATAAACAAAAACTGATTCTTAGTAGAATGCAATTGAATATATTCGAATTTAAACTGAGAAATTAATTGTTAAATATACAAAATAAGTAAATAATTTAATTATTATTTAATTTTAAAATATTTGTAATTTTTATGATTGTCAAAATTTGAACTTCAAATTAGTATGTTTCCTTGTTAAAAAAAAAAAATATAACTAAATTTATGATGTTTCTATATTTTTAGATGTACAATTTAAATACCATTGTATCAGAAATATTTGAATAACTACAAAACTAAAATAATTTTAAAAAAAATCAGGAATGTATCAAATTTTTACTTGATTTTGTGATTTTTCTTCTGTGAAAGTATCATATTTTTAAACTGCATAACACCCCCTAAAAGTTCATTTGTTAAACTAAGTTTCTTTCTTTTCTTATTAATCTAAAAAAATAAAATATAAATATTAAACTCAGACAGAAGTAGCTGCAAATGTAAACTTGAGAATTTTAGAAAATAATACAATATTCTTCCCCCCTGCATTAACTTACATTTTTATTTATAACAGTTACTGAATTGTCATCCAACTGTGATAATGTAAATGGACAAATTTGATTAGACATTTCTGTGTTCAATTTCAGTTTATCACTAACAATGGTTAAAATATGTTCTCAGCTACAAAAAAAAAAAAAGGTATAAGGAGTTAGGACATTAGTTTAAAAATTTAAAGTGTAATACCAATGCTGATTTTCATGCATATATTGTTAGAACTTATGTTATATTTTAATTTAGAGAAAACCATTTGACTTTATAATTTAAAATAATACAATAAAACACTTTACTTTTTAAAATATGTCTCATATGTGTTTAGGTAACTCGTAATTATCCGGAAAGTAATTGTCCAGAACGTAAAAATTCCGGAATCTGAAAGGGTCCAGAATATCCGAAAATAATCCGAAATATACACTTCTGGAAAGTAATAACACAGACCGCAATGTTTCGAAAGGTATATTTCCGAAAAAAAAATTTAAAAAACAATGATTCCCAAATAAGTTATATTCATTTTTGTAGCATTTTGGTATTAGTTAGTGCATAAGAAGGTTTTGGACTTTCCTTATAGTTTTCATAACAATTAGGGAAAACTGGGAAAACGAGGAAAGTTTATGGCAATACTATTATTTTTGGTATTAGTTTTTTGTTGTAATTTGGTTAAAAATAATCGTAAAGACCTGAAATGTTTACATAATACTTTTGTTAGGTTCAAAGACTTAATGAATTCGAATGGGACTATAACCCTCGAACTGCCATGAAGCATACTGGATTAAGATTAAACCATTAGTAACGAAAAACGATTCGAAGCGAAGTTCAGTTATACATGTATGTTTTGAAAGTCCATAAAATTTACAATTGTCGTTAAAATTTGATTTTGAAATTCTTATAAAAAAAAAAAAAAGAATCACTATGTACACACAATCACATATAAAAAAATATGAGTAGGTAATCATACTTTTTTCCGGGTATTTGATTACATAAAATGGTTATGTCCAAATTGTTTAATAACGAACGATTATACGGAGGAATAGTCGTGAATCGACTTTAGCTGTCTCGAATGATTTTAAGGGTTATTATTATTGCTACGAAGAATTTCTCGCAAAACCGTTTCCAAAACCGCTAAAGCCCGTAGTAAGTCGTAAACACTTAACATAAATATCTATTATAAAATATGTAAATATAATTATATTTTGCCAGTAGTTTTTGTAGAAATGTATAAAAAAACATCTAAAAAGTAAAATAAAAAATGGCTGATTCTGGGAACGGGAGCGGCCACTGTTGTAGGTGAGAAGTTGGGAAAGTAAGATACATTATGTTATTTCATTTATATCTTTAAGTGATGATAAACCATTGCTTGACGAAAGACGATTCCGAGTGCTGTTCAGTAATACATAATTTTTGCGATTTTTGTTTAAATTTGATTTTAAAATGCTTATTGAAAAAAAGTCTGATGATTTTGAAAATTTTACCACGTCTAGGTAAGTCCAATATATGTATTATTACCAAGCTTCAAGTCTCTACGTGTATTTATAACCGAATTACAGCAAAAAAACTTCCAAAAATTTATATTTCTTAAAAGCTCAAAAATTTTAGCGATGATACCGTAAGAAAGTAAATCAAAAAGGCAACAAAAAAGGTGTCTTGTGATTTTACGATTAAATCATTTTTTCTGGTAGAAAACGTCGTTCGTGTTTTTATAAAATCATGGAATTGTGAAATTATACGTGTTTCTATTATAATTATAATATAATTATAAATTATGTTTTTTCTTACTTAAATGCATTTATTTCAAAAATGGCGTCAAAAATCAAAAAATTACCTTTTTAAAGTACCATATAGACAGCTTGAGCTTTTAGACAAGTTGTTACAAGTAAAAATCGGAGCAAGTTTATTAGGAAAAAACGTGTCCACAACAGAACAAAGAAAAAAAAAGAAATAAACAGCATTGCAAAACCAATAATCACTTTCTACACTCGGAATCCAAAATTAAATGAAGTTAAATTAAACGAACTAAATGAATACAAAGATAAAAAAAATACATAAATACATTAATATATACAAATAATTTGTAGTTTTACATAGTAATAATTTATTCTAATAGAAGAAATTATTTAAAATTAGGAAATATAAATTTAAAAAACATTACCATATTTGTATAATATATATTATTATGAATAAAATATTTTAAATTATAAAATCATTTTTTAATTATTTTTTTAAAAAATATCTATCACTTCATCTATGCCAACATGTTCATTTCGGTGACGACGAATGATCACTAATCTAAAGAGTCTTTCTTGTAACATTTTGCATCATTGGCACACTTTTATAACTTTTATGAGTGGAAAAACTCCTCTCTTCCTATTTCTGAAGCTATACTAACTGTAAAACTAGCTAAAATCACATTGATTGCATTGTTGTAAACATTTATTAAATGTATTAAATGTATTAATTTATTTATTAAACCTTTATCACAATATTCTATAATATTATATTATCAGCTCACAAATCTAGAATAATAACAAAATGTTATTATTGGCATATGTCTATCGCAATCCACATGAAAGTTGGCGAGTACTTAGGTACTATGGTATATTCAGAAACTAGATTAACAATATGTGATAATCAATAATGGCTATCGTTCTTTGAAAATGTTTAGTTAAAATACACATTTTATAAACCTCTACTATAATTAAACCAACTATCATATCTATTGTAAACTATGGTTACACACAATTTTTTTTTTCGAACGGGGAAGGGGCAATCACCCTCATTGCCCTCCCTCCTGTACTCACCATTAGTTTTCTGTCTTACCACAGAGCAGTGGAGAGGATTAATTTACACAACAGATAAATTTATCAATATGTTGTATAAAAAAAAAAAACAGGAAACCTTAATTTATTTTCTGAATTAATAAAAAAGAGTGAAATAGAATACCAGTATTATTTAGTAGGTACTTATATGTTAATTATTATTAAATGCTTTGCATGCCTGTAACTAAAGCAGGGGCGTATACAAGGGGACAATAGTGGCGATCGTTAGCCCCCCTCTGAGCAATGTTAAATTTGTTTCATGTATATATGTATTTTATTATTATTATTTAATAGAAATTTAAAAAAAAAGTTAATTTTTTTTGTAAGAAATGGTTATCAAAATTTTGATAAGAGATTAAAGATATTGTGGATATCATCAGCTGTTGGATATAATAATTATATTATATTGTAAGATTGTCTACGCCTTCGACCATACAAACTAAGTTATAGTCATTAGTTTATTAGTTTATTATTAGTTTATTATTATAGTCATCCGTGTTATTAGCTTATTCTACTATAGAGTCATGATAAGTATATCATACCCATATCTGAAGATCCAGAAGTCTGTTTATAATACTTTATTGGGTTAATTAAATTAATTATTTGATTATTTTCATAAATTTGTCCATCTTGTTTGTTTTACACCTAAACATAACTCCTTTGGCTGTAATATGCTTATCCTTTCTGAAATATTTTTGATGTTACAACAGGTTAAAAAACATGATGTCCCAGCAAAAACTTTTAAGCAAGCGAAATGATCGAACATTTTTGAACTGCCGATCTATTTATAATCTATAACACTGCTGTTTATATACAAGCATATGTCATATACATATGCTTTTATAACTAATAACTTATAAGTATGATTAAAGTTCGAATTTTGCCGCTAGAAGATGAGCTGAATACGCCCCTGAACTGAAATTAAACGTTTGCAGGAGTAATACCCAATTTTGTTTTAAGATAAAAGACTATTTTTTGCTGGGGTAAGAACTGAACCAGTAAGAGCATTCACAGCATTATACATTTTTGGAAAACTATTATTAGTTTTGAGGTGCCTTATCTCCATCAGACTTCAAAAAGTTATTGTTTTGCGAAAAAATTAAGATCCAAAACAAATATTTGATATTATTTTCATCAAGAAAATCCTATATAGGCCTCTGTACTCTGTAGGTACATACTAGTATAGCACCAACAATTATAATACATTTTACAATAATAATATACTTAATCAATGTCACTATACTCATATCTATAATACAATGTCATAATGACTATCTATATTATCATAGCCATTAATCTATTTTAGGCAGGGTTTTTCAAAGAATTTTTTCCCATTACCATCGTCAAATTTTACAATAATATATTGTACCATTTATTTAATTTGTGTTTTAAACAATTACAATAATAGTACGAGTAATTAACTATTATGTTAAAATTTTATAGTAAATACCTTGTAAATTGTGTGAACGTGCTGCATGCCCAGTAAAGTTTTGCAGCCAGGAACGTCTCTACGAGATGTTATGAACAAAAAAAAAAAGAACAATAATCGATTCCCTAAAAATTAAGAGACCCGGGACAAGACGTGTATAAAAAAAAAAAGAAAAAAATACTATTTGGTTGTATAATTTTACGAAATGGCGTACAGAAAAAAATAACAAAGATAAAAGTTAATCGCAACGGAACTCACAAAATCGCATTACATAGCCGGTGATCATAACTGGTGGTCGGTGGTAATGAATAATGACGACAGAATTAACAGATATATTATCAGATAAGCAAATTGTCATGAAAACCCCCTCTTTTAGTCATATATCGAGTTCTCCGATCTCCGTCACTCATTTCTTTGGTTCTCGAAGAACTTGATAATAATATGTAGTATAAGGTGAGTATGCGCTTAGACCGTATTATTGCGTACGTAGTGTGTGTACCTACTTACGTGTTTAAACACAGGCGGACCTTTTCGGTAAAGCTATTCGTAAACCGGTTATGTCAGCGTATCGATTGAACGTCGTTTACGTGCCGGAATAATTTTATATTAGTAGCCATTAGGCACCAACAAAGCTACATTGTAGAAACGTCCAGCTGTCTACGTTGCTGGGCAATGCTTTTTCTTGTCTTCATACAGGCGGACATGTTTTCGCCTAAATTATTTGTCTTACCCAAATTCAAAAAATAATAATTTGGTTTTTGCCAAAAGTAATATTATACAACATGAACGAACAAACTAGGTTCACGAGTCTGTATGTTACGAGTCGTAAACAAATGCTTAAATGCTTTCAGTTTATATAGGAAATTCCAGATTCTAAATTAAATTATGCACCGTAATCTCGCCAATAAATTAGATAAGTTAGGTATAATCGAAAATTGCGCTGAATTATTGAAGCTCATTTAGCTTAAAAAATACAGATGTACCTAATATTAACTTGTAAAAACTAGAGGTGAACAATAGCTAGCTCTTAATGGTAAAATAAATAATATTTTTATTTGTTCATGTGATACAAATTTAAAAATGTTGTGTGTGGTTGATTTAATTTATGTTAACGGAACATTTAAATACTATGGTCGATTTTATTCTAGTATATAAATAATACTTTCAATAAAAATGTATATGATTTATATGACTTATCATTTTTTAGGGCGGAAGGTTAGGTTAAATTTGGTGTGGCCCATATAAGGGGAAGCGGCCCAGTTTTCTTTATGTCACACCCCATATAAAATTCCAACGCATACCTGTGCTTCAATATATAATATTAATTTTAATTTTAATATTAAATCCATTAAAAAATATTTGTACAAATATTGATTAATTTATTTGCTGTACTATTACCATACTGTTACCCAACCTAAACTTCTATGTATCACTATATTGCCTACCATATACCATCAGTGGTGCGCGTACCATGGTTAGACTCTACCCTATTGATCTTACAACAAAATGTTTTTATTTTTGTGTCTGATTATATTTTTCTAGTAGAAATAATGCTAAAAGTTCAATTTCAAAAGAAGTTTCTGGTAGCAGATTTAATTGTTTTATGTATATATATATATACCAAATACCTACACAAATTAATTGACGGAGGGGGAAGGTGAATGTCCCATTGCCCCTATCCTCAAATACGCCATTGTAATATATAGGATAATTTAGGTTCATTACAAACGATATTATGAGCAGAGTAAACTTTAAGTATGTAGTTATTAAATTTAAATGATGCAGTCATGTTTTCTATGAAATACTTAATTTTGAGATTCTGAGAGGAGCGAGGAATTATAACTGGTTTTACAATAATATTTATTTTGGCACCCTTCCTTTTAAACATATAAAATACAGGCAGAAACAAAAATCATAACTAGAAATAATAAAATCATTATTTTCGTAAATTTTCCCGTTATAGGTTAGGTAAATATTATAAAAACCGCTTGGAAAATCAAAAATTGACCTTCAGTAAGTACCATACAGACAAAATTTACTTTCAGAAAAGATGCCACATTTACACATCGAAGCAAGATTTTTGGTAGACATTTTTGTCACAGTATAAAATTAAAAAAATGAATATCATTGTAAAACCAATACATTATTTACTATAGATAAGGTACCTACTCAAATTTAAACATTTTGCACGTCTTAATTGTTGGGTTAAATTTCAACATGTTGCATACATCCTGTATTACTATAATTAGTTGCGATTTTTTTACTAAACGAGCAACACGTATGTTCTCGCTTTCGAATGCCGTGCCTTCGCGTTTTTTTTTTTTTAGTAATTTAATAACATTAAAATGGTTACCGCGCTCATTGGAAATCGGTAAATGTCTATATAATAATAATACTAAGTAGGCCACACGCTTGTGTGGCGATGTACCGGTGGTTCCTACCATCGCGTGATGCGCACAGCTATGGACGGACATACACAGTCAAATCTTCTGACCAACGCAGAAATGCAAAATATTTTAACTGAATTAAAAAACGGCAACGAACAACTCCGCCGCCAAGTGTCAGAACTACAGGCAAGTAAAAATTTACAACAAATAAAAATAGTTAATTGGAACTGGCAGCTAAAGCGTCACAATTCATTACAAAATCAAATGAAAAAAAGATCCCCATTTCTAACACATCAATTACAAAAGAAGTTAACCTAAATTTAAAAGCTACACAAAAAACAACGAAAACCCGACTAATGATAATACTCAACAAATAATACCCCCACTAATAACTATCGAAGGTATTAAACATTTTGATAAACTAAAACAATTATTAACGTGTGAAGAACCGGTTAGAAACGAACAAAAATTCAAAGTCTTACCAAATGATAAGACGAGAATCCTAACAACAAACGATCTTAATTAATCTTTTACAAATCTAAAATAATCTAATCTAAAAATAAAGGGAGATATAATCAGTGGCGTGCCAGGGGGGGAGGTTAGGGGTTATATCCCTCTCATTGACGAAAAAATACAACGAAATATAAGTAATCTAAAATCAACACATAAATTTCGGGAGATTTTCAAGAAAAATTTGATGTATTGATTAGAAATTGACTTTTTTTTAGGAACCGGCTTTTAAATTACTAATTCTTATATTCAAGTTGAGTAAAGTAAACGATTTTTACTCTTTTTCATGATTTTTATTTGTTACATTCCATCTCATTGAAAATTCTTGGACACGCCACTGGATGTAGTACAAACTTAAAAATATATATATTAATAATATTTATACGAACACGATATGCGAAGAAAAATAGTGTGTATAACCATATTTTTCTTGGCGTTTTTCAGTCGTATTAGTAGTAACAGTAAATATTTCTTTTAAATTTCAATCGATATTGATGGCACAATTATATTAAATCTTGCTTTATGCATAATGTAAAATAACCATACCATGATTAACAAGTCCAGATTAATACCTACAAGTGTCCAAAATTATCAATAATGTTCATAACATACAGTATAACATAGAATGTGTCACTAAATAATCTGAAACCAATCTTCTTCCAAACATTTTTAAGCCTGTTGTCTGAAAAACTGTGTCGGTTTAAAGTATTTTAATAAGAGAAAAAAAAATATTCATCATTGAGTGGGAAAGGGGTACTATAGTTCTAAAAGTAAACACACATCTTTCTTTAAAATACATTTAGATTCAATATTAAAAAATTTGTCCTAGGATAAAGATGGGAACTTAATGTAAATCTGTATGCAATAATTAACCATTGCTAATGAAAAACGATTCTGAGTGGAGTTTGGTTGATAGTGTTTTTTTGTCAACAATATATGTCATATTATAGTAAAATTGTAAATGCATATGCATTAAATATCTTCTTTAATAATATTTGTTTAATATTGTACCTCTTTTACCAGTTTTTTTTGTGTTTTTTCAAAATCAAAAAATTACCTCCTTAAAGTACCTCCCCAGTCAGATTTACTTTTAGAAAAAGTGGTATTATTGTAAATACTAGCAAAATTGCTGGTAGAAAAGTTGTCTACAGTAAAAAAAAAAAACATCTTTATAAAACCATAAGCTTCTTCGCTCCACTCAGAATCTAAAATATTGTACAAATCTCTTAGAAAAATATTGTTAGAAAACTATTATGTGTAACCAATCAATTTCATTCAGAAAATATAAATAATATTTAATTTTATCAACACTTTTTTTTCAATTAGTTTAATTCGGTTTTAGTGGGTAACTTAAATTTTAAACTGCATGATTACATAATATTAAAATATGTTTAAATTACCTATAATATGTAGTGTATAGTTAGTTTTTATTTTAATATCTTCAGTATTTAAAAACAATAATTTTAATATTTTATTAAACTTTTATTAAACAATGGACTAATCAGAAAAAATACATGTATCGCTTTTAATAATTAGTAACAAATACATAGTATTATGTTTATTTATAATTGAGAATGTAAAATATATTGATTATTAGATATTTTGTTTTGAAATTATAAAAAGCATATTTATTAATATGAATTGAATTATTAAAATAAATTATAAATTATTCAAATTATAAGGGGGAAGTAGCACATAATGTATAAGTAGCAATAACAAGTAATATTTGAAAAAATAACTTATTAATAAATATTATATGATTTTAAATAATAATTCAAAACTGAGCTTTAAAATATTTAGAAAATAATTTTTAATTTTTAATTTTCACCCATTTTAGCAAAAATTGTACATAAGAAAGTAATATAAAAACTAAAAAAAAAAAAACCAAAAACACCTCACCTAACCTTGTTTTATAATTTCTATAAATGTATATTATTGGATTTCTGGATTGATGGATGGATTTTTATAAAATAGGTCATAATACAATTGTATTAGGATCTCGTGGTAAACCATAAATTCTTATTTGTTCATAATAGTTAAATGACATTGTATACTAATATATTAATACTAGTGTTGGAAAAAATTTGGATTTGCCTAAGTTCAAATATTTGAAATCTAAAAAATTCCTCAGTCATATAACAGTTTTAATCGCAGATTAAATACACAAAAATATCAAATTACTAATTGCCTAAAAATAACTAGAATGTTTTTAAAATTTTACCAATTTATAAAAGTCCAATATATGTATTTTATAAAAACTACAGATCTCTACATTGTTATTATATATTAGTTAGGTAAAACAATGTAAAACCATGATATCTTTAACAGTTTTTCCCAATAAAAGGGTAACCTGCCAGGAAATTCAAAAAAATGTACCAACTAGACTATTTTGAATTTAAGGTTTGAAATCTAAATTTTTAGATTTTGAAATAACCGGATTTATATTAAATCACTAATTAATGCAATGGTTAAAAAACTAGCAGTGCAAATAAAATTAGGAAGATTAGAAATTTGCATTTTTTGTCTATAGACCCTATAACAAAAAGATTTGAAGTCAAATTTGTCTGCAAATATGGTAAACAGATAATTTATAAAATCAGTAACAACAGCAGCCACTGCTGTAAGTGGGTAAAGTTGAGAAGATGAGATACATAAAATTATTTAATTTATAGATATAAGCAATGATAAACTATTGCTAATCAAAAACAATTCTGAGAGAAAAAAAATCTAAAATAAAAATAATAAAAAAAACCCCAATTTTCCCGATTATTATGAAAACTACTTTGGATATCTATTTTATTTTTTTTGTGACTTCCTATGTCAGTGGCTAGATATTAAAAAGAACAATGCAAATCTCTTGTTATTTTTTGTTTTGAGTAATATTTTTAGTTAAAAACATAGTTTGCAAAATTTAAAATAATTAAACCTGGATGTCAAGTTACCATAAATATATTAATTTTAATTTTTTGGTTTTTCACAATTATTAGGAAAACTCTTTTGGATATCAAAAAGTGATCTTAATTCATTAAATATATAAAATATATACACATATTATAGTTCTTCTTAAACCCTGAACTAAATTACACTACTCACTTATTTATAACTTTACAGGAAGATATTGTTCATTTAGTACAATGAACAATTTACCTCGTATAATTTAACAATTTGTATTAATTAGAAGCAAACCAAATAGAATGAAAGATATTGTTTTATTAATATCAATTACATTAATTTTTTTACATAAGTTTTTTATAATTTACATTGGTGACCTGGATCATTGGGATGCTTTTGCTGAGAGGAAAAGCTGCTGTACCTGTATACAGAAGAACAAAAATTATATAATTAGAAATATGACAGACTGTTAAATATATTAATCAAACTAAAATGTATACATTAATACATTAATAAATCAAATAATTTAATTACAATTTTTAAAGAATAAGAAAAAATGTTCTATTTTAAATTTGTATTCAAATGTAAAGATTTTTTTTACCGACTAAGTTTTTATAATTTTTTAAATCATTTTATTTAACACTGAAACACTTTTACACTGTTTAAAAGACCAGGCTATTAAAATATCGTTTGTTGCTAATGAAATTAAATTTGATTCAACTGTATACAATCAGATATCTATAATCTAGGAGTGTTTAAAGTTACCTATTGCTAGTTGACACTGTTTGTCTATACTGTATGTAACTTCAAAACAGGTCTGTATAAAAATTTGAGTGTGTATTACTTTATAAAGCCCACTTCAATCAATACAAAAAATCAAATAATAACATTTTTATACAAGTTTCATTTGTTAATATTATCAATAAAAGTATTTGACAATTTTTTATGTATTAAAATTGGTAAAAAGTATTAAAATAATTATTATTTCAATATCTTGAATTTTAAATGAAATATTTCAATATGAAGTCAAAAACACTGTAGATTTTGGTAAATATTATACTGCATAGGGTTAGGTTATCTAGGGTTAGGAATTTGATGGTATTAATAAAATAAATGTTTAAGTTTAATTTGATCAGAAATATTAGGATTCATCATATCTATATAATATTTTTTATGAATGAAATATGCAATTAAGTGAAAACATTTAGTTACACAATAATAAAACTTACCATAAAATTTGGTTTTTAGATAATGATGGTTTAATATTAGCTAATGCCTCTTCAAAATGTTCTTTTTTCACTGTTGTACACGATTCAATTCCATCTTTAGTCAAACAAGAAAGACCTGCCTAAAAAAAACATATAAGAATACAAATTATAACTATCTAATAATGCTACATTTTTATACTTCATAATTATATAAATATTAGAATTATTTGTTCAAACCAAAAGTATTTTTCATTTTAATTTTATTTAGAAAGTTTTTTTTTTATTTTCTATAACATGGAGATGACTTAGGATGAAACTAGTAATAACTATACCATACTTTAGGTTTCAATCAATAATTCTATATTATGTTTTTATAATATAATGTTTTTTTTGAGGGGTTTTTGGTCATTGAGACCATACCTCAAAACAAATTTCTCTCCATCCATCTCTATCTTCCCCGCTATTCTTCATGGTACCTCTGGTTGGATCCTTCCTGTGTCTGCTTTCAGGCAGTCTTCCCAATGTAATTATGGCCTTCCTAGTTCTCTTCAATGGTTATTCTGACTGTATACCCTACTCTCCACCATGCATAACCTGCCCACGTTAACCTCCTTTTTTAATTTCTTAATATATAATTATATTTATAATATTTGATAATTATTTTAGGAATAATCATAATATTTACTTCTTTCACAACATTAGCAAGGTCAGCTGCCGAAAACCAATCTGTTATCAAGGCAACTTCGTTCAAAATCGACGAATCCAAAATTGGCATGCTATATTAATTAATATATATTAAAAAATAATTGCATAAAGTAGTTAATTTATTTGTGAACCTTTGATCAGGATTATTAACAATAGTATGAAGTATGTCATATCGTTCTTGAGCTGTGAGTGGAGGAGGTACATAAATTTGACGATCAAATCTTCCTGGTCTTAATAATGCAGCATCAATTTTATCTGGCCGATTTGTAGCTGCCACAACAACAATTCCTTGTCCATGCTATTAAAAATCTGATAGTAAAAATCTACATTTGACTCAAATTAATTTATTCTTACCTCAGTATCGTTACTTATACCATCCATCTCAACCAGAAATGTTGATAGAACTCTGTCTTCACACCCTGATGAATTAGTTTTTTCTTCAGTACGACAACTAACTAATGAATCTATAATATATCATTTTTATTACAGGCAAATATTTGAGCATTATGTAACATTTATATAATAATAACAATAATAAAGATAAAATAACTGATACTAGGGACAGTTCACTATTTTAGATGAACAGTTTGGAAGGTAGGATACATAAAGTTATTAAACTTATTTTTTATTTTTTAATCTTTTTAACCTAACCTAAGGAACCAATTTTTCTTTATTATTTCGAATATTAATAAGAATTTCAAAAAATAGCCTTTCTAAAGTACCAACTAAATGAGTTCTTTAACTTTTTTATTCCCATACCACTTATATGTATTATGGATCTGTCATGTAGCACTTATAACTAAAAACAAACACATATACTTTGCAAGATGTGTGAGCTACTATTGTCAATCAGAAGTTGGGAAGGTTGAGAAGAAATTGAAGGTATATCTATATGCAATTATTGATAATGAAAAACGATTCTAAGTGGAGTTCAGAAGAGTTATACATGTTGTGAAAGGTCGTAAAATATATGATTTAAAAATAATACATTTCATAAATTTTCCCGGTTTTTCCCATTTATTATAAAAACCTTCTATAACCTAAAATCTTATGAAAACCATTTATAATGAAAAGACGCTTCTTAAAGTACCACTCACCTAGTATTAACGCTAGTAACTCTAGTCAAATTTCACTCAGAATTTAAAGAAGTAAAGCAGATATTTTTACATGTTAACTAAACTACTGTTTTATTATTACCTTATTTTATATTATTATTAAATCTATCAAATTATTATTCAGAAACTATACTATTTTTTTTCTTCTTACCTTTCCTTTTATCCTAACTATTTGGGGTCAGCTAATTCAGATACCATACTAGATATAAAACATATCATATTATGAAGGGCAGTTTTAGAATTGAAATATGTCTATCACAAAAATTGTATAAAACATTTGAGATAATAACTAATTTAAACTGTGTTTAAATAAACTCAACTCTGTTGAATAAATTCAATTTTAATTTTAATTAGCAGTAAGTTTTGTTATCAATTAAGTTATAATGCAACATTAACATAGTGTATAATTTATGATCAGTAATATGTATTATTTTCTTTTTATTATAATACAAATTATATATATTATAATACAATATCATTATTTATTATTAAATTTAGTTAAAAATAAAATATTTTTAAATATGAATAATTAATTAAGTATCACAGCCAGTTATAGGGCACTGGGGGGCACATGCTCCTCCCCTAAATATTTTTTTGTAGTGCAGTTTACATAAATTTGTTGTATTAATAAAATGTATTATTAGTAGTACTATTTTAAGTATTATAAAATATATAATTTTAAATTATTATGTAAAAAATATTATTTTCTCTTACAAGGCTACAGATTTTGTTTTAACTTTTGCAATGTAAAACTAGAAGATATAAATAATTACTAATTAGTTATAAGGGAATAAGGGATTCATAAAACAACAAGTGATAAATATTCTAGCTTAACAAAACCTAGATAATAAAATTAAGTTTTCTATCCCAAAAATGTTTTCTGGATACAAACTAGATTAATTTATTATTTATAATATAAACCTTAAAACTTTCTAAGTTTTTATAGTATTTTAATTTATATGTGAATTTAAAATTTGATAAATAATTTATCAAGTGGATATTGCCAATTATGTAATCTGATGTTAGATTTTATTCTTTAGAATTTATAAAATGTGGTTTTGTATTTAATAACCTGTTTATATTTCTAAAAACTAGATGAGAAAAATAAGTGAGGCATTATGTTTTCTCATATAATGTAAAAAAAATAAGCCTAGTGGGTTTATTCTATATTACCCAACTCATCTATGAACAATATAGATGGAATATTGGCTCTTGCACGTTGAAACAACTGAGAAATATTTGCTTCTGTAACACCTAAATATGGAGAATATAATTCTGCAGCCATTGCTGTAAGAACATTTATGTTAGCCCATGAAGCTATTGACCGTACAAGGCTTGTTTTACCACAACCTGGAGGCCCATAAAGTAAAACACCTGAATAATATAAATGTACAAAATAAAAGTAATAATAATAATAATTCATTAGTTAAAATATGAAAGTATCTTTCTTTACCTTTAGGTGGAGGAACAGAAAAATATTTAAAAGCTTTTGGATGCATTAGAGGCCATTTAATACATACATCAAACATAAGTTTAACATTTGTTAAACCTCCCAAGTTTGTAGTTGGACACAATTCTGATTTGGTAATAACTTGACCAATGCCAGATCTTAAAGAAGAAGCTGGATATTTGGCAATAATTTTAATTGTACTATTTAGTATACCATTTTTCCTATAATTTATAAAATATAGTTATTATATCAAATTTAAAAAATTAACTAATATTTAACATACAATTCCAAAACAATCTGAGATACATTACATATTTCATTGAAGACTAATTCTAAATCTGCAGCAGTGTAACCTGGTGTTAATTTTGCTAATGATAACGCAACGCTATGTTTAATATTTACATTTAAAATACCACAAAAGCCTTGTATTAATTTTACCCGATCACTTTGTGATGGAACACCAATGTAAATCTATAAATTATACAAACTCTATTTATAATAACCACAACAATAATTATTTCTTTAGTTTCAAAACACAATTATAAATTACTTCATATGAAAATCTTGAACCTTGTTTAAAAGAAGCATCAATTAAATATGGCATACTGGTAGTTGCTATCACAATTATTCTACAACAATTTTGAACTGATGTTAAACAATCTTGTATTTGAGCACTAATTTGTTTGGCATTAGCATTTTTACAATTTAACATACTTTCTGCTTTTTCCAACATTATTACACACACATCTGGAAAAAAAAAATTAATAATATTAATATTGTACACTTTTGAATGTACCTATTTAAATTATTTATTACTTTTGCTATTTTGTTCTATAAGTAACTGTGCTTGCTTAAATACATCACAAATTGCTATTTCAGTAGAACCTGTATCAGCATTAATAAAATCTGTATACATAAAATGAAAAAGGATGCACTTTAATGATGCGGTGACATGTTGTACCAAACTTGTTTTTCCACTGCCAGATTGACCAATCAATATTATCTAAAAAGTAATCATTTGCTTTTCTAAAAAATAATTCCTATTGATTACTAAGTAATTTTTGAAGATATAAGTTGCTTAATAATACATTTTGTTCATCTCTGTCTACTATCATTTGTTTTTATTTTTCAATTAATATAATGTTATTTAGTTATACAATACATAAATAAATTATAAAAATTTATAAAGTTTTATAATTTTTATATTTCTATCGAATAACTTTATATGCTGGACCACTAATATTTTTAAAGTTGAATAGATTATTTATTTATTCTACATCATAAAATACACATCTACTTACCATATTACATAAAGCACTACAGCCATTTTTCGCCGCTTTAATTATATTTTTCAAACAAGTCACTTGAGGTTCCATGCCAAATAATGGTTTTACTTCTAAACCAATTTCGGCATGATAAAACTGTAGGGTAGACATTGTTTTAACAATCTCTATGGAAGTTTCTGGAGTAATACGTGCTCCATTATTCTTACAATCAGTATTATGTACAATTATAAAGTCAATATTAAAGTTTTGTTTTAGACCAAGTCTATTCAAGTTTACTAAACAATTATTATGTACTACAAATAACCTTAATAAATGTCTGATAGCATCAGTCAATTTAGTAAGGTTTTTAGACCAAATATTTTGATGTTTTACATCTTTAAAGATTACACTAACTGTCAAATATTTAGCATTGGTAACACAAATCGGTTCAATATCCTCTTTTGTAATAAATATTTCCAGCTTGACTGTTGAAGAATGGATAAATTTGTTTGATGCATGTTTTACAACACTCGGATCGCAAGTAGCAAATTTATCAGTAGAAATCAATTGTGGAACCAATTTACATAATATTTTAGCATTTTCAGATAATTTTAGAAAAACATACTGGTTGAACCAACTTTTGGAGAGTAGAGTGTCTGATGCATACAATTTTTGAATTGCATTTGTGCCTTTAGAGTTGGGAATGTTGGATATAAATACCGTTTTCATAATTTATAAGAATCGGTGTGTGAAAAACTAGTCGAGTAAATAAAATAAATTTAAATAACAAAAATAATACAAAAAAAAAAATAACAGGTATATAATTACCTGTTATCATTTATCAAGAATAATATCTCGCAAACACGTTCTAATATAAAACTGTGATTAGGAACCAGAATTTAAGATAGTACTATCTTAAAACAAAGTTTATATCAAAAACACAATATTAAAGATATATATTAAATATTATTCAACGTATATCGTGTATTTTTAATCAAGATTTACCGTGATTATGGTCCAACACAGAGTTCACTACTAATATACTATAAAAAATAATATAGAAATCTGTGTGATCCAAGGTATAGCTTGTGGTATTGGGGTGTTAGGTACAACTGCTACGAAAATCAACTGTTACTATCAAATATTACATCGAATATAATAAGTACCAATTATATTATTCCGAAATTAAATTAAAAATTTGATTAACTTAAAAAACTTGATAAAAATTGCTGCGAAAGGCAATAACTCCGAATTGATTTATCTATAGTGATTAATGACGTGACTTTGCTATGGTATCATGGCGATACTTTCGGATCACATATTCTTACTGATAACGCATTGATCGTTTTTTTAAATAAAACCACACTTTTTTTTAGCAGGTACTTTATCTTATATATTTACTTTAATTTTGTTACAGGGACAAACTATAGACATCACATCATTCACAGAACCCTCCTTCTTAAATATTTGTCTTGAGCAAAATGTACATAATACACACTGAACTCTGCATACCTACCTATTATACCTATTATCATAGATACCAGCTATTACTATATTAGTGATTCTTAGGTACTTACTTAGCTATTTGGCTTTAAAATTAATGTGTATTTAGTAGGTACATAAATAATTGTTATATAAAATAGATTTTAATTTATTTTTATACACTTGGCCACTTAGGTTTTTGAAAACCAACATATTCTAGAATTTCAATAAGTTTCAAATGGTTTCAGAATAGGAACTTAGGTATAATCCAAAGTAGGTAATTGGTACCTACCTACTTACTTATAAAATAATATTTTAGTCTTATTCTTAATAAATTATAATTGTAATAATTAATTAATAAGAATTTACGAAAATATTGTTTTTACTATTTTTAATTTTGTTTTTGTTGTAATTCAGTTAAAAATATTCGTAAAGACTATAAATTTGGATAGAAAACTTATACTTACCTTTTCTTGACAGTAAAATTGTTGAGCAATTTATAGATACTTTAATTTTACGAGTTTTGTACGTAATTTTTATTCGATAGGTACAACTTCTCATCTGTAACAATGGTCCACCCATTTTGCGAAGTACGTCAGTCTTTTTTTCTTATCATTAATATTAAATTTAATTATTTCGCCCCCCCCCCCATAGTCAAGGTCTGGAGATGCTTATGTAGGAAAACTGGTGGAATGTTTCGAAGGCGAATATTGTAATAAAATTTCCAAAGGCGTTCTCATTCAGTACTTGTGCATCGTGTATTAAATGTGCACTAAGACCTTTCATGAAATAATTTGTATTGGTCATATCCATTTATTTTAAGATAGCGAGTGTCAAAATTGTGTCGTAGGTTCATTACAGATAAGTTAGGTGTATATATTATACACAATTATAGACAACTTTGTGAACTGTAAGTAATGTAAAATATAATAACCTACTGTTAATGTTTGGAAACTATAACAGAAAGTTACGGGCAAAAGCCAAAATAGGGGAAACATTAGAAATGCCCGGGCAAAACGCGAACTGCCTACGACACTTGGGCAAAAGCCAAAAAGTCATATCTCGGCTTTTGCCAGGACAAACCTAGCTGTGACCAACCTCATTCGGGCAAATCTGTAACGTCCACACCTAAATATATTTTATAAATATATACTATATAAATCTTACAATAAAAGTAGCTACGATTTTGTCCAAATGTTTATTTTATGTGGTCGCTATATATCAAAAACCAGATATTTCCGTGTAAGGACAAATGTATTATTGATGAGTAAGGTTTCCATATACGTCCCGGAAAACCAGGACTGTCACCAGTTTTTTACTTAGTGTACCGGTGTCCCGAAAATAAACGTCGGTACGCCAATATGTTTTGAGAAAAATTAATTTTATTTAATTTCGAAATTTTTTCCAATAATACGTGACTGTAATTGAGAGATAACGATACGATTTTTAACGAATACGGGATAAAACAATGATGACAAAACTTTATATAGTATCTAAATATTTATCTATTAGTTGTTACTTGTATGTTTTATAAAACATTTTTTGATGATTAAAAAAAAAAATATGTATTGTAATGTGTTCTTTTTATAGTAAATTTATAATCTATAATAAATAAATAAATACAGTTTCTGTTGTATTGTTTTAGTTTTTAAAATAATAGGCAAGACGGTTTTTTTTTAATAGATACATATAGATTACAGGTATATGGATATAGTTATCTATTCGTAATATGATTCAATCATATGTTTAGTATAATTTGATTTGCTATTTTTTCTGTTCGTCCCGGAATTACTTTATGAGACTATGGCAACCCTACAGTAAGAAAACGAATTTTCGTAATACCTAGTATTAATAGTAGAGTATTGTAATATTATTTACACGGTAAGTACCTATCTACTATGAAAATTTGAAACTTACGTTACAGATTTGCCCGAATGAGTTTGGCAACAAACTTAAAATTGGTTTTGTCCGGGCAAAAGCCGAAATTTGACGTTTCGTCCAAGTGTCGTAGACACTTAGCGTTTTGCCCGGGCGCATCTGAGATTTGCCCGATTTCGGCTTTTGCTCGTAACACAAATATAAAAGCGGTTGTGGGTAATATTCCAGTGGTCTGGGAATTGTTGTTCCCCGGAGATATTTATTCCGATTATTAAACTGGGGTACCGTGCTACTTAAAATATTATTGTGAAGATCACTATTCTCCGGCGCTTCGGGCGGAAGGTTCGGAGGAGGAGCCCAGCTTGTTCAAATAAAGCGTTATACTTTGGAAGACACGTTTGCGTTTATTTAATTATTTGTATTGTACGTTTTGTGATTGCTGCCGTATGCGTCCAAGAACCTTGACTAATGACTTATACACATAGTTAAGTGAAAATAGTATTTTTTTTTTTTTTTTCAAATAGATACTGTAGAACTTCGATTATCCGAACGCTAATGCGCGTCAATTGATGTACTTATCCGAAATTCCGAACAATAGAAAAGATAATCCTCAATTATCCGAATGTTACCGCTGCTAGTACTTATAGTGATTTTATCATTTTCGTCACAAATTATTACTATTCTTTATTACCATACATTATCTACCTATAAGGTTACCTACCAAACCTATCATCAATATAAGTACCTATGCCTACCTACCTATTAATTAATGTTTTAGGCCCGTTCTCACCAACGTAATCGTTAATTTTTAAACTGAGTTTATAAGATAATCGATCATTCGTGGTCGGTTATCAGCCGTAAACGGAGTTTAAGGATTGTAAACGCTTTTTTTTTTACGCCGGTGAGAACGGTATTATGTGTAACGTAATCATCGATACGCTATGCATTTATTCAGGTAAACGGCAAATCGACGTGCGGGCAGCATATCAATACATATCTGCTGTATTATTTTGGTGCACAATATGAACGGTCGTTATTTTACATTCTACTCAATTATGGTGTTTAGCCGTGAGCTTTCTAAATGTTTAAAAAATTCCCAATATTCGGACTTTTTTCTTATCCGAACTGTATGTGGTCCCAATTGGTTAGGATCATCGAGGTTCTACTGTACCTATATACAAATAAATACTGAAACATTTATTAGATCTTCCGGGTTGTATTATGTAACTACTAGTTTTGATAACTTTTTCTTTGTTCTATTAAATTGTATACTTTTTATGTTTTTTCTATAACTGTATTGACGCGTAGGTAGATACGCATTGATATAAATTAATTGCATTTGCATTTTGTCGACAAATTTGGTACATTGTTTACCAAGTGATATACCTGTAGATTTCACTTCTAATATCTTTTAGTATACCTAATTAATAATATCAATAATATTGAAGGGTTTATATTATTTATATTTTATACTATATACTAACCTATATAATTACTATTACTATTATTACTTAATCTATATAGGCTCTGTACTACTAACCATAGATAATGCATTATCTATCATGATGTCCTAACCTTACCACCATGATAACATAACCACCGACTTTAAACAATTTAATGGAAGAAAAAACCATAATCATTAACGTTTATCAATATTTCAATAAGTTCGTTAGATAGTGTTTCATAAAAAAAAAAAGTGACACTAATAGTAATAACCCGAATACTTAATTCGATTTTATACTCAGAAAACTCACTAACAACACAATGTGTTCTTTAAGAGACTTTCCTGAATTACGAGACTACAGTTTAACAGATAAAAATGCATCGATGAATTTAGTCATTAGAAGAATTAAACCCGAGGTTAGTATTATAGATACATTTTCTGTTGTTTGAGTCATTAACTGAAAATTCTGATTTGACAATTTGATGATAGTCCATGCAGATTTTTTTTAAATCCTAATATTAGAAGAACATTGCACTTGTTTTAAGTCTCACTAATGTATCTGTTATTAAATAAATATGTTTAAAATAAATTTAAAAAATTGATCTTGTTTTAATATTAGTAAATTGATTCATAGATAATTGGCTATCCCAATATTGTGGTACAGTTACATGGCAATCAAAATCAGCTACCCTTGTTTTTACCGTCTGCGGAACCAACGGCATTGCAAAAAATTATTGCTAACTTGTAAGTAAATTGTCTAAGTACATACAATTATTAATATCTGCCTAATAATGGTAGAACCTATCTTTAACAATTTTTTTTTCTAGTGTTGAAGAAGACTTCTGGATAGCTTGTGATGAAGTAATAAAATATTTAAATAGAACTTCAAGATGTATGTCAATTTGTTCGTATCCATTAAGATTAATGATGACATTTTCTTCTCATGCAAATTTAAAAGTAAAAATATATTTTATGTATATCATATATTAAAATATTTTTCTCAAGATACTTTATAACTGACTTGTAAATGTTAAGCTATTGAGTTAATAAGCTATGAAATTATTATTGTATTGTTATGTATTGTCTTTTATTGTAGGGTTCAGAAAAAACTGTGTTATCAAATTTAAGTAGAACAAAGTTATGGTTATCAAGCGTAATTCGCTGTATGGCATGGCATTCTCAAACAATTAAACTGGCTATTGCATCATCCCATGATATTGTTTTTGTGTATAACCAAAAAGGTTCTGAAGCAAGAATTAAAAATAAATCTCAATCTGACATATTATCGTTAGCATGGAGGTATTATTTTTACTTTTTCAATCACAATTGTATAATTTATAATGTTTCGGCTAGAATGCACTTTACTACGCCTTTCACAAATGCCAAATTATTTTTTTATTAAATTATGTGTTTTTCAAGAGTTTAGGGAAAAACAAATAAAAAAAAGCAAGTTTTATAAAGCAATATATTATATAGTACACAATATTTTAAATCTTTTTAGAAAAATTATTATTATTAGAGCAAGTTATCGAAATCTGCAATCGTAGTTGAATATAAAAAAAAATACTATTGTAGTGTAAGTACTTTATTATTTTCTTTTTATATTAAAATTTTTTTTTTTTAATTTGATACAAATATTTTATTATTGTATCTATGCATGTAATATACTATTATTTCATATGACTTATTATAATATTTAGTATATACCAATATAATAATATAATATACCTATTGATTTTTAAAAATAAATAGTTATAAATTATAAATCATACTCATATAAATCCAAATTTCTTTTTCCCACTATATGCTACAGCCATATGTTTATTTTAAGTTGATTTTTTTATATTTTGTACTTACACTATAATATTAGTCATTTTTGTTACTTTGAATATAGTCAATGGTATTGAAATATAGTATAGGTATCTATTATATGGTACTACATAATATTATGTAGTATTAACCAATAATTTACTTTTTATGTTATAATATTTGAAATAAATATATTGTTTTTTTTTACTTGCTTTTTTTCCAAACCTTGTTATGAACATAAAGTTATTCCAAAAAACTTCAAATTTTCAAAAAAATGTCTAATCTAAGGTTATTTTTTTTTAAAAACAGTCTGAATGACCCCACCAAAGCTTTAGGTACACACAAACTGTATTTGTTTTTCCCTTGTTCCCTACCCCACCTTGTTTCGTGCGACAAATGAATGGTTTTTTTCATTTAAAACAGACCAAGTGCAGGGAGAAATTAAAAATTTGAAGTTTTTGAAGTTTTTTTTTTATAATTTCTTTTATAATGGTTTCTGTAAAATAATTCATACAGTTTCAAAATCAGTTTTGCAACGCACACTTTTTTTTTAAAAAAATTTCAAATTCATGAGGGGTGTAAGTGCATTTGTTCCAATATTTTTTTAGACCAATGGATACGGGTACATTAGCTGTTGGCTGTGAAAAAGGAATTTTTATCTGGAATGTTGAGTGTACCAATTTACACCAAAGACCATCAGTCAATAACGTTTGTACATTTGTAAGAAAGGACCATAGATATATTAATGGATTATCTTGGAACAAAATGGTAAATATACAATTTTCAATAATATTTAATTATACAAACTCTACTTAATAAAGACATACTTTGCCCAATAGAAGGGCTACTGTTGTAGGTAAGAAGTTGGAAATATAGGATATCGATGGAAATTTAATGTATATTTGTACAGAATGATTGATCATTGCTAACTAATTAAAATTGTTATAAAAAAAAATTCTACATTAAACTCAACTTTTTCTTGTTGATCACTAAGAACAACTTAAAAAGAACTTACTGTTAAAGTTTTAAGTATCTCTGTTTGGTCTAACTACTGTATTCACAAAGTACCTACTAAACAAAAATTACTTAAAAGAAAACTGAAATTGTATAATATAGGAAAATGGGTTTAACAGGTGGTATATGGCACCGGGTGGGTGTCAGGTACCTTTGGGAGTTGATGTTGGACTCCCAAAGTAAACGTTAGTGCTCAATATACAACACTTAGAATGAGTGGTTTTATTGCTAACTTTTTCAGGCATACAGACAAGTATTTTAATCAATACCAAATTGGTCGAAAATTAACACCATTCAGCATAGATCAGTGCTGCAATTGCTGATATCAATTTATTACAAATTGTGTATAGCTCTTCAGTTTGATATTATAGAAAGTTACCACTTCTAAGTGTGTAGCTAAGCAGGGTAACATACACCACAGATATAAAAATATGGGTTCTGAGTATAGCAGCCCACATTCTGTTCTGCAACCACTATAATCAGAGGAGAGAATTTGAATGAATTTGATACTGTAGGTTAGGTTAAGGATGATAGGAAAGGACTGAAGAAAAAATGGATGTTTCAGCTGGGCAAACTTAGAGAAAAAAAGAGACTATGCTCTGGTGTATGTTGCCTTATATGTCTTTCACCATTCCCCACTCTAGCGACATTTTCACTAGGAGTATATAGTATACTTGGTGTCAATGTAATTAACAGATGTTAATTGTTTTGAGAGATGGTAGTTGTATAATATCACACTAGTTTATTTCCAATACTAAATATTTAATAGGTTAACTATACTAGGGTTTTTTCTGGTTTTCTCAATTATTATGAAAACTGCCTAGAAAATCGAAAAATTATCTTCTATCAGCTAGTATCAATGGGATAAAATTGTCTTTTAGATAAAGTGCTACATTTAAATATCAGTGTAAGATTTCTGGTAAAAATGTTTGTACAAAATATAAAAAAGTTAAAAAACAAAGTAAACATCATTGTGTAATCAATATATTCTAAAAGAATCTAAAAATATTAAACTGATTGGTTCTGAATTCTATTAGACTAGACAAATAATTTTTTAATTAGAACAATTAAATGTCTAAGTTAAATTTTTATAGAATCACAACTTATTAAGTGAAAGAATTCATTTTCTAAAATAAAAATAGTTTATTGAATGACTGATTCATATTTCAAATTGTATATATATAGATAAACTATTAATGTTTTATTCTAAAATTGTTTGTATCTTATTTTATTATTTTTCAGGGTGATCTTTTGATATCCAGTGCAGTAACATCCAAAACAATGTATATTTGGAGTTATCCATTAGAAACTTGTGTTCCAATGCGCAGATTGAGTTTTCAAAATCTTAACTTTGTGCATTGGTCACCTGACAACACTAAAGTTTTCTCTTGTTCTATTAATGACCAATTTAGGTAAATATGATTGTAAATTTTATTTTGGTTTTTATTATTTTGTTTTGATGAGTAGGATTTGGTCAACTGATAAATGGACTTCAGATAAATGGTCAGTGAGTAATGGATCAAGAGTGCAATGTGCATGTTGGTCTCCTTGCAGTTCAATTTTATTATTTGCCACAGATTCATGTCCAACAATAAACGCTATTGACTTAAGAAAATCAAATGTTTTTAAAGAGTCAACAAGTTACCCAAAAGCCGCATGGCCCATTATTGATTTAAATAGTGAATGTGTTAATGATAAATTGTGAGTATAATAATTTAAATTGGTTTTGCCCTTTTATTCTAATAAATGTAAATAAATAACTTAATTTATAATAATTTTAGTAATCTAATAATATTTTTTTTTTTTGTTCCACAAATGTTTAGAATTGGTGGAACACCTACTGACATGTGCTGGGATCAGAATGGTAAACGTTTAGCTATCACTTTTAAAAAAAGTGCAGCTCTAGTTGTATTCCAAACTGCTATTGGGATAGATGTTGTGGATTGCATTCCATTGTAAATGTTTAATTTTAAAATTTTTCATTTTGTTTTTTTTTTTATTACAATATTAATATATTTAATATATTTCTAGTTGTATTATTCAAGGCCGCCTTGATGAAGAACCTTCGACAATTGCATTCCAACCTACTTATGAACAAGGGTCATTGTTGACTATTGTATGTATAAAATCAAAGTATTACTTGCATTTGTTTATTTACTTGCTTGTTGGATATGTATATTAAATGTTGAGTGTTTATTTTTTAGGGTTGGTCTAATGGAAACATCGAATATGTCCCATTCATGTATACCTGTACATCAACCAATGAGTCAGTTATTGATGAATCAAGTGCATACCCTCAAAATACCACTAAACCTACTCAAGCTAGTTCAAATTCAATTATAGAATATTTAATGAATTAAATTCCAACACATTATTTTTCTTTTTATATGTCAAACTGAATAATTATTTTTTTATACACAGAAGCTAAAATATATTTACATTTTTAAATGTTTATAAGTACTTATATAAGATAAAACAGACCAATATTTTAATTTAATATAAACTTAGAAAATATTTGCTATTTTTATCATTTCAGTAGCTAAAAATTGTGCACCTTATTTACTGTCACAAAATCAAATTTTAATTAAATAAAAATATGGTTTTATTCTTTGTGTTTCATAAAAAAGTAAATTACCTATATAAAAGAAGTATAATTAATTAACATGTTAAATTGTTATTTATAATAATAATATTTCATTATTGTTGTTTTCTGTGGACAGTTTTTCATACTATTTTATAATTTAGTATAATAAACAATATTCAATTTTATATTTTTGTGAAGTTTTATTTATTTTAAATAAAATGCACAAATAACACTATTTTAACATTAAAAAAGTTATAGAATAATGATAAATAGCATAGAAAGTAAATGGTTATTTAACCATGCTTGTCATAAATTTATAAAAGAAAACCATAATATACAGCAAATTTGCTGATATAAACCTCTTAAATTAAATGTATTGAAATACAGATTTTTACGAATTCCATCAGTATGATTAGGAAAATGATTTATTATACATTTTTAAAACAAAATAAAAAATTCAACAATATTATCTGTGTTACCTAATTTATACATTTTTGAAAATTACAATTTTTAATACTCTAAATAATTGGTTTATAAATTAATAAAAAGGTGTATGTAGGATACAAAGAAGACTTAAAGAATTCAAATATTTTTTCATAATTGATTTTGGTCAACTCTATTAGACATACTGATGGAAATGGCTAAATATGTTTTTGTTTGAATCTACAGAAGAGACCCCTTAATAATAATTCTAGATTTATTTCCAAGGACAGCTATTTAATTAACAATAATATTGATTTTTATTTTTTTGGATAACTTTATAATAAGCTGCAATAATATTATGTACATTTTTATTTAATCTTTAACTTACACCATTAGATTCAAATTTGCATTCTGATTTAAAGCATTAGCTCAGAGCCTTGCATTTTGATAACCATTATTGGTAAAGTAGTGTAAAGAACATATTATTATACAGTAGATGCCGCTTATTGGACTCATTTTATGACCTGACCATTTGAGTCCATTAAACGAATGAGGTGAATGACTTCAAAAATTTAAAATACTTATTTACTTAGAAATATTTATTGAGATTCAAAGTATAAAATTAAAAATTAGCTACACTAATAAAAATAAAATAAAATAATATGTATGTAAAACCTAATTAATTTTTTAATAAAAAAAACCATCCAAGGTTGATTGAATTTTTCTTTCTTTGGCCAACTTCATAATTATATCTTCGTAAGATTTATGTGCTCAAACAAGTCAAAATGACAAAAATTTGCTGAATCCTACATAGAACTTGAAGCGCTTCTAGCATTTGTTTAGTTGATGATGGTTCCTCAACAGGTTCTTCGTCACTGTCATCTCAGATCAGATTAGCATCAATCACACTAATTACATTTTTTCTCATACCTGTTCTATAATACGCTTTAAAAGTATGTATAATCCCCTGATCACACGGTTGTATGATTGATGTATAGTATTAGAGGGTAAAAATATGAAGTTTATGTGTTTGAATTTCACTATAACAACCATATAAATCGTGCAGTAATCGACTAGCAAATAAGACGTCATGACGAAGTTCATTGTCCCACTTAGTCAGCAATTCGATGAAAAATTTCTTTTGTCATCCACACATTACTGTTTGCAGAATAGGTAGTCTACAAGAATATTCTTAAAACTTTTGAAATATCCGGGGTTTTTACTTTTCCCAACGACAGTTTTCTTTTTTCACCATCCATACTTACACAAAATAATATGGTTTGACGTTCTTTACATAGTTTTAGTTTCTCTAGTTTTTTTCATTTTTGAACGCGTATGTGTTCAGGTAATGCCCTGAAATAAAGTCCAGTTTCATCCGCATTGAACATACAAGATGAAGGATACAGAATATTATGTTTATTTGTAAAGGTAATTAGTAGGTACATTTTTAATATGAACAGGATGAATTTGAAAGAATTGTATTATTTCATATTAAAACCATATTGATAAGTTTTAAATCCTTCATATGCATTTTATTATAATGTTTAATGAATTATATATTATATAGTACCTATTACCTATTTATTTGTGTATAAATACAGTTTAGTTCCCAGTTGATTGTTGAAATTGTTTTTTCAAAATGTTTATTTTTGTATGTTTACCTAATATAATGATAGTATTTTCAAAAAAATTCAGTTTCATTGCTATTTATATTACACATTAATAATTTACATTTTATGAAATCTAAGAAATTACTGTTTGCTGATGATTTGCAATTATTTCGATTGAATAGTAAAATATCACACTCAGATTCAGTCTTATTACAAAATGACTAAGATTTCTTATGGATCTGGTGTAAAAAAACCAAATTATTGTTAAATATTGATAAGTGTAAAGTAATGTAATTTTCTACTCTAGATTTTCGTACTCTAGTTCTGCATAATTGCCGTAATTGTTATTTAGTTAATATTTTGCTTCATCGGGTGATTGAAAATCTTAAGTTAGGTGTTACGAACGTCCACTCTTTCCTTCAATAAACATTATTTAAATACTTCTAAAAGATCGTCATCAATTCTAGGATTCATGAATAGGACATGTAAAGATTTTAATAACCCTTTTACCTTTAAAACATTATAATTTTCATTGGTACATTTTACCTATTCTAGAATATAATTTGATAGTCTGGTCGCCCTCTGATATTACTCATATTCACTGTCTTAAAGCTATCCAAAATAGTTTCCTTCGATTTATATCATACAAATGTGATATTTCACGTCAACCTCATTCTTCTTAAAAGCCATATTTAAAGAAACTGAATATGAAAAGACTTGCAATCAGTAGAAATATAAGTGATTTAAAATTACTACATAAATTGATTAATGTAACCATTAATCAATTTATAGTCAGTTTTGAACTACTAAATTATTTAAATTTGTGTGTCTCTCAGTGCCAAACTAGGTCTATTTATTAGACCGACTACCTACTGGATTTATTTAGTTTTAATTCTATTGAATCTTTTTATAATTATTTTATTAGATATTTTGAATGAATTATGTTTTATTATTATTCATTATTTGTTCAATGTAAAATTTCTCTATTTGTATTATTATCTTTCTGTTTAAACGCACTTTGTTGTTATGCTTATTGAAAACTGTTATTGAACTTTAGTCCGTTTAAATTAATAATGTAAATAAAATGCAACAAAAAAAGTCTGTTGTCATATTTTGATTAAAACAAGTATATACACAAAAAAAAAAATACATATTGTAAAACTAATACATTCCTCGGATCTAAAGACATCATAGTAAAACTAATAGATCCCCTCCAGTGCCAGTCCGAGATATTATAATAAAATTTAACTCAATTGCCGTGGAGTCAGACTTGCTCAACGTCTCATTTTCCCGGACTAACATACGAATGTGACGTCGGGCTAATCTGACTTCCTGCAGTCTCATTCACCGAAAATGTATCATAGCCGAACGATGGTGGTAACATCATCGACACCTCATTGCCATCGACACAAATTTCGGTAATTTTGCCAAATTTTAAGCTCTGGCCAAAGGAATCTGCGTTGTTTATTTGTCGGTGACCACTTCTCCAGTTAATCAAATTTCCCTAAAACGTTCACACAGTGCACCATAAAAGATGCGGGTTATTCGTCTTTGGTGCTACTTAATTATTTGAAATATTTTACCAACGTACAGAAGTTTTGCCAGATTGCTAAATAAGTTTCTAAAAAACGGATGGACTACGGGTGGGCCACTGTTGTAGGCGAGAAGTCTGGAAGGTAGGATATAGAAGGCAATTTTAATTTATATCTGTACACGATTAATCATTGGAATTGAAAAACGATTTGGCGTGAAGTTCGGTTACATACAGGCACAGATCCAAACCAAAAATCTGGAGGGGGCAACAAAAATACAATTAAAATATAATATTATATTATGTATATTATTCTCTCATAAATATCAGTGATTGGAATGTAGTAATACCAGGATTTATAGAATTATAAAAACAAATAAAAAATTGGAGAAATAATATGTTTGAGGGGTGGGGGGAGAGCCTGGGCCTCTCTTGAATCCGTCACGGGTTACACATGTTTTGAAAGGCCGTAATATTTACAATTTTCGTCAAAAATTGTTTTAAAAAAATAATTGTACATATTACACTATTTTTTTTTATCACAAAGTACGACTTATAATGAATCTCCTGTTAAAATTTCAAACATTTTTATTTGGTCTAAGATTTTTAAACACAGGATAAAATTATGTAAAAAACTTGCAAAATTAAAATGTCTATAAATAGGTCACTTTTACCACGTCTAGAAAAAGCAAATAGGTGTAATTTTTTTGTCAAAATTTCAAGCCTTTTAATTTTCAAAAAACAAAATCGACGGTGAGGAGCCGTTGATATAGCTACAGCAGTTGACAAAGATGTTTGTACGTTGAAGACTTGACTTCATCATCATTATGATCATGGTGCGATGTAGGTAGGTATTAAAAAAAGTTTTAAATGTGTTAGACACATATGGTAATATACAACCCTCTATACATTGTAATGTTAAGTGCACTATATTCTTAAATATACACAAATTTTACAGAGTTATTAACATGAATTCAATTATTTCACTAAAAAATTGTACCTGTATGAGATAATTTAGGTAAAATATAAAATATATTTAATACATTTTAGATTCTGAGTGGAGCTAGGGATGTATTGGTTTTACAATAGCATTCATTTTTTTATATTCTGTGGACAACTTTTTTACCAACAATTTTGCTCAGATTTATAATGGAAGCACTTATTCCGAAAGGAAATCTTACTTACTGGGATGGTACTTTAGGGGGATAATTTTTTGATTTTCTCAATAAATAGGAAAACCCTTGAAAATAGGTAAAATACCAAATATTATTAAAGAAATATATAATGCATATTATGTAATTATTTTTCATAGTACAACATAAATGTGTATACTGTTGACAATGCAACACTTTACACTATGAACTTCCTTCAGAATCGTTTTTTTAAACAATAGTTAATTGTTTGTGTACAGATAAGTCAGGTATACATTAAATTTCCTCTTTACCATTGTAACTTCTCACCTACAACAGTGGCCTACCCATGTACGTCCATCTTTTTCATAGTTAAATAGTTAATAGGCTTTTTTTTTATCTGTGCATAACTTATTTACCAGAAGATTTAGTCAAACTTTTAAGTGTAGTACCTTTTCTGAAAGGAAATCTGTGTACTTTAAGGAGGTCATTGTTTGATTTCCTAGCAAATGTGAAAAATTGGTATAAAACAAGGAGAAGCAGGGAAACATGTAGGAAAAAAACAGGAAAATCAGTAAAACATTAAACAAATATTTTTAAAAAAAATATATAGTCTATAAAATTATTTTACTATAATATGGCATATATATTGTTGACAAAAGTATCACTATCAACTGAACTCCATTCAGAATAATCTGTTTTTTCGTAAGCAATGATTTATCATTGCTTATAGGTAAACATTAAATTACTTATAACAGTGTCTGCACCTGATGCCATTATCCTAGGGTGTCTTTTTGCTTCTTAAGTTTTCAAAAAAAAATATAATAATTCTGAAAAATGTTCAAGGGGCAATTGTATGTCACAATACCACACAATTTAATCAATATATTTTATAAGACAGTTGAAAAGACAAACATACAATTTATTTTATGTTTATCTCAATAATATTACATACAAATTTGCTTTTTTTTGTTCTGTTGTCTATAAACTATTATCGTTATTCATTATAAATAATTATTACTTTAATACATTATTTCTATATTATATACTGAAGGCTAGCACAGGTACATAATACATAAGTTACTTAATAATAGATTTATTTTTATTATACAGTACAGTGGTTTTTAGATTATGTATGTGTACCTAAATACAATAAATGTTTATATTTTATGCTTAAATAATAATAATAAAATGTGATTAACCAGCTTAAGAATAATAATAATAATTTAAAAATCATACAAATATTAATTTAGGCTTTTAAAAAAAAACTGTAATAAATCTGTGCACATTAATTAATAATATTACAATCACAGAGTATACAATGTATATAATGCTATTAATATTGGTTTTTGATAGAGTATACATAAAAAAAAATACTGGTGGCTCTGCTTGGTCTCATCGTTATTTTTGGTGAAATACGTAACAGTTACGATATCAATAAAATATATATTAAATAAATTGAGTGTATAACAAATTATAATATTAAAATATTAGAAATAGATACCTACAAACATGATTTAAAATTTTGCATGCACCCAAAAAAAAAAAAACAATTATTAAAAAATAAAATGTATAAATAAATGAATTAAGGAAAATAATTATTTTTTAGAAATTTAACTATTGAAAATTATAATTAATAACTTTAATATCAAAATAAAACCTAATAATAAAATAAAATAATTGATTTGTAAATGCATTCTAACTTATTTTAAAGATAATAAATATTTGTTGAGCTGATCTAATAAAAACAAATTGTTTTATTAAACTTTAAGAAGCTACAAATTTGTTGCCAAGGTTATAATAATTGAATTATAAAAATATGACATTGATATTATTATCAAATATAAATGATTTGCATGTACTCTAGAATTAATTAGGAACTGTTTGTAAAAATTCATATTACATTTTATTTATTTTATGTTTTGGGATTATAGAAATAGTGTTGTTGAATTTTGATAAAAGTACAAGATAAGAAAATAATGTTCAAACCATAGCAGAATCATAAACTAGTAAAAAGTGACATCACTATATGAGTGGCTAAGTAACAGGTAATATTATCTAAATAGTTATTAATAGTTTGATTTTGATCATCTAGGTGATTTGAAGGCATTTTACAATTTTATGGACAAATGTAAATGTTTTGTAAATTTTACACTTTATTGAAATAATCAACTTGAGCAAACAATTTACCATTTCGTTGTTTAATAAAAATAATAAAAAAAAATTATTACAAAGAATACTATACATTCAAATATAAAATGTATTATCATACAACAAAATGTGTTATTGCTTCAATATACTTATACTTAAATTTAAAAAAAACTAACAAATACAAAATACTAAAAAAAAAAAAAAAAACAATAAATATTAATTCGGAATACCAACTAAATGAATTGAGTTATTAGTTTTTAATTTGCATGAACCTAAGTGTGATCAGGGTAAATAAGTACAATAGGAATATTATTTTTCAAACTAATTGTATAACAAAAATATAAATAAACCATAACTGATTAAATTAATAAAACATTGTGTAAAAATTTAGTTATTGTATAAAATAATATGCACCTAGACATTTATTACATGTATAATTTAAGTTTATGTATTATATTACAATAATATATAAAAAACATATATTTATTTAGCTGTCAGAAATTGTTGATCTTTGGGGTAGTTTTATTATTTTCATACAAATATTATATACTACAGTACAAATTAAAATGAACTGATAACAAAATAAATATTACTTGTTAAATATTCCAATAAAATAAATTATATAATACACATTACATATAATAATACTAAACATATGTCTACATACGCAATGGGTAACATGAAATAATAGTGAAGACAAATCTAAGTTTTATTTTTAAAAGGAGTTCCTAAAAAACTTTGGCAATCATTCACAAAGGATGGTCTGTTTTTATCTGAGAACATTAATTTTGAAATATTAAAAAACCTTTAACAGTCTATTTTGGTAAAAATTAAAAATATATAAATGTATAATAATATGAACTTGAAACTATAATAATAGTGATTTTTGTTTACTTGTTATTATTTTATTTTCAGACTTGAACATAATACAAAAAATATTATGGAGACAGTTATTTCATAATTAATTAGAAAACAAATGTCCAAAAGAGCTTTTGATTAAAAAAATAAATTAGAACTCTAATGCCTAGTTGCATCAAACTTGTCTATAAATATTATATTAAATATTTATACAATAATAAACTAACTGTATCAGTAGTAGAAGTAACACAAAACATTGATAGTGAAATTTAACTATACATACATTTCATTCGGTTTTATAAATGGGCCGTAATTTAACTCTTGAGAAAATATATTTTTATCAACAGATATAATTTAAAACATAGTTTATGCAACATAATTTATATAAACTCCAGATAAATGAGTTTATCTTGTGTAAATATTTGGTGCAACCAGGCATTATTAAATTAGCATTACCAAGCTCTGTTTTTCAACATAATACAAACTCCACTTTTCAAAAAAAAATAGTTTAGAAAATATTAACTAAACAATTTCTTGTCTAGCAACATAAGACAAAATACAGAGCTTTTTGTATACATAATCAGTCATTGCAAGTTGAACATTGAGAATAAAAATACACTTATAAATTATAATATGAGAATCAATTAAATAGATAATTGGAAACACAATTTTAAAATTGGTCTAACTACAAGTCAAATTGTTCAATACAACTGCAATTTTTAAAAATAATTTTGCTGTAATCGTGTTTAGGTATACACCCATATATGATAAATGTGAATTTACCAACTAGGTCAGAAAGATACATTATGAATAGTTAATCCTGTTATTTAAAAATGTTTAATGTACTATGGTGCCTGAGTGGAGTGAATCCTGAGTGGTGAATCCTAATAAAACACAATTTAAGTATGTAAAATTATATAGTATATTAGTAGATTATTAATAAATAATACTACACTACACTAATTGCAAGTTAAATTACAGTAGAATTTGAATTATTTATCAGAAATAAAGAAAAAAATGGTCATATTCATGTTAAAATTAACCAGTCATTGCTCAAATGTGAGAATTACCATTACTGATGGGAATTTGAAAATATAGATTTTCACAAAAAATAACAATTTAAGCCACTTAAAAATCATATAAGTGATAAATATGTTTACAGTATAAAGCTGTGTACCTTAGTGAAATATTTTTTATGAAAATGTAAAAATAAAACAAATCAAAAAATTAAACCGCTTTTGGATTTTGGATTTTTTGAAATCCAAAAGCATTTAATAGTTAAACAACTTAATGTATTTTTTTTTAAATTTGTATCCAAACATTTAACTTAGGTATACAGCTTTATTTTGTAATAATATTTAATATTTATACAATTTTTAAGGGACTTAATTAAGCAGTTTTTAAAAAAAATCTAGAGTGAGAGTTATATTCCCTTAACCTGCCGAATATAACATTATTAATAAATTACTAATATAATTATAGAAATATTATTTCTTGCAGTCTGCACATCACAAAATATAACATTGGTTTATCAAAATAAAATTTAAATTCAATATTAAATTTCAAAAACAATATAGGATGTGACATGGACACTACAAATTTAATCAATCTAAAAAATAAGTATGTAGTAGATCAGAATTTGTTCTCACTATATAAATGTCATATATAACATAAATCTGGCAGATCTAAAAAGTGTGCAAGTCAAATTAATTTTAATATCTCTTGAACTTTGAGTTGACAAGACTAAATTCTAGTTAAAAATAAGATAAATAAATGATTGAGGTTTTATTGTAAATATATAAATAACTGAGGGATTATATTTTAAAAATGATCTACTATGAATAATTTAAAACACCTTAAGTTGAACAAAAACTTAATATAATGTTATATCATACAAATTAAACTTACTATTAATTGTTGTAAAATTTATTTTTACTATTCTTAGTTGATTTTTTTAATCAGTTTATTTATTTATATTGGATGGTAAAGTAGCAGATCTCTGATGAACAGAACTTCCTGTGTAAAGTCTTAATGTAGAGCGTGTGGACTCCCTATAAAAATAAAATAGAATAATACAATAATATTACATTTAAGTTTCATAAATTAATATGATATTGAATAAACAAATAAACCTTGGTGATATTTTAGAACCATCCAGATTAGTATTAGCTTTATATCCACATTTTTGGATTTTTTTACTCAGTCTTTGCACCCACAGTTTTTGGTCATCTAAACTAGGTGCCAATATTAACAATTCCTTGGCAGAAGTTGGATCATTATGTAATTTACATGGAGCAATTGCATCCTCTTTTCGTTCAAGATGTTCTTTGTGTACTTTAATCCTGCAGCCTAACAACAAATATGTATACAGTCAACACTATTGTTTTTTTTATGAATATTTAATTATAGTATATTTCTAAAAAAATAAACAATTAATAATAATTTTAGAAAACACTTTTATTTTCTAAATACATCAAAATTGTATATGTATTTTCAGTTTTAAAAATTTGGTCTATTTCCTCAGTTTTTCTACTCACTTCTACACTCCAATGCAGGTGGTGGTCTGAACACATTTGATAATGGTTTTGGACAGACTTCACAATTAGTTGGCATATGAAATGATATCTGTACAAATTCATGGCCTTTCAGTGTAATAGTACCAGGCTTTTCATCTACTGTGCTAGTGACACTGGTACTTCTTGATAGATGTTCTGGACCAGATTCATTAGGTCTTCTTGCCTCTCCTTCCCCTGCATATAGTAACTGAAACATAATTTTAATAGTGAAAATACAAATGTTGAAAAAAAAATTGTTTATAAAAAAGAATATGAATATTAGGCAGGGAGAAGCAAAATTAATCAAGTGTCTTATGAAATCATTTTACATTATAAAAAGTAATTTAACAAATTATGACATTCATTAGTCTTAATAATGCTTTTAAAAATTGTTAAATAGAATATAAATGTGTATACACACTTGGAATATACGAGGGATATCTTTAGCTTCTGCTCGAATGACATCACCTTGAGTTACAGATCGTACATGAAATACTTTACTAAAATATAATAAAATAGATTAAATGTTGAGATTAGTTATTAATAATTTATATTTATTATAGAATTGTTGTTTAATGAAACTCACTTTAAATTTATAATTAATATAGGATCAGTATTTTGTTTGTCACTCTCAGAGTTATAGAAAAATATTTTTTTCGATGACACCACAACATACTGTTTTTTCCAACCGTGCCGTCTAATATTTTGTTTATTAGGAACTGATAACCAGCCTTCTAACCTAGATTCTGTGATACAAATAATAGATTTATTACCAAGCAAATTATTATTAAAATTGTATGCTCAATAGAAACCTTGAGTGTATATATCAGTATCATCATTGTCAGCACTACTAAGTGATGCTGTCTCACTGCCTAGAGTTGTTAATTTTCCTTGAAGCTGTTCAATTTCTGAATCTTTTGAATCAAGCTCCATTTGTAACCTTAATTTACTAGCATTTTCTTCTACCACTTGTGATTGAAGTTCTTGAAGTTCTTTTTGCCACTTAGTTACTTCTTGGTTGTATTTTTCACGTTCCTATAAACACAAATTATGCTTATTATATAAATATTAATATGTTATAGTTGTTAAAGATAAAATACTTTAATTATCTGAGTTTTAATTCTTTTTAAACTCATACATATTTATAAGTTGGAATCAGTAATTCAAATTCTATTTTATATTGTTGTATCAAACTTTTTTTTAATTTGCAACATACTTGTGTCAATTCTTGTTGTAATTTTCTACATTCTTTTTCTTTTCTTCTTAAATCAGCTGATGAAACTTTACTTTTTCCTTTGGTGGTATTGTCTTTACGATTCATGATTTCAGCAAGTTTATTAACAGCTTGAGCTTTCAGCAATTGTTCTTGTTTAAGTTGTTTTCGGAGTTTTTCCAGTTCTTCAATAAAATTCTTTTTACTCTCTGTAAACATTATGCATAAATTAATTGTTGTTAAAATCAATATTAGGTTCACTAAAATATACTCATTAAACATAATAATATTAACTATGAAAAAATATTTAACCTTCTTGGATTATATTTAATTGACTTCTTAACTCTTCGTTGTCTTTAATTAATTGCTCCATCTTTTTCTTCAATTCATTTTCCACTTCTCTCAACTGAAAAAAATTAAGACTTCTATAACTGGAATTCATAAAATTAAAACTTATTACAACTAACATTATTAAGTGTAAATTCTTTAGAATCTAAATCATTACGATGACGATTTTGACTGTCCCTTAATTCAAGCTCTCTCATAGTTTTTTCTTTCTCAAGATCTATAATTGTTTCTTCAGCAATAGACCTAGCAAGTGCTTCACTATCAGCTCTAGCTAATGCTATTTGTAATTGATGAGCTAAGGAGCCACGTTCTTCTTCCAATTCAGCAGCCCCTTTTCCTCTATCTTCAACTTCTTCACGAAGTTCAGCTGCTTGAGTTTTATACAATGTCTGTGAAATGAACAATAGAACATTAATAAAAATTTAAACAATAATAATAATAATAGGCAAATACTAATGTTTACTGAAAAGTATTGCTCGGCTTCCAATTGATCTTGTAATTCTTTCATCTGTAAATCAGTTACTGAATGTTCAGTCTTTAATTTATGAAGTTCTTCTTCAATAGCACGTTTATTTTCTCTAAGCAAAGTGACTTCACGCAACAACTGTGCTTCTCTAGCACGTAATTGTGTTGCTTCAGATATATGTGCACCTAACTCAGATTGTAAAGCTGATTTCTTTGTTAATTCTTGTTCAATTTGAGCATGCAATGCTTTGCTCTAAAATAATAATAAAAACATTTCAAGTTCAAAATTCTGATATTTTACTAATAGTTGGAATCTTAAATATAAAAGCCAATACAAATGTGGCCACTATTGTAGATACAAAGTCCAAAAGGTAGAGTTTATAAGTTATTTAATTTATGTCTGTAAGCTATGATAAACCATTGCCAACCAAAGTTTGGAGGTAAGTTTAGTTATGCATTTTTTGAAAGGCCATAATATTTATGATTTTAGTCAAAAATTGATTTTAAAATTATTTTAAAAAGAAAAAAATACTACATTACACTTAATTACTACTTAAAATAAACCTCCTATCAAATGTTCAAGAATTTCTGTTAAGTTAAACAATTTTATTCACAGAATACTTATTAAATACAAATTATGTAAAAACCTCACAAAATTAAAATGTCTAAATATTTAAAAATTAATTAAATGTATTGAAAATGTTACCACATATAGAAATATATTTTTCTGTTATTTCTATATTACATATTTTTTCGATTTTACTCAATTATTAAAAAATTATAATGAAAATCAAAAACTAACTTTCACAATCGCCAATAAGAATAAAAATTTAACTAAAAAAAGTCTTTTGTCGGTTTTTTTGGTGTAATATTTATGGTAAAAAACATAGTTTGCCTTGGTTTTTTCTATTCATTAAGAAAACCACTAGAAAATTAAAAAAATACCAAGCTACACTTGATATATTAGAGCAAATTTTCTTGGAGAAATTTTGTATACAATATAAGAAATAAAATAAAAATAAACATAATTATAGAATTAATACATTCCTCCCTATGTTCTGATTCTAAAGTAATGGGCCTTATTTAATAAATAATAGCTTACTTTTTCTACTTCTTGTCTATGTTCACCTTCAAGTTTTTGAAGTCTTTGTTGTATTTGACGATAATCTACAGACAACATTGAAATTTGCCTTTCTTTTTCTTGAGTAAGGAAGTCTGCTTTTTGCCTAGCACTTTTTTCTTCACTTAATTTAGTTTTAAGTGCTGGTAAAAAATTATTATAATAATATCAATAATTATTGGAAACACAAAAGTAGACAACAAAAACAAATGTTTGAAAACCAGCGTATTATGTATAATTTACCTTTAAATATATAATCCATTTTAACTAAAGCATGAAAATAAAATAATTACACTTAACTAATTAAAATGCTCAAAAAAGTATTAATAAAAAAGAATAATCTAAATTTAAATGTAATAAATGGTAATTTAGTAACATAAAGACTTGAAATACATCTATTGTGTGAATGCTAATTGAAAACATTCAATAATATACAGAACTTTTTTACTGTTGATTACATTGGGAAAAATGGGTTGACCATTAAAATATATGAACAAATAAATATGAAAAAAAATAACTAGTGGTTAAAAAGGGGGAGGGGGGTACTTTTTAAGAAAAAAGTTGTATTGAAAATGGGCATCTCCATCTACAATAAAATAGTCTAGGGTGATAAAAATGTGTATTACTAAGTAAAACAACTAACAAACAAAATTCATACTCTTTTCAAGGAATAATTTAATTGGTTTTACACCTTTATACATATATATAATAATAGGTTATCCTTAGTTATAGAAGAAAAATAAATATTATTGGTTTTCGGAATTTGTGCATGAAATGCATTGTATTATGACACCCAGAAAAAAATTCTAACTCTAGTTATAAATTATAGGTTTTCAAAGCTCTACAATTAAAAATTCTTAATTTATTATTATTATTATTTTACATTTTCTTAAATTGTCTTCTCTTTGAAATGTCATATTATTTTATAGTCATTCTAAATAAAGAGAGAAGTTAATTATTGTGATGTTCAATTTGCCTATTAAACTTATATGTTTACATGTCAAACATATATTTACCATTACCAATATATTTTTTTTTTTAAAAAAATTGATATTACATAATATGTGAAAAAAATTAGTACCTTTTACTATTTCAAGATTGGCTTGCTCATTATTAACTAATCTACTTTTTTCTGTTTCTTCGTGAGCCCTAACTTCTTGTTGATATCTATTTTGAGCAGTTTTTAATTCCAACACTAATGATGCACACTCTTTTTCTAACTCAGATGTCCTCTCTCCGAGTTGTCTGTTATCTTCACTCAATTTTTGTTCCCTCAATTTAGACCGCATGAGATCAGCTTGACAGGCTTGTAGTCGACCTTTAAAAAATATTTTCATTATGATTAAAATACCATATATGAATTTATAATATCAGTGAGTAAACTTAATATGGATTACATTAATTTTGTATAATGACTAAATATATTCAGTATTATCATGAAGACAATTTAATAAACTCAAGTATTTAATTTAAATAGCATCAAAGTGTTTCTCAGTGCCAATATTGAATTGTTCACAAAAATACACCCTACTGTAATAGTAATACTGTTCAGCAAAATCTACCAAATTAATTATTATTTTTTTTAAATTAATAGAGGAAAACATTTTATATTGAATTCCCGTTTTTAATATTCCATTCTCAATATTTAAAATGAAATTATGAAAAAAATGAATGTTAATTGTTTTTTCTTCCATTATTTTAAGTGCAACTTGTGGAATGTTATTGTTTATCATTAGTAAAAAATGTTTAGGAAAATATTTAATTGACTATCACTATTTTTGTGAAGTCATTTTTATTAATAACCTTTTCGTCCTAAATGGGTATTGGGAAGTAGATCAGTGTGAAAATAGTATCTTTAAGGTGATAATTAATATAGTAAAATAATTTTAAAACTAGAGAAATATAAGTACTGACACTGGGCTCCTTAGTATCAACAAATATACTAATTTAATTGGATAGAAATATATTTCCCCAAAAATAAAATACCTTCAAGTTCCAATTGTAAATCACGTAATGAACTTTTTTCTTGAGACAGTTGACCTTGTAAATTTGCTAATTCTTCATGCAATGTATCCCGATTTAATTGCAAAGTGGTTAACATTGTTTGTAATTCGGTTGCCATACGCTCATTAGCTGCTTTGGCCACTCCTAGCTCAGCTGCTTGCTTTCGAAGTTTAGTACATGTATCAGTTTCGATTTTTAATTTTTCATGCAACTCAATCATCTAAAGTGAATAAAAATAAAATAAAATACATAATCAAATACAATTAATACTGATAATCCTACTTGTTTTTCCAGTGAGTTAATTTTGTCATTATGTTGTTGATTATTGTTCATCTCTTTTGTTCTTTTAGTTTGTTCTTCATCAAGTTCTCTTTTCAATTTTTGTAGTAATGCTTCAGTCTTTCTACGCATTTCACATTCATTGTCAGCTTTCCGTTGTGCCTAATATTTATATGAATATAGTATATCACTATTTGATTATTAAAAATAAATATTAAATTATATTTACATCTCTTAAGTCTTTGTGGAGATTAGCAATAGAAGTGTTTAAAGCTGATGATTTTTGTTTTAAAAGAAGTTCTCGATTAGCTCCATCTTGCAACTGTTCAATTAGTTTACTATTTTGATCACGTATAACTAATAATTCTTTTCGTTCATTATCCAATTCTCTCTTAAGAACCCCAATATGAGTAGTCTCTTTCTGAAAACATACAAAATTAGGTGTACCATGCAATTTTATGAATTTGAATGAATCAAATGTATGCATTAAATTTTATTAATACTAAAGATAAAAATAATTATTGTATTATTACTAAAATATTATAGCCAAAATTTATATAATTTTTTAATTAGTACGAAAAAAAATATATTACTTACACAATCAACCTTTTTATAGTACAGCACATGAAAAACAAAAATATATGTTAATATAAAATAAAGCATTTAGTTATATATTATATTTTATGCAAGAATAATTAACTCAATTTTATACTTAACATTAATGCAATGTTATACAATTTGTTTTTCTTTAATAATGTTATTATCTTTTATTTAATATTAAAGAAAGGGTAACAATTTTTTTTTACTTTAAGGTATATAATAAAAAGAATTGATATTTAATTGTTAAAACAATATAAAAAATCATATGTATAAAGTATACAAATTGAATATTCATATAATTAACAGTATGATTAAGATTTCAGATACTTCTAAATATTTCACCTGTATGATCTTGTACTAAAATTGAGTTTTGTGGAATAAAAGGGTACTCCCTAAACTTAAAATACACATTTTCAGTCAAATTAATTTCAAATTTTTAACAAATTTAAAATTTGAGTTTATGCATCATTAGTTTTCAATAAAATTTTAACTTATAACTTTTGTTATTAGTTTAATTAATGCAATTAACAAAATAAAAAAAACATCACACCAAAAATAATTATTCGTCACTTATAGTAGTTACAAGTTAAAATTTTGTAAAAACCAATTATGCATACAAATTGTTTTAAGAAAAATACTTTACCCAAATTTGTAGAAAAAAATGGTATTACAATTATAAAAAAAAAAAAGTGTTTCTGTAGATAGTATAGAGAAAATGTTAAAAATTTGAAATTTGTTGTCTGAATATGTTTATTTTGGTACTCTCTTTCATTCCCAGAAAACCCCATTCAATACAAAAAAATCCAGGTGATATATATAGTGGCATCTGAAATTGTGATCACACTATATATTATAATAAAATATATTTTGTGGAAGAGGAAAAAATAATAAGAATTAATCATTATTAAACACCAACATATTATTAATTATCGTCATTAAAATATTTTCAAACATACTTACAGTATCAGGTAAACATTCACCATTTGTTGTACTACTTCCCAATAATCTGAAAATAAATAAGTAAATTTAATGTTATACTATTTCACTGAATAATTGTATACTAACATAAAATTATTCAATCTACAACAAATTAAAGTTCTGATTAAAAAATAAAAAAAACCATTTACTAACTGGTAATCTCTAGAATAAGTGAATCCAACAAATGGTAAATGATTTCCAGCAAATGCTTTAGGAACTGGAAAATTTTCTTCGGGACCATCATCTTTTTCAACATCATCAAAATTACTAGTGTCATCATCACCATTTAACTCTGGGACCACTGGAGGTACACCTAAATTTTAACTTTTATTTAGACATTTATAAAGAAATAATAAAAAGAGAAAACTTTAATTTACAATCTCTTAAATTATCAAATGTCCATTGATCATTTTGAAAAAATAGATGCTCTTTAATTTCACTAATTCCATTTCTCCCAAGACGTTTTTTTCTGAAATAATAATAATAGTATAACAAATGTTTTGTTTAGTTATCCATTAATTTCTTATAATACCTATTAGTCAGGAATGCATAAATCAATGATTTAGCATTTTGAGATATTTCAATATCAGAAGGAAAACTTAGAGAATTTTTATGGTCCATTATTTTACTGTATGTTCCAACAAGTGAATCTGCATAAAATGGGGTATCCCCAATAAGCATTTCATAAACAAAAACACCTACAGACCACCAATCACATTCTCTCCCATAAACTCCATGTTCTCCTGTTCCTGTTCCTCCTTGAGATTCTAACACTTCAGGTGAAATGTAATCTGGTGTTCCAACAGCAGTGTCTGATCTAACCATTCCATCCTATAAAATAAAAATCTCCATACAATGAAGTAAAAGATTTGAAATGTAGAGTAATTGATATTTTATAATAGTTAATACTACTGAAAAATTTCATTTGATATAATCAGGGCTGTGAATTTAATGCATTTGCATGTTTTTTTTGCTACATCATAAAAGAAAATGGATTCGGCCAAAATTTGAATTGTGTTACTAATAATTAAAATACGAAATCTTATAGTGCATATTTTTGCATATTTAACTAGTTAGGGCATATAAATGCATGTTTTTATACTTTTTTCGTATTAATGCTTTTTTCTTAATATTTATACTTTTTCGGTCAATTTGGTCTAAAATATAAAATACATAATATAAAATGTATTTATAATCTAACTATCTTTTATAGAAATTTTATTATTTTTGAACATTTTATTCTATTTTTAGTTGGGTTGACTACACGTAAATTCGGGTATAAATAGTTGTTTTCTTATTTTGCCGAATATTGTCCAAGATCAGTATTATTAATTAATAATTATTATTGTATTGTTGTGGTCTATAAATATAAATAAATGGAAAATAATATTTACCTATATTAACTTGCACTTGATGCCTGATGGACAACAATTGTAAAAATAATACCTATTTCTATTAGTTCGATGTGATCGCCGATCCGTGATGTGCGTGTGTTCGTAATTCGAGTGTTATAGTTTTGTTTTGTTTATTTTATNAAAGGATTTCAAATTGTTTGTAATATTTCAAAAATATTAACTGGCGAAGAAGAGAATGTAGGTGATTTGGATATACCAGAAGATTTAACCAGTAGCGACATGGCGTATTTTAAGTTTGCACCAATAACATCCGCAGATGTAGAACGATCGTTTTCTTTATATAAGAATATATTGGCACCAAACAGGAGGTCTTTCAAGTTTGAAAATCTCAAAAAATCATTAATCGTACAATGCAATAATTACTTTAGAGGTAAATTTATTAAATATTAAATTTATATTTATATTTATATTTATTTTTTTTATATAGATGCCGTAAATGACGATGATGAAGATCGCAATTAATTTAAATTTATATAAACATGTAATACCCATAAATTTTTAACAATTATATTTAGTATTTAAAAAAATATTTTTTGTTGTTTTTTGTATATTTTTGAAAAATTAGTACATATTTTACGAAATTTTAATAGCATATTTTTATGCACGTTTTGATATTTTTAGTGCATATTTTGATATTTTTTAGTGCATATTTTCATGCATATTTTGACATTTTTTAGTGCATATTTAATAGTTTTTTGGTGCATTAAATTCACAGCCCTGGATATAATTGTAAGTTGAAAAGCATGTAAATAAAATATTATCTAAAATGATACTGATAATAAACAAAACTAGGGATGGGTCAAACCATTTTTTTAAAACTTTGAACTTACATCTATATAAGGTAAAATTTGTGAATTAAAAAAAAATTGTATTAATTTACTTATGAATAGTTTATCTATAATTTTCAATTTACAAAATACTATCTATATTACAATGGACTCGTAAACATTTTAAATCTGTTTATAATTGATTGAGGGAAGGGTAATAAATTGCCTTTCTATGGCCTTTCTTTACTCCTCTGTTCTAAAATTTAAAATGTTGTAACTCACAAACTCATAATCTAATATTAGTGTAATGCATGCGCATGCATATCAAAATTTCTAAAAAAATATTCTCTATTCAAATCTATGTTTAAAAGAGGGGGTCTTATTTGAAAATCAAAAGTATGTACTTATTTAAGGTATTTTTGAGTAGGGGTAAAAATTAAAAATGGTTTTAAAATAAAGCTTAAACAATTCCATAAAGATTAGAAAAAACAGAAATAAAATTCACATAAAATCCTCTAAGATAATTGCTGGTACATAATAAAAAAAATCACCCTGTATTATTGTTGGCTAATTGTATATTATTAATGTATAAACTATTGACTATGCTATATGAAACTAATTACCGGTCCCATTCTCATACATGTTCCAAAATCTGCTAACTTTAAATGACCATATTTATCTAGTAACATATTATCAGGTTTGACATCTCTAAAAAAAAAAAATAAAATATAAAGTATAGTAAACCAATTTAAATTTTATGAAAATTAAATTATCATTATCTGTACCTATGGACAAATCCCATAGAATGAATTGCATCTAATGCTAATACAACTTCAGCACAGTAAAACTTTGCCCATTTTTCAGGAACATCATAATTAGACATTAAATTTACAAGATCTCCACCTATGAATAGAAAAAATAATAATTACAAAACATTTAGGTACACAAGTAGGTATTATAACAAAAATACTAATCGTACATTATTATTAAGTATTATAAAATTAGGTTAATACCTGGCATATAATCCATAACCATGTATAAATATTTATGATCTTGGAAAGCAAAATGAAGTTGAACTATCCATTCGGAATTTGCATGTGCCATAATATCTCGTTCTTCCCAGAAAAAAGCAGAATCTGATCGCTTTATCTGTGAATATAAAATTTTAAAATATCGTATACACATAATTTAATTGAGTTTTGTGTTATTAAAAATGTTTAATACATTTATAAGAAAAACATACCATTTCAAATTTACTTAACAATTTCATGGCATAGACTTTGTTATTTGATTTATGACGCACCTATAAAAAAAAAAAGCATACACAGTCCTTTATATGTCATAATTTAAACTTACAAGGCTTCCATTGTAATTTAAAAAAGCTTAACAATAGAACTAGTAAAAATAAATTAATCTGGCATGCATCACTAATTTTCTTTAACAGTATTAATATTTCTTATATAATAAATTGTAATATAAAGTAACAAAATATATCTATATGAACAAAGGTAATGTAATAAAACCAAACAATTTTGTACAAAAGAACATACTTATTGAAAAGAAAATATGATAATTGAAAGCACAATGTAAACAAAAAATAGTTAATAAAAAAACCTCTAAAAACCTAAATTAATGGAAATGTTAGTTTTATAAAATCATATTTTATATTTAAAAAAATAAATATCAAATATAATAATCTACATATATATATATATATATATATATATATATATATAATAGTGAATATAAAAAAATCAATAAACTACTTATAATTTAATAAATTAATATTTGTATTAATTAATAAAACTTACCAATTGAACTTCTCCAAAAGCTCCCCTTCCAATAACTTTAATGATATTAAAGTCATCTGGTTTCATACGTAATTGACAAATGTCAGAAGCAAATTTATCATCTACACAAAAATAATTTATAAGATTATTTTGATTATGCATATTGATTCAAAAATAAATGTAGATTGAATAATATATTGTTTTAAAAACAAACACAATAAAAAGACGTTCTAGGATAATGGGATGAACAAAGCCACTGTTTTAGGTAATTTAATGTACATCTATAAGTAATGATAAACTATTGCTAACAAAACAACAATTTTGAATGCAGTTCGGTCAATAGTGCTGCTTTGTCAACAATATATATACCATATTATGGTGAAATAATTAAATAGGCAATAAATATTTTCTTTAATAATATTTGTTTAATATTGTATAGATTTTTCCATGCTTTTTTCCCATTTATTCAGAAAACTTCTGGGAAAATCAAAAAATTACAACCTTAAATTACCTTTCTAGTCAGATTTTAGAAAAAGTGCTATCATTTTAAATCATAGCAAAATTACTGGTAGAAATATTATACACAGAAAAATAGGCCATAATATTTTTTTACAATTACCTACATTGTACATTTTTTGCTTTTCTAACATTTTATTCCAGTGTTTTCCCGATATTATAAAAAGTACTTGAAAAATCAATAAACGACTTTTCTAAATTATTATAGAGATAAAACTTCCTTTCAGAAAATACAAGCTACACTTGATACATCAGAGCAAGATTTCTGGTACAAAATTTTGCACAACAAATCAAGAGGTATTTTGCGCTTAAAATAGTCCGAGTGAGCGATGGCTTGGGTCTCTAGGTACATCCAAAATGTATATATTTTTTCCTTGTTTAGTTAAAGAGGAAAAAATAAATGCAAAGCATTTTTTTTTTCGAAACATGGAAACTCGCATTTGAACTCTCAAACCTTAGGATGAAAATAGGTATATATAACCATTCAGCTACGACAAACATACTTTAGAGAAGACAATTTAAAATAACAAATAATATTCGCATAATGTCAGAACTTCAAAAAGCTATAATTTCGAAACTTAGTCAGTCTGACTTCACCATCAATCACCATAGGCTTATACATATACATATGTTCAAAAAAAAAAACACTTAGAAAATCAAAAAATGACCTCCCAATAGTACCATCTGGACCAAATTATATCTGAGCAAGATTTCTGGTAGAATTTTTGTAAATAGTATATAAAAAATAAACATCTTAGTAAAACCAATACATTCTTCACTACACTCAGAATCTAAAAAAGAGCTGGTACAGGGTGCAGCCACTGTTGTAGGTGAAAAGTTAAGATACATAAGGTTATTTCATTTTTATCTGTATGCAAAAAATATTTATTATTACTTTTTTATTTATGTAAAAACATTTTTATCAGCAATTTCGCTCAGATTTAAAATGACAGCACTTTTCCTGAAAGATAACAGATTGTGAAGGTAGTTTAGGGAAGTAATTTTTCGAATTTCCTAAGCGTTTTCAGAGTAAATGTGAAAAACCAGGAAAAAATATGGGAAAAACAGGAAAACCGGTACAATATTAAAAAAGAGCTGATACTGGGGATGGGAACGGCCAATGTTATAGTTGAGAAGTTGAGAAGGTAGGATATACAAGGTTATTTCATATCTGTAAGCAACAATAAACCATTGCAAAGTTTAGTAATAAATTATTTGAAGTGCCGTATTTTTTTTTTTTTATTATTTTCGTTTAAATTTGATTTCAAAACAACATTTATTTAAAAAAAATGTCATCCGATGATTTTGAAAATTATACCACGTCTAGGTAAGTCCAACATAAATATTATTACTAAGTTTCAATTCTCTATGTGTATTTATAACCAAATTACAACAAAAAACTCCCAAAAATTAAAATTTCTCAAAAACCTCAAAAGTTTTGGCGAAGATACTTTAAGAAAATAAATCAGGCAACAAAAAATGGGTCATGTAATTTTTCGATTAAATCATTTTTTCTGATAGAAAATGTAGTCTGTGTTTTTATAAAATAATAAAATTGTACATTTCCCACTTCTATTTAAAAAATGGCATCAAAAATCAAAAAATGACCTGTTTAAAGTACCATCTAGACAACTTGAGCTTTTAGAAAAGTTGTTAAACATAAAAATCGGAGCAAATTTATTAATAAAAAACAGACTAAAACGAAAAAAAATAAAAAATAAAATACAAGTTTTTACAATGTTTAATAAGTAAGTTAATATATTATGTTTTGTGTGTGTACAAAGCCTTAATGGGTATGTAAATTTGTATTAATATTACTTTTCAGATTTGTATAACCCCCTCCCACTTTACAGTTTATTTCATAACTAATTTTATAAACCTTCATATTTAGGGAGGTTACTTAATACTTATGCTCTACCTGTATAAACTATATAGTACATTGTAAATATTAGTTTATTTGTATATATGTATATATTTAATTGGATTACTTACATCTATGCATAAATGCTTCAACATTTTTCATTCGTTTAACAGCAGGGTTTTCACAATCAGCAACTAATGCTTGTACTGTATCCTGAAATCAAAAAGTAATAACAACAATGAAATAATTTTAACAAAACAAAATATTAAAGTGTTTTTTTATAAATTTAATACTGAACTTTGTGAAATTATTATTAAGTTTTTAGTTCAGATAATATTTTTGTTAAGAATTGATATCTAGTAAAATGTTTTAATAAAAATAACAAAATACATTCTGATTCTATTATATCAACATTTTGTCATATTAAAAGTAATTTTTAGCAAATATGTAGTATAGATAATTTATGTCATCCAAAAAGATACAAATCACTAAACATAAATTGTTTAAAGTATTATACAAATTATTCCATGAAGATATACTATTTGTAATAAAATAAGAATTTCTCAAATAGGGAAAACAAAAGGAATATTATTCAGAATATTCAATATTAAAATATAATAATTGTTTAATTTTTATATTTGATAAAAGAATAATTATTATATTATCTAAATCTAATATAATTTACCTAACACAACTCATCTAAGATCTCAAAAACTTCAATTATTTTTTCTTGTTAAACAATATTTTTTTAATGTTCGTTGAAACATTAAAACTAGACAATTTTACAAAATATGTACATAAACAATTTATAATATAAAATCTAATAACTACTGTTTAAAAATAAACTAGGTACCTAAGATGATTATATTTTTGTAAAATATATTTTTTAATAAAAATTAATAATAGCCATTTAATATTATGCTCTTATCTAGTATGATTATTAGAAAATATAATAACCAATATGATACAATTTTCTCATTACTAATTAAATATTGATATTTCATATTTATCTTTAACTAGGTAGGTATTTGCTACCATAAATTAATTTTTTAATCAAATGTTAAATAAGTATAATTATTGGTAATACTATTAGTATTATAAAAACTTTAATTTACGTTATGAAAATAGTTTCTAGAAATAGACATGTTTAATGAATGTAAAGCCATTTTATCTATTTATATATTATTTGTATACATCAAAATATATTAATAGCACACTAATACACTTAGAGCCCAGCGAAATAATAAAGCTCTGCATAGGTTTTTTTTGTTAAGATTTGTTGAAACTTTAAAACGACCATATACATTTCACATAACTTACCTATTAAATTGAAAACTAAAATCCTTTTAGTACCATCTAGTAATCCATTTTATAGTACTTTATGATGATATGTTATTTCATAAATGTATTTTATTTATAACAGAGTAACTTTCAATAAATACATTATGAAGCTGTTAAATTTTTCATTTTAAAAAAAGAACCCTTTTTAAACTATCTAGGTAAGTTTTTTTTATCTATGTTTGTTATTTATACTAAAATTTATTACTATTGTATTACATCATAATACTTTATTACGATTTCAATCAACTTCAATATTGTTATAAATGAGAACATCTCATCACTTACCTTGTGCTTGTTAAAAAAAAAAGCTGTCCTAGGATAATGGGAACAGGTGCAGCCACTGTTATAGATGCAAAATTCTGAAGGTAGGATATAGACAGGAATTTAATATATATATATATATATAAACAAAGATTAAACATTGCTAACGAAAGAAACAATTCTGAACAAAGCCCAGTTAATAGTGTTGCTTTTCAACAATATATATGTATAATAATGTATTTATTTTCCCATGTTTTTTTTTTCATTTATATGGAAAACTCCTGGGAAAATCGAAAAATTACTTCCCTAAAGTACCAGTCCAGTTAGATTTTCTTTGAGAAAAAGTGCTATCATTGTAAATCAAGGTCAAAATTGTTGGTAGAAAAGTTTGTCACAGGAAAAAAAATAAATATCATTGTAAAATATATACTCATCATATTCCTCGCTCTACTCAGAATCATAAATGGTGTAATGAATTATCTCCAAATTTTAATATTTAGAATAACTTAATAGTAATCTAAAAACTGAAAAGGGTTATAAAACTCATAAATTAAACTTTTTATTTATAAAATTGAAATATTATTATAGGTGTATGAGTTTTTTTAAAAATCATAATTTAAAAAATAAGTATTAAGTAACTAAAGGTTAAAAAAATTATGAATTAGGTAAATGGCAATTAGACATACATATTTTGTACAAAACAGAATACCCATAATTATACTAGATAACAGTTTCAAATAGGTACCTATTACCAATAATTAGTTTAATTATTTATTAATGGATTAAAAATTAAAACCCAATTTCAAAACATTTTTGTAGTGTACATAGCAATATGAATACAAAAAAAATAACATTAGGTGGTAACTACATACATCATAAAACAATAATAATACAAGTATCTATCTTCTTCAATATAAAATCAAGTTTGATTTAACTTGGGTTATTATATAAATCTGAAATTGTATTCCAATGTTTATGAAACTTAACACAGGATATTTAACTGCCAGTCTATTTTTTATAACAAAATTCAATTCCTAAAGAGTTGTAACACTAGTAAACACAGAACTTAAGTGTTTTTAGAGTTTTGTTACCAAGCAACAAAGATTTACTGCGATATAAAGGTGAGCCCAAAAATATCAGGTAGTAATTCAGAATGAAAATAGTAGATACCTTTAAAATTGTTTTTTACATACATTATGAAAGATTCAATGGAATTAAAATAATTATTAAAAAAAAAGTATTGTATATCATTAGCAATGGACATCATTTTGGTTATATGAACAGCTATAATTTGATAACAAGGATGTGACTTTTTGGTGGTTTCAACTTTTAATTCCCTCCTCAATCATTTTTATGATCAGATTTTGTGTTTTCACAAGAAATAATGGATTCTAGATATCCTTACAGATTCAGTAACTATTTGAAATGTTTATGTATAAATATAATTGTCAGCTGGGAGAAAATTCAACTTAAGTGACAGGGCTCTATCGCTTGAGTGGATTTTTTTTACATAAAATATATTGTTTACATTTTAGATACTGAGTTGGAGCAAAGAAGCTTATGGTTTTACAAAGGTGTTTTTTTTCTGTAGACAACTTTTTTACCAACAATTTTGCTCCAATTTATAATGATAGCACTTTGTTTGAAAGTAAATCTGACTGGGGAGGAAATTTAAGGATGTCGTTTTTTTTTTTAATTTTTCCAGGAGTTTTTCCAATGCCATTGGAAAAACCAAAGAAAAAACATCGGAAAACCAAGAAAATAGGTACCTACAATATTAAACAAATTTGAATAAAGAAAATATATAATGCCTATGTAATTATTTTACCATAATATTACGTGGTAATGGTTTATCATTGTTCACAGATATACATTAAATTTTCCCTTTACTACCTTCCCAACTTCTCACCTCCAACAGAGGCCCAACCATATGTGAAGTTGCCAATCCTTTTTAATATAAACTTTAAATTGAAAATCCTTACCAATAAACAATCTATATTTGAAACACTTCTTGGATCACGTATTTTTTTCTCGAGGATTTGCAACCTCCTCATCCTATCTTCTTCTTTGATAGCATCCATCTCTTTCATTCCTAGATTTAAACAAATTGATATTATTAGAATTTAATAGAATAATGATATTAAAAACATAAATATAATATTACATTGAACTATTAATTATAATTAAAGTAGTTTTACAATGAAGTTTACTTTTTTTTTCTATTATGGACAAATTTTCTCCGATTTACAATGATAGCACTTTTTCTAAAAAGAAATCTGATGGAAAGGAACTTTAAGGAAGTCATTTTTTTATTTTCTTAAGAGTTTTCCCAGTAATAAAAAAACTAGGAAAAAACATAGGTAAAATCGGGAAAATAGGTACCATATTAAACCATATTAAAGAAAATGTCAAGGAAAATGTTTAATGCACCTATAATTTTATTATTTTACTATAATAATAATAAATATATTGTTGACAAAGCAACACTATCAACTGAACTCCACTTAGAATTGTTTTTTCATTAGCAATGGTTTATCGTTGCATACAAGTATACATTAAATTCTCCTCTATATCCTACCTATCCTACTTCCCACATACATTAGTGGTCTCACTCATCCCCATTATCCTAGAACAGATTTTCAAATCCTGAATATGATGGTATTTTAAAGAAAGACCCTTGCTTACTTTAGAATTATAGTACCCCCTCTCCACGTCATGATGGACATTTTTTTTCTTTTATTAAATACTTTATCTGACACAACTTTCCAGACAACAGACTTAAAAATGTTTGGAAGAAGATGGGATTCATTATTTATGGTAAAAAATTCTGTTATACTATCAGAATAAACATTAAAAACACATAAATTAAAAATCATTAACATTTTAGACAAATAGCAAATGTCAAATTTTTTAATTAAAAACCGAAACTTTTTTTAATTTAGTCGAATTCGCTTATAACAATCTTCAGGAGACTTAAATTTACACATAGTTGTATCCAAATTACAAAACAAAAGACTTGATTGAAATATTTTATATTATACATGTATTAAAATCTCCTTTTAATGGACCCCATTGAAGGCAGAACTCTTTAAAATGGAAAAACTTTTTTTTCTCTCAATTATTATTTCTATTTTTTTATCACTTAAGCTTATTGTTCTAAATGTAACCAATGGCATAATATAGAATTTTTAAAAAAAAAAATTTAAAAAATTTCATTGGTATTTATTAACCTAATTATGTTTATTTAATGTATATTGTATTAGGTTATAATATTGTTATACGGGAATGTAAAAAACAATTTTCATTTAAAAATAACATCAAGATTATGGATGTAACCAATATGGTTATATCCAATTAATTTTACTGCACATGAGATATAAAGCCAGCCAAATACATAGTTTGAAAACATTTTACTTGGAATATATCTAACATTATATATTGAATCGTAATAAGTGGATTAGACTAAATAAGAGGCCACTTTTCAAAATACATTTTGCAAAAAATTGATTGAGCAGTAAAATAGACTTGTTCCTTTACTTAAAATAATTATGATATTATATTCTTGGATATATTACAGATCATAAAATACGAAAAAAAAAATTATGATATTAGTACTATAACCATATGAGTGACACTATTTACTTTTTTTAAAAATATGTACAAATTTCAAGGCACACCTGTTAGTCTGTGCTTTTTTCACATTAACAAGTTTCTTTTTTTACTTAGCTAAGCATTTATTTTTATAACAGGTATAATTTATTTTATTAGTTATCTGTTTATTTTAAAATTAACATACACAGCAATACAGGTGTAAAAAAAATATTAGCAGGGCAAGGCAATTAAATAAATACTCAGGTACCTATTTATTATCTGATTATAAATTTAATTTATAGCTAGAAAGCTACAAATTTTAAAATTTTAACTTACAATTTTCTAAATAATTTAAATATCTGAATATTGATAACATTACAGCTAAGAAGTTTATATTAACTTTAAATCAGATTTTAAAAGACAAATAAATATTAATATTAATAGAAAACAACCTTTTCAGAAAATGTGTATAATATACCTAATATATTCAATTGATATTTTAATAAAATGAATACATTTTAAAATGAAAAAGTAACATCTAAAACATTTAACTTAAATAGGAACTTAATAGAAATAATATTATGGACGTGGTAAAATAATAAGAACATAGTAATTTAATGTAGGTTCCCCTTACAATAAAGTTATAATATCACTTATCATGTAAACATTTTAAACATATCGATAAGAGTACAAGTAAACATAATAATATAAGTAATACCTATATAATATCAAATATGTTTACCTTAGATACTGTGTTTAAAGCGGTTTGATGTAAATCTCGTGTTGATATTGTCCGAATAGCGTTTGAATCGACTGAGGCTCAAAGGCCAAAGTCAGCTGTAAGGAATGTACACTTTGTGGAACGCATAGTGTTTCTTTTTAAGTTTCAATCTAAATGCTTCAAATACCATATATGGCATCTCACACTAAGTTTGATTTTTGAAAATATAATACACACCGCCGTGTAGAAAAAAAAGCGAAAGGCCAGACATCGGAATTTCGTGAGTTGACGGACGAAAACGACGACGACCAAACAACAGAATATAATAAGTATATAAGTGCGTAAACTGTACACATATATAGTGTGTGTATATATATATATACACTTATATCTGTTGGCCGATGTACGACGTCTGAGGTAAACAATAATAAAATATGACTTATTATTAATTAAAAACGGTTAAAAAAAAAAAAAACAAAAACAAACAATAATATAAAATTATAATAGGTACACAACAACGACGACGACAATTCGGACGAACCGCGTTCATAATCGCCCAAAGGACTACGGGAACCGAGTCGATAGACGGAAAAGTCGACAGCGGTGATAAGAAACGTTCGGTCGTATGATAACGCGCAGTCATTACGCGTTACCAGGCTGCCGCTACAATAAAGTTGCTGTAGTCGCCAGTGATACTTTTTTTTATTCTGTGACTCTATGAGTGGGCGGGTGGGTGGGCCGAGCAGGAGAATGACGTAAAAAAATTTCACGCGACAGAAACGCCGAATAACCGATAGTAGTATACACTGCGTCACAGTGGTGGCAAAAACCGCGTGATAACACGGCGCCCGTCACCGCATCGCACCGACGCAGACATCAATAATAATAACTGCCGGACCGCTAGATGTCGGAGAAGTCCGTGATGTCGTCTGTAATGGTCGTAATAATATAATGGTTCCCATCATACGCGCATTCTCCGAATGGACGGAAAAAAAAAAAATTTAAAAAAAATAATAGTTAGAAGAATAATAAGAAAATCTACGACACAATAATAATACTTCGTGTTTATGTGTATACCTACGTGTACGGCATACGTATATTATATTGTGCTCACGAATTCTATAGTTTCTATACCTAGGTATATAATATAATATGATTGTATATAATAATAATAATAATAAAAGTAATAATATAATGTAATATGCGTGCGTGTGCGTGTGTTACTGTGATATTTCACGGATTCGATGGGCGGACAGATGTGCCGGAGTGGTCGAACCCATCTCCGTTTCTCGTTTTTTTTTTTTTTTCCGTTTTTATCTTCCTCCACCAACTCGGTCTCCCGAGCCATAATATTATAATAGTGTCACGCGAGCGCACGGCGAGATTTATCAATTTAATTTACGATCTTGTTGTTTTTCCCCTTTATTCCTATGGGTTTACAAGTAGAAAAAAAAAACCCTTTCGTATTATACCTATATAGATACCTCCACTATTTTTTTTTATAGGTAGGTATATGTTGGTAAATATTATACATGTAGGTGCCTACTGTATGCTACACTATCACCTTATTGTTGCGATGTTCGATTCGATACGCCCAACAGCGCCAGAGTATTTTAATAATATTTTACCACTCATCTTACCCACGAAATATCGCATCGCGTTGTCTACGTCCGCCGTACTTAAATATTGTGTACGCGTCGTCTGATCGGCCGCTATAATAGGTACAGGGTGGAATATATTTTACACGCTGTATAGGTACCTACCTAATTCTATAAAAATATGTTTTTATATATTGTGTATTATTATAAGAGAGAGACGAAGTATCGATTCCTTCGGCCTTATACGGTTAGATTTTATTATTATTATTATTATTATTATTTTTTAACGAACGGACCATAAAGAAGTGGCACTGCGCAGGTGCGAACTGCTGCGCGACGATGATGATGATGCATTCCTGAACATCGCATCACGAATGAATAATCATAATACACGTCCAAATATTAATATATAATACCCACACAAAATCATTTCAATCGTATTATATAACATAATATTGTATTCGTGTATATAGGTATTAGGCATGTCTACTCTTTTTTGTTTACAAACGAGTGTGTAGGTACCTTACACGTTAAAATTTAAATATTCGTTTTTTGTTCGTCACTACTCTCCTGCGTATCCCGCATCGACGTCGTAGTATCTTAAATCATTTTCTAATTATCATTAAACCGATTATTTTTTCGATATTACATATTATTCGGATATTTTCTCAGTTTCTTCCAATAATTGTACCTAAGCAAAGAAATGTAACATCCAACATGTCGCACTCCGGCACAAATTCGATTTTTTAACTTGAGATTATTATTTTTGCAACACGCACAATAAATAATAAGAATGTAAATACCTATATATTATAACACGTAACACCATTTTGTTAATAATAGTATACATAAAACAAAAAAAACGAAAATGAAAAATTCATCTTTAAAAAAATGTATAGATGTACACATCAGTTATAGTACGTGATTAGAAAATGTTTTTGGGCAATATGCCTTTAAAAATATAAGTCCTAGAATAATAGAGATGAGTGCAACCACTGTTACAGGTAATTTAATGTATACCTGTAAGCAACGATAAACCATTGCTAGAAAAAAAAAGATTCTGAGTGCAGTTCATTTGATAATGGTGCTTTATAAATCACATTATAGGTAGTAAAATAGTTATATAGGCTTTATATATTTTCTTTAATAATATTTGTTTAATGTTGTACCGATCTCCTCGATTGTCTTACGTTTTTCCTGGTTTTCCTATATTTTTTCCCAGTTTTTCACATTTTCTGAAAAAACTCTGGAGAAAATCGAAAAACCACTTCTCTAAAGTACTTCCCCTGTGAAATTTTCTTTTCAAAAAATTACTTTTATTAAAAGTTGGAGCAAAATTACTGATAGAAAAGTTGTCTACAGGAAAAAAAAGGCCGTAATATTTTTAACTAATACATACATTACCATATATTTTCCCGTTTTTTTTTTTTCGGTTTTTCAAATTTGATAAGAAAATCGAAAAACGACCTTTTTAAAGTACCTTCTCACAGAAATTTTCTTTAAGAAAAGTCGCTATTCGTAAAAATTGAAGCAAGTGTTGTGATTGAAAAATTGTTCACAGAAAAAAAAAAACAAACATCTTTGTAAAACCATTCGCTCCGCTCAGAATCTAAAATACATTTATGTATTGTACTTATAAGCAGTAAAAAATAATCAAAAACATAATAGCAATAAAATAGTAATTATAGCCAATACTGTTAATACACATGACGGGTATCCTACGCGAATAATATTATACATTTTATCTGATGTAATATCGTACCTTCACAAAAACTATATGAATCTAAAATGATCCGTTACGTTTGCCTATGTAATGATAGATACTATACAACAGACCATTTAAAGTTTTATACTAGTGGATAATATAATTATTGCTGAGCCGATAAAACTTTTTTCTGGTTATCGGATATTCCGATATTAGCGCTACCCTTATAAAACCGATACCCGATCTGATATTTGAAATCGATAATCACGAGCTGATATTGAAATAAATCGATACACTAGTTGATTGAAACAATGTTTTTATTTTTTATTTTTTATTCGTATTTTCGTGATAATATAGACATTTTCTTCACGAAACGAACACAAAAAACGATACCCGATGTTCTGATATTCCTTGCGATATTACAATATTAGCCAATATACCTATGATATCGGTTTATGTCGATACTCACCACTAATACCTGCCCATGAGCGTTATATAGGGGGGAGGGGTGTTATAAGTTCAAACCCTTCTATTAACTGTTATAAATGTTAATTGTTTTTACATAACTGCAGGTATTTGTTCATTCTTGATTGAGATTTGAGTATCTAATATCAGGCAATTTTCTAAACATAAAGATTATTTTTCTTATCAGTCTTATATACAGATAGGTGTCCACAGAAACATCAGTGCGAACTTTTTCATGTTTGAAAATACTGAAAACTTACTTAAAAGGCATAATAGCTGAAGTAATTCTTCCAATTTATAATTTGATTTTTAATATGATAGTTGATTAGTGTTTAAATTGTTTTATTAAATTCGGCTTAGCGGACTGCCATTTTGGCTAATCATAAAAATATGTACCACATTCATCTGAATAAGCACTCAATAAACTAGCTAAAAAGCCAATTAAGTTTAGTACTTAAATTTGATTTTGTATTATAAACTAAACTGCCACCATTCAAAATTCCTGAGCACGCCCCTGTACCTACTTATATATAGTTATAGTTCTAAGCTCATTAAAAAGTTTTTTTTATTTAGATTTTGAGTGATTTAGTTTTACTAAGATATATTTTTTCCAATCAAAAAACAATTTTGATCAGTAATAATGCTCTGGTTTTTTCCATGTGATCTTAAAATATGTTGATTTTTCACCCACTGATGGCACTTTAATTAAAATATTTACCTAAATTATCAACAGTTTTTTATTAAAACATGTTTTAACAAGTCCGACAACAAATGAAGATACATCAACTAAACTGGTGTATCATGATGCCAAATATTAATACAAATAAAACTAATCCTGAAACTGAACTGTTTTATTTTTGTTAATTTCTGGGTTACCTCGGGGAAAACATGACCTAGATACTTATATACATGATACATATAGAATATTTTTTTAATAATTGCAATGATTAATGGTTGATTTTAATATATAAACTAAATTATACTAGGTACCTATGCCACAGCTTTCTAAACCTCCCACTAGTGAAGCCAAACCTATAATCCAAGAAGGGCAATCGCCGCCCTTTTATTCGATGAGTATTGGTCGGTTGATCATAATGAAGATACGACTATTAAAATTCACAGGACATATGCGTTTGTGATTAAAATTTAATTTTAACCTTGATGATTGATATACACACAATTAAATATATTTAGGTACTGTAATATAGTCATTTTTAAAGCAAGTATGTATTGTATACATACATAATACATATATCAATTATAGGGATATAAATAATTGTTTATACTGCAATTAGTAATTTCGTTTAAAACAAGAGTCATGAATTTTAAACGTTTTTGAAGAACGGAAGGGTCATTTGCCCCTCCTCCTTTGATCTTTCATGATTAGTGGGTATACAAACTAATTTTGCCCCCCCCCCAATTAATGTAAGTTTGACGGCACTGCTTTCTATTTTCCCACTTTCAAACAGTGGTTCGGATTTTTTTTTTTATTACCTATATAGATAGTCCGCATGACTTTATTGCAGTTTTTAAAATCCAAAATTAATTAATTTTTGTTTATATTTGTTTTCAATAATAATATTATATATATATATATATATATAAGGTTTCCAGATTTTTGAACCCCAAACCGGGGATAAATAATACAATTTTCTTTTAGCCTCTATTAACCGGGACAAACTGAATGATCGGCTTAGACATTGGGACGTGCCCTTAAAACTGGGACAAATGGAAAGCCTATACATATAGTATAAATCTTTTTTGTATAATAAATATTAATATTGATTTTGCAATATAATAAGATCAATGGCATACGAGTCTACCTGGCCTTAAGCACAGTAAAAATTATATAATACTATATTATGTGAGTTTTGAACTGAATTTAAAGTGACGTGATGCATAAATGTCGCATTATATTCAAAGATAAGAAAAGTATACTTATATACATATATTATCTA